CAGAGAGTTGAGAAAGATATTGGCTGCTTGCAAAGGCCTTATAACCACGAATTATTATTTATCATTATTATAAAATATTGAAAATATTCTCAAATATTGAACGAGATGAAACAACATTTTTAGGGAGACTATTACCATCATCAAATATTTTTTGAGAAAAGAAATGTTTTCTAAGGTTTAAATGGTGAATTTGTATGAGTAAAGTTGTTTGACATAATATTTTCGCCGTAAAATACTTGAAATTTTCGTGCAGTTTGTCCAAGGTTCTTGTCAAGCTTCAGGCACTGCACCGGAAGTATATGACCTACATAGATTGCTATTTATATGGCAATGCGCGCGGCCGTAATGAGGAGGGGGAAAGGTAATCATTACCAATTTGGAAAATAAAAACCTCGGATTTGACATTTTAGAATTGTACCTCAATTGTCGATATTTTCTCTGTCTTACTCTCAAAGTTGGTATTGATCCATTGTATTCTGTCGATCGCAGCGTGAATATGGCTGATCTTCGTTTGGATATCAACATGTTGAAAATTTATTAAAGTTGAAGCGTAGTATTGATAATAATTAAAAAAAGCATGTTTCTAATTTATATTGTCAATGATTCACGAGAAAGACGAGTGCGACTTGTCTGATTATAGAACCAGTTCTCTTAAAATGGCACCTCGAGGAACATGTTTGTCGTTAATTAGGGGACCATGATCTCAGACTATCGTACCAGCCTCGACCCGACACATGATCGGTCCTCCATTTCTGTCTGTGCTTGTAGAAGTATCGTCTGCGTGTCACGTGATCACGTTGACCGAGAGGACACGAGAGTCTCTCACCCACGCTCTGGGTACATGGACAGAGCATGATAGCAGCAAATGTGTATACATTATTATAATTAAACGGTGCAACTTACAAATTCTTAAGACTTACAAAAGGTCGGAGATCAATTTTGCAACGTTTAAGAGGTAGCAAGTTCACAATGTCGGAAGCCGTATTCAGCAACTGTGTGGTGGACAGACATCCTTCTGAACTAGGCCTGTTGAATGTTGTTCCAAATTTTACTATTATGACAAGCTTGTTTGTTTCTCAAAAGAGAATATGAAAAAAAGTGATGAATCTAGCATCTTTCCTCTTTTTCTTTCTTTCTTTCCTCCTCCTTCTCCTCCTCTTCCTCCTCATCCTCCCTCCTCCTCCTCCTCCTCCTCCTCCTCCTACTCATTCTTACATGAAGCCAGATGTTGCCAATATATCATAAACATTGGAAAATTCCAATATTCTATGGTTCGAATTGTCAGTAGATCATACCAGTTGATGTTGAAGCATTGGACTGCTTTCATTTGGCATTCACAGGTTACATAAATGCCAACTGGACAGTGGCAAATGTTTTGAAGCCCCCTAGCCATTCATGTTGGATATTGCCTATGAATGCCAACTGAAACAGTTCAATACTGATATTTATCATTTTTGAAAGGTGTTCTCTTTTAGAAAATCTAACCACACCTATTATTATGCAATATTTAATTCGAACAATGTTTTTTTCCGTATATCCTTGTTCAATGAATAAAACAGACATCTCTGTTCTGGGCGGATCAGGTGTTTCAAACGTAACAATTATGATGCTATAATAATGATGACGTCAATAATAGGTTCATGGCATTCATACCCTATATGAATGTCATATGTTGTAGGGTTATTTAAGCATTGAACTGCTTTCAGTTGGCATTCATATACAATATGAATGCCAACTGGACAAAGGCAAATTCAATGAAGCGCGTTATTATTTAGCATTTAGTTCAAATAATGTATGTATCGTGTATGCTTGTTCAATGAATAGAACAGCCATCATCCAAGGGGGGTCGGTGGTATCCAACGTAACAATTATGACGTCATAATAATGATGTAGTCAACAATCGGTCTATGGCATGTTTAGCCTATATGAATGCCAACTGCATTTGGTAGGATAATATAGCGGCAGTGCCATACGATGGTAAATATATATGCAAAACGATGATAATATTTTACAATGATTGTGTGTGTAAGTAGTAGTCTGTGATCGAATACATTGAAAATACATTGTATTATTGATTGTATGACTGATCATAAACATGTTGTAGTTTGACGCGCGTGACACGGTAGGGTTGTTATCGTCAATCGTCATGATATCTGCTTCTTATGATTGGTATCATGTTGTATTCTCGAGGTTTGAAGATATGAATTGCCACCTCTCTTCCAGCACACCGGGCTAACCAAAACAGCATAAGAATAATCACTCAGATTAATCAGTCTAAAACGTGAGAAATATCTCGCATGACAACCACATTGGCTAGCTGTTTAAAATTTATTTCAACTTAACCTTTTTTTGGTTCAAGAAATCCTTCCCTCCGAACTACAAGCTACATGAACTGGCAATAAACACAGGATTTATGACAAACTCAGATACTTTGTCTTGCCATAACATAACGTGCTGATGAAGAATGGCGCCAACATTCCGGAAGTTATCTCTGTTATTGCGCTAATCTGACATTTTTAGTACGCCCCTTACGCATGTTTCCCTTCAACGCGATTTGTACGAAAGTACACTAAGGACGTGCGGTTTTATTTTCTAAATTTCCTGTTAATGACTAGAAACCTCGGGGAAGCAATAAAAAGACAAATGGTATTGGGTTGTTTTGTTGTTTCGCTCTGAAATTCACTCAATTTCAGTCTTCACAGAGTTGAATTATACATGCACTCTTATGAACTTTTTTGATGGTGAATAGTATGTGATATGAACCTGAAAAAAGGGATACTGACCGAGACGAGGTCGATAGTAATATCTCCCTTTGAGGTTCATATCACATCATATTAACCATCACAAAGGTCTGTAATTGTTTTATTATAATGCTTCATCAACAAATGGGGAAAGGTCGTATAACACTCACTGTAAAGCGTTTGATTCAAAGTTTTCTCTCATACTGTAGATTTCAAATCATTCATATTGGCCAAGAAAAAGCAACCAACTTTTCAACTTTTCTGGAATCGTGTATAATAATTAATAAATATCAGTCACCTTCTCCGGAATAATGTAAAAACTAAAAACTGAAACAAAATACATTTATCCGGATAAAAGTTACTTCCTCTTAGACCGTTGACGATACAATTAAGCCGTATATTTATAATTAAATACCGTAATGACCGGTTTACAAAATGTTCATCATAACCTTGTAGATACAACCTTGATGCAATCGTGTTTTTCATCTTCAAAAACAAGCGTGTCGTGTTCGATGCAGATATCATTCAAAGAGACGTGTACCCTAAAATGTCTTCACTTCTGTATGATATTAATTATAGGCATGCTTCTAATTGTCAAGACGTCAAAACACTCGAAAGGACATTAATTAGTTTTAGTATCGTGCGTACTAGATTACATAATTCGGTGTTACATATCCAATGTGTTAGGCATCTTTTAATTGTCAAAGTGTTAGAACACTTGGTTATGTGCGCTGTCTCTCATTGCAGATGTTGTTAATGGTTGAAATTATATGAAAACGTTTAAACCAATTAATTTGACAGAGCCACCAACCGGATGTACGTGTCAGCTATTATAAGAGCCTCCCCTTGGATGTCCTCGTCACGTCTGTGGACAGTTGTTTTATTTATAGACGCACACTAACATATCTGGGAAGTTGCAAATCAGGTTAGGATAACTAATGGAGATAACTCCAATAACATTGTTACAGAGTTACTTCCCTTCATTAACTATAAACCACGTACTGCCTTTTGTTGTAATGCTAGTTATAGTTTCGTTCAACCAGACGCTTTATCACTTGTAGCTTGCGCAGACAACAAGAGTCTGGTTGAACAAGACTATACTATTAATGTATGGCCCCTCTATATAGCTATATAATGGAGTTTTAGATGTAAGCCCTGTCCCGCTGCCAAAAATAAAACCAACAACAAGCACATACACTAGATTATTCCCTTGTAGCATTTCGTAGATTCAGTAACCTCCCATTAATTTCATTTCGGATATGACTGGGTCACTCTAGCTATTGACCAGGTACCCCGGTTAGTTGGAGTGTAAATGAATTATTTGCGGAACAGGGTTCGAATCCTCGTCTGACCCTGTTGCCTTTTTTCTTTAACTCAGAACACTCGTAGTAGTACCACAAAGTATGTGGGGGTTTTCGATGCTAGAGTGTTACCAGGAACAGTAGTTTCTCACTCATAATAGATAATAAATAATACATAGTTACAGTTTTTGACGGTAGTACGGGGATCCTGATGCGTTTGCCATTTTTGTCCGTCTATACAACATCGATATCGGTAAGAATTTTTGTTAAGATCTATTGGTATAATGCTGAAAGTAAAACATTCATAAAAAAGTATAGATTTTATCCATCTTGAGGTGAACTGCAGATATTTATGAAATGCAGGTCACGGTGACCTATATATTTTCTGCTTCACTGACTTGATGTATATTTCACCATATTTTCAAGAAACTAAGGTAAAGTCAACTTCGTGGTCGTACAAAATGTAGCTGGAATAGCCAAAAAAAGGCATAAAAGGTAAACAAAGGGCCAACACTTCGTATATAGAGGAGAACGAGATCTGACTTAAATACGCGAAATTCCGTCTTCCGAAATATGGAGGGTTTGGTCATCTTAGCGGGATGTCGGGTGGCGCAGTGGATATCGCACTTGCCCTTCACAATGACGGCCGGGGTTTGATTCCCCGATTGGACGTCAAGTTGTTATGCACTAGACGATCTTTTTTATTGTTTAACAAAGGGCAACAAATTTGTATACAATGAGGCACAATTTTCAACTTTAGTAACCAGCACTCCGCCTTTTTCAGATACCAAATTGTACATGTAGCAAGTTTGGTGCATGTAAGTGAAGTTATGAATAGGATAAAAAATATTGTTGTCACCCAAACAGCTACCCAGCCGTAGTGAAACCATAACAAAATATGTTCTGTCAAAGACGACCGTACATAAACCGGTATTTTTGGAGAGAGAAAAAACAGTTCTGGAGAACAAGGTTTTATTCAGTTAGCATATAGGTCCATATTATACTGCCTGTATTATTAAATAAACTGAGCCGAGGTGAGGACCAATCTTGCACAAAGGACTAATATAATTGTTCCTTATATGCAACCTGTGTTAACCTTATTTAACGAATGTTTCACAATCCAAATTGTTTTCATTGAGAAGAAAACAGCGATGTCTTTCATATGTGCATTCAGTGAGAGTTAACTCCCTCTGACACTGTGTTTCCCTTATTTTCCCTACCGACCTTATAGTCGAGAACTAAAGTATTGAACCTATGGACTCTTCAAAGTTTCTATGGCGACATAAATACACATATTTGATAATATTTACATTCTGTATGCTTAGACACATTGAAAAAAATTACATTCATAAATGCATAACACAGGTGTTCATAGAATCTCAGCACGTGGGAACTGATAGTAACCTGATTACACTGCGTAGTAATACACTACAAAAACTACTCACTCGGAACGACCGACCTAGATGCTTAATTCTTACATCTTAAAATATTATTGAACTGTGCTTTGTGAAATATCCACGTATTCACGTGTCCTGTGCTACAAATAAACATTGAATATGGAACTACATTTTGTTGTGTTATTGTTGTTGACGGTTGCTAAGATCTCTCACGATAGTGTCACATTTCCCCGCGAAAAAACACTGTTCTCGCCACTGCGTTGCACCCGTGTATAAGCAGGAACAAACCCTGTTTATTTGTTTTATTCGTTGTTATATCGATCCACTGAAAGGATTCGTCAATGTAAATATAAGGAATGATATTTATTTTTTCAACATTTATGAGGTCATAACAACAATGGGTTTTTGGACATATTTTACATGAATCGCTAACGCGATTCATTCAATATGTCCATAAACCCATTGTTGTTATGACCTCATAAATGTTGAAAAAATAAAAATCATTCCTTAAATGGTGCAGTATTTCTTTTTTCAGTAACAGATTCAGTTATAAGTGTGTGCAAAACACGGCATCTTCGTTAGTTCGCGGCGTGTCAGTGATAAAACTGTCTGCAGAATTGTTTCTCACACTACGTAAATTTTCGCTGGCGTCACCATTCGATTTGTACCCGTTCATCATTTCCATTTCTATGGCCTCATCCATGGCGTCGGCGCGTGGCGTCCGTTTCTTTCTCCACTGAACCTGTACTCCTACTAATATCGTCAAGAGAAGTAAAAGGATGATAATGACGACCACGATCAGGCCCGTATAGAGGGTGTAAAGCTCATTATCTGACATGGGGACCCGGGATGACGGCACTACAAACGTTCCTTTCGTCTTAACACTGTCAGCTGTTGAAGCGTTTTCAGAATATAAATGGGTATAATTATCCGGATTCGAACCGTTTTGTATTTTATAATCAGACTGTTTTGGCAATGGATAAATTGTTGTTCCTGCAGTTGGACTTTTGGTAGTGCTATCCAATTCCGGGTTCTGAGTAATTGTTTTACCAAGAGTGGTAAAGTTACTTATTTTGTTGGTCACATGATCCATTGTAGTTGTTTCCATTTCATATTTGTCCGTGAATGAGTTTGATGTGGTACTGTTATCCTCGCGATCTGTCACTGACGTCACATCCGGTGATAGCTCAATATCTATGAAAACCAAATAAACAAGTAACATGCATTTTAAAAATGTGTTTTGTGCATAGGTATGGCGGTACAAACTAAAAATAGATTTTTCAGGTGAAATTTTTTTTTTTCGAGATCTAAATGAAATGTTTTTGGTTTTTAGATTTACTATATTGAGCGTACAGTTCCGTTTCTTTGAACAGTTCGACGGACGGTATTTTATGGGGAAACATACAATAGAAGGTTATTGCCTGTAATGATAGCAATATCTGACATTTTTATTTATTTTTGAAATGTAGAAAAGTAAATACTAGTACCTTCATTTGAACAGTTGTAAAGTGTGACGTCATCAATAGCCACGTCATGTGCCCAATTACTTGACCTTGTGGCTTGTATCACAATCTACCAAAAAACAATGAAATGTTAGCGTAGCGGAATCTGCCACGCCTTTTTATTAAAGCAATAACTTATTTCAGTTGTTGTTTGATATGAATCGTATCTGAATGCAGTTAAATGCTTATTTATACATTTTCGTGTCTCCCTGTCTTTAAATAATAATACCGACATTAAAAAGGATTAAAATCTACCAAGATTTATTGGAATGCTCGAGAGCCCAAAGCACGTGCATTTGTCTGTGAATTAAGTCCATGGACACAACTGACGTAAAACATTTGTTCATCAGGTTGAACTAACTTTATGACGTACTTTGTATTGTAACGACCATAACAGAATATTCAAAATCTTATGTAACAATATTGTTTACCGATATGATTGTTTACGTCGTTTGTTAATGACGTCATACCGCGGAGACGTGTCCGCTAAATTTCATAAAAATGAAGTAATGCGGTCGTTGAAAAAGACATGTCGCCATCCTGTTATTTGCTGATCAACATCAAAGAAACAATTTGATTGTTGAAGCTGCAAAGTAACTAAGAGTATATACTATATTCCGTCTTCGCGTATTGCAGAGTTATCGTCTCTTGGGAGCAGGTTTTGATTGTTACGTCAATTGTTTGTGAGAGAAACGTCATCAATTTTTGAGAAAACGACGTGATTTTCTCACACAGACCAATGACGTAACAATCAATACCTACTCCCAAGAGAGGATAACTCTGCAATACGCAAAGACGGAATTGCTGGTCGACATTATTACGTGTACGAAAGCTGGGAAGAAAAGATTTTTCTTAAAAAGGGTACCTGAAATAGCGCGTGATCCTCTGTCAATATTACCAATCCTCGTACCCAACGGTTGCCATGACTACCGGAAGTCGAGAACACGAGATTTTCCACGGACTGTTCATCTCTCACGTAGACAAACAAGGAACTGTAATCTGGAAATTGGAAAGAATGATAATGTCTCACTGAAATGGCTAGAATTTAATTACTAACTGGTGAACACGGTCAAAATAATTTTGGTTGTTTTTTTTGAAATTTTTAATGGAGGATACCGTTTTTATGAGAATACATATGTGTAAATGTATTTCCGTAAAACCACTTATCACAAGCGCATACATTTTGTCATAGGGTATGTACAATATAGTAACCGAAAGTAAGTGGAAATGTCTTTTACTGTAGTTAGTTTCAAGAGTAACTAATATTACTTTATTACGGCACGGACTGAAATAGTTGTGTGCACTCTGCGTCAAATCGCATTTTTTGTGTATAAGACTCAGTCTTGCATACAACACTGGGTAAGTGGAAATTGTCGCGTTGATTACATGAAAGATCATTTCCGTTTTTCAGAACTCTTCTTCTGCATATACGTCCATCATACTCATTTGTAATAGGCTGGCTCTTCGATATACTCATTTAATGGGATCTATGCGAATCCGACAGCTGAAAAACACTTCATTAATCACGATTAGCCCATCTTGGTTTCTTTTTTATAACTCGTCTCTGTTTTATGTACGGAAAGTGGCTTATCTCGTACTTTCCGCAGTACATGGAGTCATAAACTTTAAAATATAAATTAGCTAGAACACTGACAGGTCAAAAAGGGTCATGCAATGTGCTTGACCGTTATCGATAGTGAACTTTAGCACGTCTTAATATTACAGTGTATCACTCAATTTCAAAAATGGTTAAACTTTCTCATACGAAGGTAAGTTCACAAAATAATGGACCCCGCAATTATATCATAGGTCGCCCCCATCTCCAATGCCCCGTCCTGATAAAAATGTACGTGCAACATAAAAAACCCACCAACATGACTTTCTGTCTTATTGTTTGATTATGAAACAGTATTTTATGAATAAATCTAGCACTTACCTCCGTGAGATTCCTGCCCAAGCATATGATAGAAGAATTGGAAACATGTTCCTTCCGGAACGTCCCGGAACCAGGGAGATAACAGCCTTGCTTCATTATTACGTCCCGACGATGGACCGGAACTTTCCATGTACAGATAGTAACCTAAAACACGTGGTTTGATATAGTCTCGTTCAACCAGAAGCTCGATCACCGGCGTAGCTTGCGCAGACAACAAGAGTTTGGTTGAACGAGACTAGGTCTGATATTAATGGATTAAATGAATAAATAAATGAAAACAAAGGGGAGGAGAATTGAAGGAAGCACAAAGCAATTGAAAAATAAAAGAAACAAGGAAGGACACAAATAGTCAAAGAAGCAAGCAATGGAGTAAGAAAGCAAAGAAGGACGCAACCATTACCTAAGATGGAAAGGAAAGGGAAGAAATCGATCAAACAAGAAAGCAAAATGAAAACAAGTGCGTACATTGTAAAACAGTAACGAAAACAAGTGCGTACATTGTAAAACAGTAACGAAAACAAGTGCGTACATTGTAAAACAGTAACGAAAACAAGTGCGTACATTGTAAAACAGTAACGAAAACAAGTGCGTACATTGTAAAACAGTAACGAAAACAAGTGCGTACATTGTAAAACAGTAACGAAAACAAGTGCGTACATTGTAAAACAGTAACGAAAACAAGTGCGTACATTGTAAAACAGTAACGAAAACAAGTGCGTACATTGTAAAACAGTAACGAAAACAAGTTCTACTTGCAACGATGATTACTACATAATCCCCGGGACCTACTTATGCAGTCCCTTTATAATTGAGCAATGACACATAAGTGGGGAATTACATGTATGATATATAAAGGAATGGTCGGCTGGTGTCGAAGTGGACAGGCTAAGATGTACGTACCTGACGTCCCGGCCGGAGAGTGACCAGTGCTTGGACCAGTCCGGTTTGTTGGGGTTGACCCATTGGTCCATGTCCATGCTAGTGTACAATTCACATCGCTAGTCCAGCCGCACAAGTCTTTATCCTCAAACCCACACGACCGCTCGGCTTCCTCAACTTAAACATAGAATAGCGTCAGATGTGATTTCAATATATTATGATAATGTGTTATTGCTTTTCAAGCAAACAACTTTTATGACAAATTGTCAAACAGGTTACATCCAAACGAAAATATGAACACATTTTCGATTATCTCCCTTAACAAAATTTGTATAAGTTCTGACAGAACTCGACTGGATGGCTTTGATTGTACAATGTAAGTACCTGAATTTTCGGACACTGCTCAAAGGAAACATTCTGTACATTTTTAAATATTTAAGTGCAAAAAGCTTCACCCTTCTATAACAAAGAGTTGGGCACTGGGTACACACTTCCAAACAGGAAGTGAGGTATTGGTCACACCCTTCCATGGCAGAAAATGACGCATTTATTATACTCTATTAAAACAGGAAGTTGTACATTGTTATAGTCTACAATTACAGGAAGTTAAGCAAAAGATTATACCCTTTCTTAACAGGAAATGGACTTTGGTATAGTCTACAATAACAGGGGAAGTGAGGCATTGGTTCGCATACCATGACATGAAGTGCAACGTCGGTAGTACATGCGTTAGCACAAAGAAGATTATTGTTATAATCTACCATAACAGGATGTGGAGCATTAGTTTTCCCCTATAATAACAGATATATATGTATATATGTTATAGTCTACAATAACAGGAAGTGGGGCATATATCTTACCTTTCTTAACAGGAAGTGGACATTGTTATAGTCTACAATAACATAGCAAGTGGGGCATTGTATACACATACCATAACAGGAAGTGTGACGTCGGTAGAACATGCGTTAGTACAAAGAAGATTATTGTTATAATCTACTGTAACAGGAAGTGAGGCATTAGTTTTCCCCTACAAGAACAGATATAGTATTTGTTTTCACATCTTCAGGATCCGGTTCTTAAAGGAAAAGATTGAAATTTGTCGTGCCAACATCAGCAACGTTATAATACATTTACTCACAAACACATGTAGGAACAACTCCACTCCATTTCTCTCCGTCACAAACGAGTTGGTTATCGCCCAAGACAGACATGCCAGGGGGACAAGAGAACAAGAGTAGCGCCCCCTGGTAACGACGGTAGACGGTCAGGTGGGGGTCACTCATAGTCAAGTCTGGACAACGGCTTACTGGGAAAAGTTATACAGATAATTTTTGAACACGATTTCTTTACAAAATGAAATAGATTAATTAACATTATTTAAGTCGCAATATCTTTATCCATTTGAAAGCTTATATTTGTATCCCAGGAAAGAAATGATATTGAATGAAACACTGCTTCAACTAAAAAATAGCAAATAAACCCTGAAGCTATCACCTTTTATCTAATTGAAGGTGAGGAAAGTCCAGCGTTCAACAGATATACAAATATATGGAAGTTAAGATGTTCCCCGTTCTTTTACATGCATGCAACGTCATTTCCGTTCGAAGAACAATTCCAGTGATCACGTGATTTCACATCGCCATCAGGCTAAGGTTTATAACAGTGGCTAACTTCATGTGAAAGACGAAATCTGTGTCATAAAATGAAAACAAAGCGAGATTGGAGGAAGGTACGAGTAATTTCCCTTTAAACATGTCACATAAAGACATCATTTAGGAAAATGAAACGAAACGTATAGTTACCTATACATAATGGCTGACCTCCGGTCCAAACACCGCCCACACAATTGGCTCGTTTTGAGCCGTACATGGTGAAGGGTGGGTCACAATAAAACCGAGCATATCGTCGGCTGTACTTCACACGCATGCTTCCTTTCAATTGAAACGGTGGGCATTTGTCTTCCGTAACTGAAATGATTGTTGTAATGATTTATAACATGAAATGGAATGAAAGCAGATGCATCCGTTATCACATGGAATTTTTACACAAAATAATTTGTCAAATATGTTATCTTAATATGACAAGTTTTTGCCGACACAAATATCAGAGCACAGTTATGTTATCCAATGCTAATTAACTTATCAAAACATATCCATATAAAATGTAAAAAAAATACTGTTCGTGGTATGCAAATAGTTATAGCTTACCATTTGAAGGGTACATATATTCCTATTTGCGGCTCTGAGTAGACGTGAAGCATACTTGATCACCTGTTGTTGGTTATATGTATGACTGAAGAGTTCCTGTTTGTGGTTCTAACTATGATTGAAGAGTTCCTGTTGGTTGTTCTTAGTATAATTGAAGATTTAAAGAGTACCTGCTGGTGGCCCTCAGCAATATAAATGTATAATGTATTGGCGGTTATAAACAAAAACTACTTTATACCTGATGGCAGCGCTGTTTTCGAACCATATCCGGTCTGTCTTTTGTAGTCGAAAGCTAAACTATCGGGCATCGATATTGCATGAACGTTATCTGCAAAATAGAATAAAAAGTTCTTCCTAAAAATTGATGAAAGAGAATCATTAAGCCTCGAACGAGCCCTAGTTTCCTCTAGTCCTATCCCCAGACTTTTGAGATGTTGACAGCTAGATGTCTGGTATGGACATTCCATCCGTAAAAATGTCAAATGTGTCCTGGTTTCGGCAAGAGGAAACTCAAGGACATCTTCAACCAGGCGCTATTCCCGAGGTCAAAAGTATTTGTCACCCTTCTAATAATTTGTAACACTCTTTCTGATTGGATATTTTGCCGGGGTCTATAAAAATATAGACCCCGCCCTGCCGGTGTCTATACAATCACGTGCGATGGGGAGATAACTCAAAAAAGAATTTCTCTTCATGACAGCAAAGTTGGCGTCCGACACACACAAGCGTTCGAGGTTTGCCAATCATTCATAGGATGAAATACCCTACACGCAATCTAAAACGACAGTAAATTCAACAAAAAGGCAATGAAGGGGCCGCTAGGGTGCTAATTACTTAGATAGTTGTATATTGTGTCTATTGTCCGAAATATTGCCGAAAAGCCAAAAGGTGTCCGGTAGGGGCTATATTGAGTAGCTGTCAAGTTTAACAGTTTGGGCACAACATCGCATATGGGTAATAATCCTGTATTTAGGTAAAAGTTACCCATTTGAGTAACAATGTTATTACTGAGTTGGGTAATAAAGTGAAAAACCCCCACATGCAGTTCTTTTAAACATCTCGAGCAAAAAGGGCGTCATTCTAAACATAATCCATATATGCGCCGTTGTGCCCAACCTGTTTAAGTCAAACTCACAAAATGACTTCAAATTTTGCAGAAAAACAGTTATAAAAGAATGTCAGGGTGACAAATTCGTTATCTCTTGGTTAGGAGGGGTCTACGGGCTCATAGACCCCGAGCCGTAGGCGAGGGGTCTATAAAAACCAGACGGGGTCTATGAGCCCGTAGACCCCTCCTTACCCAGAGATAACTAAAAATGTACAGGCATGTTTATAATTAAGGCAAAACAAGGCGCCTTTCCTAAAACCAGTAGGAAAAACAACGAATCGTGGTTCCTTACAGTTACGGCAATAGATATTTTATTATGCCGAAAAAAATCATATTAAAAACCATAACACAGTAGCTAGTAGAGATGGTCAGGTTGACGCGCCATTGATGCGGTCTGCTTCCCTCACTCAGAACTGTGTTGTTGTTTTACAAATCTTTCTAGAGAGGCTCCGAGTAAGGGAAATATGATCAGGGAAACCTGAGCGCGCGAGGGCGACATGTTGTTTTATTATCCCGCCATGTTACATGCATGTACCAGTATCATCCAATCAGACGTGCTGTTATAAAGATGAGGCATAACAATGTACCTTCAAGCATTTATGCATTAAGCATACACATATAAATTATATGACTAATGATATGTTGACCAGGTTGGTGAATTAGGGAGCCTAAAACTACACCCCTTGTTTTCAGATTTAATAATGACAACTTTTTATTCCCATAAACTATAAAATGCAGGAATATGACGTGGACTGAATGCGGACACCACTTGACGGAAACGCCCACTCATACGTGCCTGTATGTTCCTGTTGAAATATTAATCATTCGGATGAGGTTGTTATTTGGGTTTTGTAGGAAAAAAGTTGACTCTTTTTCCGTCACTAAACGTTTTATAGCGGAACTATATGAGGATGTGGTCGGACGTTGAGACGGATACAAATTATTTATTGACATTTTCACTGTGAGTTCAACTATACGCATTACCAGAAAAAACTGTGTTAATGTAAGGATGGAAATTTATTTTTTCCCCAATACTATGCTGCTATAAACGTAAATCGGTTACATATATATTCCTTGAAGCCCGCCCGAAAATTTACTAATGAGAGTTATATAAACATGATAATCAACCATCACGAATTTGGGGACCTCCAACAACGTTCAAAGAAGCTTCAAAATGACACTGATCTAATTGCGTTCATAGCCCTACGAGCACAATATCTTACAGTAATACTTATGCGGAAACTTGCATTGGAAATGATGTATCTAGGGACCATATGTTTCACATTATTCGTGTTTCCGACCGTGGAACTTGTATGCACGATGAAAGATGACGCGGAAAACCATAGTTTCTTGACGTCATAACTAGAAGATTGACCAATAAAATAACGTCCAGGTGTTCTTGTGGGTACAAAAATAAGAGAGTCTCGCACATCTATGACCAAGTATTAAACGAAGCGTAGCCGAATGGAGTCATTTCGGTACATATATAACAACTATTGTACACGCGCTTACAGCATAGCCGAATCGACTTGATTTGGTAGACAAATCATACACATTTTACACCTTTGTGTGCATACGCTTCACTGGTCATTTGTCTGATGAAGTTGACAGTGTACATATCGTACTAGTCATCGAAACGTCCCATAGAAAATCTTACAGGTTGTGTAAAAAGAACTTCTCATAATCCATATATACCAACCTGAAGAAAATGTTTAGAAACACCTATAGTATAGTTGTGGGAGAAACATAAATTCTATATCATTGTGAAATTGACTAAACTCTGTAGATTTCTCGCTACTTACATTATATACAGAGATGTAGATTTCTTGTACGATTTTTTGTCTAATATCTGGCTTTATTATTTAATATACATATTTCAAATCAATTTTTAGTTTTCATTTTTAAGGAATTATTTGCTTTATTTCGAACATTCGAGAGAGAAAAAAAAAGCCCCAATGATGCTTTCTAATTATTTTCTTATTTTTTCAAATACTGTATATTGTTAACACCAAGCTTGATAAATATTGTTTAACTAATCAAGACGTATTGCAAATTGTGTACTTCTATAGTACATACATATAATTACAAAATATTATAAACACAGACTGGGGAAGTACAAAGGTCACTGTAAAGCAATGCATCAGTCCTCCCGTTATTAGAGAGAAAATAAATCCTGAATACTTACATAGGTTTATCTTTTCTTTTGTATGATATGACAAGAGTATTTCTGATGTGTAAACGAGCTTAAGGCTTTTCTCAAATCTTTAAAAGTGATATTTTAATACAACAAAAGAGCTCATCTTTATAAACTAATAAACAGGAGGATGTATGTATTATGGTGAATTAGATAATGGAGTGTAATATGTATACATACATTCCGGGACGGTGGTGAACGTCCCGACAGCAAGGACCAGCATCCGTATCGTAGCCATGTTCGCTCTTCTTCCAATCGGCGATCTTCGACACAGGGAAACACAGAAGATATTGTCTTCTAAACTCAGAAATGTTTGTCTTCTCCACCAATTGTTTAGAAAATTCAACCCAGATTTAACAATATACGCTTGTGTTTACATATGTATTTCCTTAACATGACATGAAGGAAGTACACACTTACGACGTGACATCATCATGAACCCACGTGACCTCTATCAAACTGAGACCGATACATTCCGAACATGCGCATTAATTAAAAAATATGGCTTCCATAGCGACGAGTACAAATCACACTTGTACTAGATACAAGAGCCTCTGCCCACTCTCCTCGACAATCATTTTGGTAATGTGCAGTCTTTCATCAACTGACCATTATGTGATTTTCAAAACTCAATCAATATATTAATTATCGTATGTTACGATATTTGAATATTCACAGATCAAACGTGAAAAGGTGTTGGGGTCACCTGCCCGACCATGGGTTTTTTCTCCAGGTACTCTGGTTTACTCCCACAGAAAAACACCTTATGTGCTACCAACAACAGTGATTAATATAGGTTGAAATAAACTTGTTGCATAGTTGTAGTAAAATAAATCAAGTTTAAATTTATATTTGATGCTATCGAAACATGAATTCCGCGCATTCGGCTAACCTCGACTGATCCCGGTACTCTTCGTCAATGATGTAGGGACGGAATTTGCCGTGTTGTGACGAATGGAATCCCGCGGTGAACCGTTTTCGCGAAAGTTGATCCTATATTTTCACTTCGAAATAACAGGTTTACATAGTGTTATATCCTGAAGGGATACCGCCAAATATCGGCTGGACTTGCACCAATCTCCTCCAAAGTAGACACGTCGTGTTTGTGATTTTAATTTATCGAATTAAAGTATTTTCTTGATGTTATCATTTGTATGAAAGGTTTCAGACGAGCGATATTTGATATGTTGATGATACATGTCAGTCCAATACAGTCACTAAAATACGCAACTCATACAATGGCGCGTTATATTTTATCATTCAGGTTCACATCATCTATCCATGATTAGTAATTACTTACCATAAGTCAATAGTATATGGAGTAATACCAGCACGAATCTATGAGATGTTCCCGTACAAAACTTTGTCTGGACAACATTATCAAGCGCTTATCAATTTTTCTCAAGACCGGGTCCTTAGCTGACAGCCAGTGTGTTGTCTAATTATTGTTTAATGTATTATGTAATGAATTGGTCAAGTATTAGCGGTCAGCTGATGAGCTCTGGGCAGCCTGTCCTGAGTCTACACCACAGGTCATTCCATTACGCGTCATTACAGCGTAAGCAATAACGTGCACCTTCTCTCATTATATCCTGCTTTTCAGAAATCATACGTGTCCGGTTCGGCGACTATTACTTTAAATCTGCACATTAGATTATGATCGTCTAAGTAACTAAATAATATAATTTTGATTCAATAAGCAGTCCTGATATCAAAATACATCTTATTCTAAAAAATGTTTTAATCTGATCTTTTCTATTCTTGAATTTCAAATCCTTTGAATTGTTATCAAGAGTGCATGCAATCTATCTATGTATCACTTTTTTTTTTACTTAAATAGTGACTTTCTATTCCACTGTTTCAATTAAAAACAATTGTACATTTTGAAGAAAACTAGCCCTAACATAAATTTGATAATTTTGAGAATTGAAAATGTTTTTAAGACATTTTTATTATTTCGAAACAGACACTTTCTCTTTGATGCACAATTTACAGCAGAAGAAAAACAGTAAATGTTTTAATTAAAAAAGTGTATATACCACAGGGTAGTCGTGAGGTTCAGTTCCCCGATTGGACGTGAAAGGGTTGGGGTCACCTGCCCGCACACGTGGGTTTTCTCCTGGTATTCCGGTTTCCTCCCACACTAAGATCACCCACGCGCTAGCATCCGGGCCAACAAGCGTGATGAATAGAAGTTGAAATAACTTGTTTCATAATTGATGTAAAGTAAATAAAGTTTATGTTCGTTTACTTTCCGTCATGCATACGAACTAAAGAACTCCATTGCTCTTCTTCTCCATTGCAATTTATAATCGATAATTATGGATAATTCCATCTAACATTGTGTTTACTTTTTTTATGACGTTGCCACAATATAACCCTACCAAATTCAGATCGTATTTATATTTATGATTATTATAATGTCATAATTGTAACGTTATATTCGGGCACTCTTTGCAAGAATACTGATCTATTCTTTGATCAAGCATACGTGATAAATGCACATAAACTAATTTCAACTAAATGCGGAATTTTAATCAGCACAATTTAATTTCTGTGATATAGAGGAGGCACGGTAGTCTAGTGGTAGGACGCCGGGCTCGTGACCGAAGTGTTGCGGTTGCGGGTTCGAGTCACGGCACTGTGTTGTATCTTTGAGCAAGATACTTTACTCCGCTTGTTCCAGTCTACTAAGATGTATATGAGTACGTGGTTGGGCAGTACTAGAATTGTAGAATGCTAGCTGTGAGCGCCGAATGACAGTTCCGACTGTATGCTTCCCAGGGAGTTGAGAAAGATATTGGCTGTTTGCAAAGGCCGTATAACCACGGATAATAATTTGTGAACCGCTTTGGGACGACCTACGAACGAGGTTGTGATAAAGGGGTATATAAGAACCTCGAATTATTATTATTATTATTATAATTGTGACGTAATATTCGGGCACTCTTTGCAAGATAACTCATCTATTTTTTGAACAAGCATACGTGATAAATGCACGTACACTAGTTTCAACTAAATGCGGAATTTTAATCAGCACAATTTAATTTATCAAATGATATCAAAATACTTCAAAAATGATGAATGTAATCAAGCAGTGGACTGCGCTATGAAACATCCCTTTGCAGGCGAAGAAATCTAGCAGGCATTATGATATTTTCCTGCAAGGTGTGTCGTTCTAGTGGACTGTAAATGCCATATCAACACATTTCAAAGCTTAAATGAAGCAGACCATGCATGTTAAATAAACTGCATGTCACGGCCACATTACCGTGTGGTGAACTATTTACACCCAAATGTGTGAAAATATTCTAGTTGAAATGATTCAGCGCCTAAAGTATAATGATTGCATCACACGACAATGTGTCATTTCCTGTTTCAGAGCACAGGGACGTGATAATCAATAACAGTGTGCATGCTTTTGAATATCTAGAGATGTATGGAGTGTTGTTATTAAGTTGAAGGGGCAGACACGTGGGCATCTTAGACACACTTCTAATTAAATTCAGCAATTCAACATTAGTGACAAAATGTCATCTGCTATAATAAAAAAACAACGCATAAAGAAGACCCCACCTACACGTAAGGAAATGTACAAACGTATAAAACTGTGATTGGTTCTCGAGTCCCTGTGCTTTTAAGTAGGGTGTGTAAATACGGTGAAGTTTTTAGTCAGGGCTGCACGGTTATGTAATTAGCTGCACACCATGTACTTCATAAACACTACAAACACACTTATACAAATTCTATAAGATTTTAAGATGCACTTAAACTGTTTTCCAGAAAGAAAATATCCTCGTGGCTGATAAGAATTTTGTCTACTATTCACTGAAAGTGTTTAGATGGACTTTGCTGGGGTCAAAATATCACTCTAGGTAGAGAGGTAAAGAGAAGGGGTGGAGAAGAGGAATCGTTTAAGGACCCCAATACCACTGCCAAAACTGTAACAACATATTGAAAACTGTTAAAATATATAAACTTTAATTAATTTACAACAATTATGAAACAAGTTATTTCATCTTATATTAATCACTCCTGTTGGCGCGGACATTAACGTGCCCGCGGGGGATCTTATTGAGGGAGGAAACCGGAGTACCCGGAGAAAACCCACGCGATATGTGACCCTTATAACTTTCCACGTCCGATCGGGGAATCGAACCCCGGCCGCCTTAGTAAAAGGCAAGTGCGCTATCCTCTGCACCACTGTTTTTTTCCCGGCATGACAACAGCTTTATTAAAATGATTTCTGAAAAGGAAACCGAACCTTGCAGGACTTTGATGAAAAGATAACGAAGATGAAATAAACAAAATATAACCAACAATAGTGTTCTGAATGTAAAATAACTAAGTTGGCCTAGATCGGCATTCGAACTCTGGTATTCAGACTGTTATGCTATCGCTCTAACCGACTGAGGTAACTATTCCGTCTTTGCGTATTGCAGAGTTATCTTCTCTTGGGAGCAGGTATTGATTGTTACGTGATTGGTTTGTGCGAGAAAATTACGTCGTTTTCTCAAAAATTGATGACGTTACTCTCACAAACAAGTGACGTAACAATCAATCCCTGCTCCCAAGAGAAGATAACTTTGCAATACGCAAAGACGGAATAGTCAACGGCAGTGTCGGGGCCTGTTACGGCAAGATTTCTCACCCCGACACGACTTTTTCTCATCCGGATGAGAAATCGTACTAAACATATGGACATAGGAAACACATTTTCTCACTCGGCACGATTTCTCACCCCAGCTCTCTGTCTCCAGTGGGGTTATTCATCAAGGGGTTTTTTATGTATTTTTTGGGATAAACATAACAAAATTTATTTTAGAACCATACGTTTTCTCTTCTTTTTGAAATCATTTTTTTCGACTTGGATTGAAGCCCACATGGAATGAAATATTAGCATACGGAAAAAACCCACCAAGTAGGTGAGAAATCTTTTCGGGTTGAGAAATCGTGTCGTTACAGGGCAGTAATATCTCAACAGAATAGAAGGGGAGGTAACTGTATATATATATAAATAAAAACTACAGTGTAGAGGTACATGTATCCTTAAAGAAAGCGTTTTGCCTGTGAGACATTTAAAGTGTAAAAGTTTTTATTTCCGGTTCATTGGTCAAGCATCCAAAGGACCTCGATAAAGGGGCTTGATATAAATGCATTAAGAACAACTACATTCATTTGATTTATTCTTCAAACAATATTTTCCAGCAACGCGAGTATATATTTATTTCAAAAATACTGAAGTTAGTTTTTGAAAACGCTTTAATTCTATTCTTTGGAATAATAGATACCGTCGTTCTCTTCACAAAGTTTAAATTATCACCACAAAGAGAAGTGGTGGTGGTACTTGTGTATTTGTGAAAGGTAGGGGGGTGGGGTGGGTTGTTGTTGTTGTTGTTGTGTTGGTGATGTTGCTGCTGCTGTTGTTGTTTTCAATCGACATTCACAATTTATTCATTCATTCTTCTGCTCATCGAATCCTATGAAAACCACCTGACACGATATAACATCCGATAATCGGCTAATATATCGCGCTAAAACTGCTGCGTACGCATAACGAAATCGTTCATAAATATGGGCATCAGTGACACGTTCCTCATCCGGTAGGATTTCTCACCCTATCTCAATTGTGGTTTTGTCAGATTGACTTCATCTGCGGTGCTTTGTCTTTTTCGAATAATCTTTATTTTATGACATTTTGAAACAAGATTTTTATCATCTTGTATAGTCACTCGTGTTGGCTCGGATAGAAATGAACAGGAAGTCTGCCCGTGAGAAGAAATCGGAGCATCCGGAGAAAACCCACGTATTCGGCTTGGTGGCCTACACCTTAGCATATCCGATTGGGAAATTGAACCCTGGCCGACATGGCGAAAGGCAAGTGTGCTATCTAGCTGCACTTGAAAGGGACGGCAGGCAAAGTAAATTATTTTGCAGTCTATTATTTAGCATAGGTCAACGAAAAAGTTATCTTAATCGATATCCAGGGGTTACACTCACTTTCGCTCTCTGCACCCCTAGAATATGTCATAGCAAAATAGAAGACACGCGGCTAGCTATTTGATTGGACTCAGGTAAAAAAAACACCTGATCAATCGCTAAAACTGGATGTAGAATGCAAACGTGAGCTTAAAGTAACCCCATGAATATGGAGGATGACGTAAATAAAACTGTAACTAACTCTCGTATAGTTTATTTCAGTTCTTTATTACATGTACTTTAAACACTTCGGTTCATCAGTACAGTGCATATATACACAGTGAAAACATACAAACACAGCACAGTTTACAAACAGTCCACCGGTGAACAGTCACACAATACATAACATCTGGCACAGTGAATAAAAAGAAGACCATCCTCTCACATTGCATTAATCCAGGACGTCCTTACTTACAATAGCAAATGTTGTGTTATAGTCTCACATAAACATTTGCCTTTTCAATACATTGCAATGGAAGGAGATTCAGAGCAAATGTCAATATATAGCTGGGAATACCATGACCCGGGTTTTGACGTCATCATTATTGAGACGTCACAATGATTATCCTTGCTGGACTAATGGGTGTTCTATTAATTGAAAACACATACAATACCAGTGGCGGATCCAGAGGGGGTTTTGGGCTTCAGGAAACCCCCCCACTCTGAGAATTTTCTTTAAAAATCAAGTATTTTCACCATTTTCCTCAATTTCCCCCCACATGGAACTCCCCCCCAGATAGGTATCTGGATTCGCCACTGGATACGCATATTTTTTGAGTTTACTGCTTAATTTCGGGGTTTTTTATGAGATTAAAATCTTGCAAAAACGGGAAAAACAAGTATTGAACTAAATTCAACACGATGCGCTAGCGGGCTTTATTGAATCTGCCTTTATCCAGTTGGCATTTATATTGTCTATGAATGCAAAATGGATGGCTTTAGAAAGCCGCTACAGTCAGTGCTGTGTCACAATGAAGCTGTTGTGAACTGCAGTGAAAAATTCCCGGTACATACATCAACTACAAAATAAATTTACAAAAGTTGTCGTATAATATGCTTCTTATCCCCGCTATGGAGAAATACAATATCATGATGATATATAAGTTATGTTATCCATCATATGTATATTTAAAAACAAAATAGCATACAACATATTTTTGCATATGAAGCTATAAATATTTATGAAAAATATCATTTTCTTCATTAGATGTGTTATACATACAAACATACATTATTGATAAGATATCTTATCAAAAAGTATACAATACCACACGTTTGGAAGGATATTTCATATCTTTCATGAGACATACATGTACATATATATATATATATAGCATAAGCCTCTCGTGATACAGTAACATCTCGTTATAATGCCACCATATGTCCAGAGAAATGTTGGCATTATAAAGAGGTTTGGCGATATATTGAGGGAAATATCAAATACAATTTTAAAAAATAAGGAAGATGAAAAAAGGATCTTGAAACTTTTTGGCGGTAAGCGAGATTGCAAATAAAATGAGGGGCATTATATCGAGGTTTTACTGTATATGATATCTTGCATGTATAAAGACATACATATCAAATAATCCATCGAAAAGAAAACACGACGTTAAGAAGAACCTATTCAAAAATTATTTTGTTGATGCAGAAAGCTAAAAACAAAAATAATATTTTACTGCACCACATAGGTATGTTTACATTTCCACTGCAAGTTACTCTTTAAGGATTGACAGAAAAAATTGCGTCCATGGAGCCATGAACGCAATTTGATCAATGCTTTTGATAAAACAGGAATCGTCGTTCATGTTTTGTTAACCGCACTGGCTTAAAAGTCCGATTCACGAGATTTAGGTAACTTACATAATAGTGTATTGGGGAGTCGATGAATGATTGCGAATCGAGCCCACAATGATCTCAATCCATAAAGATGATTCTTCAATATACTTTATGAACTAGAGGATAATGGTGTAGAATATCATGATTTATAATATGAGACCATCTGTTGATTGTTTTCTGTATGTTGCTGTATGCATGGTTTCAAAATCATCGTCTGTGTAATGCTTTGTTCGCTTTTTAATTCTACGGACGATAAAAGCGATGACTAACGCACCGATGACGATAACAGCTATTCCTAATGTGAGGGACACAACAAACGATACTGAATGTACAACGCCCTTGTTCTGAAGGACATATTGTTTGACGCCAGGTTTTGGTGTATACCTGTAAGCGTGCACAGTATCCGATATATTATCAAATGATGAAGTCGTCACTTCCTCCGTGCTGTCTTCTCCGTCGGTAGTGATAGTAAGACTTTTGTTAAGGTCGGAGGAATCAGAAGTTGGCTTACTGCGAATAGAATCCGTATTTTCACTGATATACCCTGAAAATGATGACGAAATAGGAGTTGACAAGTCAATGACGTCACTTCCTCCGGTATTGATAACAGATGCCATATTTGATAAGGTAGGTGTTTTACTTGATGACGTCATTACATGTAGTTTGGTTAATGTCGTCGAAACAGGTAGTGATGACGTTGACTTGGGATATGTACTGGTCACGTCATGTCCGGTCGGTGCTGTTGTTTCCTCAGTTGTAGATAGTTGTGTTGTCTCACTTACTGTGGTCATTTCTGTTGTTCCCATTTCCTCTGTTTGTGACGTCACTTCCGTCGAAGATGGTTCCGTGGTTGTTATCACACCTTTAAAATAAAGAAATATCCAAACTTGCAAGATCTTTATTACAATAATGTTAAGTTTTGCATCAAGTTATATTTCTAGGAAACGTGATTTTCCAAATAAAATTTGAACGCTATGGGAGGAAAAGATCCCACAACTCGTGATTAACCTCGTGTCTTTATACGATTTGAAAATTAACTAACTCCTGTAATATAAACATGATTAACAACCATCATTCGTTGGAGAACCTCTATTTCTCCACTCTTAAACATTACATGTGAAGAAGAATTACCGGTTTTATATGTCAAAATGAAACGTTACCTTGACAGTCGTAAAGGCTAATGTCATCCACAGCTATGTCGCTTATGTAGCTTTCCTGTCTTGTCGCCGTCAACACAATCTACAAGAAATAACAGTTTATTGTAATATTGTCACAAATACTACCATTGTCCACACTGTTTCCAGCGATAAGGTGTCAAGGGCATTATATCATTGTATCAAAACTGTTCTGGGTTTTTATCAACAATACCCAATGACACGATNTATCATTTTTAAACTCATAGAGAGTTTCTTCTATTTTATCATAAAAAGTTGGGTTGTCAGAGTTTGGACCATACAATGTAATTAAAGTTATTTTCTTACCTTCAATTTCTAGATCCAATGCCAAAAAATTCCCTGTCAAGTCTTTTTTTTCCTTTATCACCTTGACTTCAAAATTGTTATTGATAAGTATTGCTACCCCCCTTGCATTAGATTTAAAAGAATTAAAATAGCATTATATCATTGTATCAAAACTGTTCTGGGTTTTTATCAACAATACCCAATGACACGATTCTGCCTACATATATCACAAACACCCTCTCCGGAGGAATTTGTTGTCTTAATTGTAAATTATATTGTGTTTTGATTTCATGTGCTCCTCTATCGATCATGTCTAAAAAAACGTGAGCTTGTAAAAAAGACATTATATAAAATAGTATAAGAATTATTTTCAATATTCAAAATGATTTCCAAATTATCACAAACTACTATAACATTATACACTAATTGTTACGCTATTTTGTATACTAACATCAACTCATAAGACTTATAAGGGATGGGTTAAAGAGGGCGTTAGAACGAAAGAAAGGACAACGCCAACAGGAAACAGGTCAACATCCACTAATTATATATATAGATATAAGGGGCGGAATGGGTAAACATTTTACCCGTTCCCCTGACTGCAGTACAAGAGTGCAATTGGCTGAAATTATTCTATGATTTTTGACAGCTGTCTTTACTGATTCGGCACACTGAGGCTTAGTGAGTTGTTTTCAGCGGTTTAGGGTCGAGACACCGGTCATTTGCACTCTTTGTTTGGCAAAGGAAACAGATGTTTTCGAAACTTCGCAAAATAAGTCTTCAACTCCTGTTTGTATTTAAAACAAACTTAGCCTTTATTGTTCATACCAAAGTGATGAATCTATACATTGCTACTATGCCCATCTTATAGATAAACGCCCCTCCTCTTTTATTTGCTCTGTCCACTTACCCTAAAAGGTTTATCCGTCTTGTAGATGAACACCTGTCCTTCTCTCCAGTCCGGACCCTGGTTTTCCTTGACAGTGAACAGAACATCATCCTTAATGGCTAGGGAACCATTGTACACGCGCAGACTTATCGTCAAGGAGCCAACCACTGATTAAATATTCAAATCAACAATGATTTAATTTTGTTGGATTTGTTGGGCAATCGATTTACAAATGATGTCGCTTTCCAATGTACATAATTGAAAATGTTCGATTATTTTGAAAAAAATTTACAAAGTAATATTGACTTGTATTAAACGACACAAGTTTTTCCTACCTCCTTATTGGTTGGATGATAATCACGTGGTGGTCGGTGATTTGTGATACTGACTCGGTGTAAATAATAATTACAATAAGTTTATATAATAATACTATTTTTTTGTTAATGACCCTAGCGACTAAACAACGACTGGTCTGAGTACATCTTGACTAAATTAGATGAACAGACCACATGGGCTTTGTGAACAATGTTTACTTGCCGAAATATTCACAATTGAAGTTCCAATTTAATCCGCCTTGCTACTTCCAGTCGCCATTTTGTAAACAGGGGCCTAATCTCGAGCTGATGCGCGTTTGAAAGAGTTTGACGTATTGCAAAGCTTCTAAACGATCATGCCCAGAACATACTCTCTAAGGATGATGTTTTTGATCAATTTACTATCAATTATTAACTTTATTTCTTTTTTGTATCACTTTCATTAATTCATAAAAGAACAAATTGATTTTTTCCCCTTCAAACTTTTTTCTTTCAAATGTTAAAACACATTTTTTTTGAAAAAATGTTCTAGTTTCGAGATTTTGATCAAACGTCGTCTGCTTCGCAAACATTCAAGAAAATAATATTTACAATGTATTGCTATTGTTTTTATTAACTCGTTTATTCTTTAAACTATCTTTAATTAATAAATATTAAGATTTTGTGAATTGAAAATTTGCATTTTATGACGTAACCGGAAGCGCACTTGAACGAGAACGTGACCCGGATATACCTCACAACATCATCGGGACAGTAATAATAAACAGACGTCTATCGAACATTAACATATTAATACCGTATGTATTGAGACACTGATGTGCTAGAATACAACACAAGGTAACACTCGTTTAATCCATTGCTATCACATCAAGTACTAACTGACATTTATGCGAAAATATCAGCATTAAATGTTTGCGATCGCGCAGACCTACTTTCGTTTTACAGTTTACATACATTTGTACATGTCGGCATCAACAGTATACCTTAACTTGTGTCCTTCATCGTGCCGAAGATTATACAAAGGCGCATTCTAGGAAAAGTTCGTGATTAAAAGCTTGTGTGTGTGTGGGTTTTTTTATCTTAAAATTATCGGATAAAAGCATAGAACCATTATTTTACGTTGAATATATGTCATAGTTAAAATAAGCTCTCAGGGGCTTGTATTTCGACAAACATATATTTCTATATAAATGGTAAAACATTGTAACAGTGTAAGGCAAACAACAATTTTTATCACAAGATACCTACGTGGGAAGGATTAAGATAAAGAGGCTAAATAATCATGCTGTACAAAATTTGGCACTAAAACAACTTACTTAAAAACCAGTCCAGAGGGCAGGTGATTGGGACATAGCATTTATTTGTAACCAATATTAAAAGACGTTTTTAGTATTGATGCTGCTCGTGACGCCAGTGATGTATTTTTTGCTTACAAGTTAAAGCGTCGTTATCCAAAAAGAAGATTAATACAAATTGAATAGTGTGAATTGCCTACAGCTCCTGTCAAAAGTCAAAAACATTCCTCTCATGTTCTTTCTCGTCACCTGGACGTTTGTAAGTTAGAACAGCTGGTCTCGCAGACGCTTAAACTATGAACACAATATATATACAGTTATACCACAGTATTGTAATTGTCTCGGTATGGCTACGAATGCGTTCCAGGTCAGGTAATAGAGCATCAAATGTATTAAATTCAAATAAAGCACCACTTCACGACAATCATGGATTCATATGGGTACAATGTTATTAAAATAACATTCATACAGTGCATGCAAGCTGAAATTAGCAAATCATTTGTTTAAAATAACAAGTCATCATTTCCATGAAATTATCCAAATAAATAAGATCTTTATGTCAAAATAAACTTCAGGTTTGATTTAGTATTGTTTAATGTACGTCCTATCAACAGCTATACATGGTCATTTAAGGATGGCCTCCCCCATTTGCTAGATGCATGCGTGTGGTGAGTTTGTGCATATTTAATTTGTGTTTTTGGAGTCTATGGTATGTTCATGTTTGTCTCCTTGTGATAGCGCAGGACCGATGCTGACTTTATAGTGTAATTTCACTGGAGCATACTGCTGAAGACACATCTTATTTTACGAACTTACCTCGTTATCTCACCATCTTTAATAGCCAAGGGTTCATAATTTAAATTTGTACTATTCAACCTTGGCAGATTTAGCCTTGTGTTTAATTTCCCTCCCCTGCCACCTTGCATAGACACTTTACTAGCAAAACTTTAAACTTTCAAGATTATTTCAGCACTGGTCGCCTATGTATTTCCCTTGGTTATCATTTACAGTTAGAATATGGTCAATTATCACTACCAACTGATCATATACAGAAAATGTTTTTTTAAGTATTGTCCTCCATTGTTTTTTTTACATAAATCATGACATATAGTCGACAAGGCAACTTGGTACTGGGCGCCGCCATTATTATTTACATGCACAGGAACTTGGTATTAGTTTCTAATATATGTGTATTATATAATGTATGATATAAAAAATGGGGACCATAGGATGGTAATTTGTCCCTGTGCCAGGTTCAATAATTTGAAAGCTTAGAGAACAAGGCTGAAAACATGTATGGAATGTGTTTTTTTTAAGGGAGTCTGTATAAACACATTATGAATATGTAAAATTATGATGGAAGTCCATTTTACTCGAATTACCTGACGTTATTTTCAATACCTTCAGTTCATCTATATTTCCACACTGTTCTCGGTATTCCGTCTATGCGTATTGCAGAGTTATCTTCTCTTGTGAGCAGGTATTGATTGTTACATCATTGGCTTGTGTGAGATAATTACGTCGTTTTCTCGAAAATTGATGACGTTACTCTCACAAACAAATGATGTAACAATCAATACCTGCTCACAAGAGAAGATAACTCTGCAATACGCAAAGACGGAATAAGGGATAGGAATCAGTTTGTTTTTTGGGTTTTATAAATCCTCGCAACCCTTTTTAAGTCATATGTATAAGAAAGGTCTGCCAAATATCTGATTCTTTGACAACTTTACTACAAATATATAGCAGGATTTGAGCTTTCTATATCAACTGCACTACACTTCATATTATTTGTTGACGTTTTTCTGCTACAATACATGGAGTTTCCTCACAAGATACTGGTAACCAAAAAGAGTCTGAAACCTTAATCATATCTTTTAGAAATCTGTGTTTAAAAAAAATGTTATACATGTATCTCTTCGATCCACTAAACATCAACAAACAACATTTAAACCCTTCATTCCCTAAATCTGTTATTAAAAGGATTGTAAAAAAAAATGTGTTCGCTTAAATGTTAAAATATTTCTGTTCAACATTCATATTTACAGTGGTGTTAAAATCCACTAATACGTAAGTTGACATAAAATTGTACTGCAGTATTTTTTGGTCTGATTTTTGACAGCTAAATAAGTCTCATCAAGGGTCATTGACCTGTCAGAAGTTGCAGTAGGCAAAGTTATTTGACTTTGGTATGGAATCATCCTAAAAATAGAAGAAAGTAAGGGCTGGATTTTCATGAACTTGAAGAGTTGTGCCCCTTTGTTTGCTTTCCTATACATCTTATTCTGCCAGTTTATCATTCATATTTTTATTTTTCCATTTGTTATGCACTTCATATACATCTGATGAGAATGAGAGATATTTAAAAATGCACAAAATTCGCCAAGAAAGCTGAAAGTTACAAAAGGCCAAAAGGTGAAACTTGACACCATGCACGCCGGGTTTGAACATTTTACTGTATTGTTTGTTTTACTTTCCATGTGGGGAGGATTTTTAATGCATCTCGACTGTTATATTAATCAATTAATTTTCATTTAGATGGTGTCCCTGAGAATTATTTCTTATATAATTTTAAAATTTGTTTCAAGTAATACTCATACTCTCTGTTTTAAACTAGGAACACTTGCTAGGTACTCTAAGTATTTGTGCGGTTATGATTGATTGTCTTCCTTTGGATAATATTTCTGTGAGTTGTGTCCCTCACATGATTTCCTCACATTTTTTTCTGTTATATATCGGATATAGTTTGTTACTTCTGTAAGTTCCAAGTTTCCTTTTAGATAAAATATGTCATGTTTAGGTGATTTTTGAGAATTGGTGGTTTTGCGAAATTTGCTTTTTGTTTTGCAAGGTACCAATATTTTTTTGTTTATAACATATATAGGGTGCTCCCATAGCTACCACTTTCTTTAAAATGTAGATTTTCTTCCCGCTGTTTTTGGAAAAAAACATCCAGAAATTTTAGAAAGTTTTGAAGTTTTGCTTAAAACTTACCATACTGACAATGTCAGACAATTTCAGACATGCGAAACATATAATAATGTGTAATTCTTCTTGAATTTGGTGTACAGATAGATCTTGAATTGACAGATCTGTCAGATCAGCACAAATTACTTATATTGGAGTCTACATAAAGAGTTATGTCCCTTTACTTTCTTTTTCAAGATTACATGAATCAAACAATTTTCTACTCGAGTCATCGAATCTATCAAAACATAATTTACATACAATGTACATGGGGGAGGGGCTAAAAGTTCGCCCCCTTAAGAATCGGGGATTTATTTTCATGTCTACTACTTGGGGGACATTGAACAGACCAAAATAGATCTTCTGCCCCCATTGCAACACACTTGGGATCTTAAATCTTTCCTTTCTTTCTTCACTGTTCTGCCTTTCCTTGGTTGTGCCGCCTGAGAAGCATGGCGAAAACTTAAGGATCAGTCTGTCCGTCATCACACATTGTCATTTGCGGCGGCAGTCACATTTAAGTTTTCCAGACTTTGTTTGGCCACCATTTACCATATCAATTTGTAACTTTGTATGTGGCTTAATCATAATAGATTACAGATTAGATTAAGTTTGAATCACATGCTAATATTTTATTTTTTTGCTGGAGTTACATGTATGGCCCTTCACACATTGGAAGTTCTCATAATTAACTGTTTGCCATACTTTGTTCGTTACCACTTGCCACTTAGTATGCGGCTTTATCATAATGGATTACAGTTAGAGTCCAAACCCTGTGTCAATATTTCATTTGTTGCTGGAGTTATGGCCCTTCGCACATAAGAAATCTCATAATTAATGTTTTCCCAGACTTTTTTTCGCTACCACTTGCAACATCAATTTGTTACCTAATATGTGGCTTTGTCATAATGGATTACAGTTTGAGTTCAAATCCCGTGTAAACATTCCTTTTTTTGCTGGAGTTATGGCCCTTCGCACATAAGAAATTATCAAAATAAACTTTTGTTTGGACTTATTTCGCTACCGCTTGCCATATCAATTTGAAACTTTGTTTGTGGCTTTATCATAATAGATTACAGAGTTTGAACCATGTATTAAAATTCCATTTTTGACTGGAGTTATGGCACTTTTGCACATAGGAAATTCTCATAATTAACTGTTTTCCATATTATTTGCAACTTAGTATACATGTATAATGGATTACAGTTTGAGTTAGAATCCAGTGTCCATGTTCTAGTTTTTCTGGAGTTATAGCCCTTTGCACATAGGAAATTCTTATAAGTAACTGTATTTGTTCCGTCAACACATGCACTTCCTTCGAATTGCAGCTTTCTTCTATAGGTGACACCCGTCCTCATATGACCCTGGCTGTTCGAGGACATAAATCACCTGATACAGTACATCATTTGAAGTCCTTCTGTATGGCTTGATGATGTTTTCAAACCAATGGTCTAGAGCATTACTTGGTTAAGAAGACTGAATGCCGTTTAACAGAGAGTCTCTCTCATAATACTCTGGCTCCCTATGGGGAGTAGTGGGGTCCACAAGGGGGGTTCTCCGATTCAATTACACAATTTGTTGTTAGGACCCCTGCACATCTTTAGTAATCAGATTTTCCGTCTGTCCTTCTATCTGTTTTTAGCTCACCTGCCAAGGACAAGTGAGCTTTGGCCCTGGTGCGGCGCCCGGCATCCCGTCCTGTCCCGTTGCGTCGTGTCCCGTCTCTATTCAATGTAAACACTTAGCAACTTCATTCATTAACAGATTTTGGTCAAACTTTATACAAAGGTCAAGTTTGGGTATACTTCGGACATCTTTGTATTTCAGGGATCCAAGGTCAAGGCCAAGGTCACATTTGCTATATATAGAAAATCATCCTGTCCCGTCTCTATTCAATGTAAACACTTAGCAGCTTCATTCTTTCACGGATTTTGGTCAAACTTTATACATAGAAAATCATCAACTGATTCAATTTAAACACTTAGCAACTTCATCCAATATGTTATGGAGATAGTAATAACATACAGAAAAAACATATGAATATTAAAGTCAACTTATCAACTTTAAGTGTAGAACCTTGTGTGTGTGCATACATGGACTTTATGCAGTGTAATAAAATGTTTGCTTAACCTTTTGGATAGCTTTTCAGCCTTTGATATCAGAGGTCAAGGTCACTTACTATAAATAGAACATCAGTTTGTGCACTGTATTTCAAATTCTGTTGGACTGACTACACTCAAATTTTATCTTGTCCTTCCTGGAAGAACGTGCCTGCTTGGGATAACTTTTCAGGTCCAGTGGTCAAAGGTCAATGGGTCACTCTAACTAGAAAATCTGTTTAATGCACTAATGCACAATATCTTGATTTCTCTTGGGCTGATTACACTCTTAACTTTATACAGTGCTTCTTTAAAGAAAGTGCCTGCTTGGGACAACTTTCCAGGTNCATAATTATGGAGAATAGTCACGGCGGCGTTTAAAATATATATATAAATCTTATTACCGGTTAGCTTGTAATAATAATAATAATAATATACAACATTTGATATAGCGCCCTATCTAGCTAACCTAAGCCACTCTAAAGCGCTTTACAGTACATAGATATACAATTAATACAATTAGCATATACATTCATTAATTCAATTCTGAAGAATTGGCAAGATGCCTTATCAGGCGCTAACTACTAATCCTATGCCACCTGGCTAATACCTCCTTATGTGTGTATGCCTGCGTGTGTGCTGGAAATGAATTATGTTCTGTTTTGTAATGGGACCGTGCTTCCAACGGCATCTTTTATAGTGCCATCTCATTTGAATGCTACAGCACAGATACCGCAACATCCACCCCAGACCATTTTATACTCCACCTGGGTTGTTGGAGTTACTGCTTTACTTTATAAAATCAGGTTAATATTCCGTTTATGACGCTATTTCGATTGTGACATCACAATGCTTTCTGTCAAATACAGCACTTTCTTCCGTACAGTTTTCAGAGGTTCCCATTTTTTTTTTATGATTAAAAACATTATTTAGCGTCTAAAACAGTAATTAAAGACTTTTATTTTGGTCAATATGTGGTTCAATGGACCCGAGAAAGTGATACTGACCTCGACTTTGTCTCGGTTAATATTGTTTTCTCATGTTAATATAACCACATAATCACCTCAACAAACGTCCATAATTGATAGAGATGATGTAATGTATTGTTTGTATATACATGATTTATTCGCTAAACAGACTCAGTTAAATAACGGTGAAAGCTTATGCGTAGCGGTTGCATTATGATTGATCAACTATATTCAAAATTGCAAACTCACAATTTAATCCCTCGGGACCTTTCATGTGGTACCAGAACCGGAAACATCTACCACTCTTGGATTGTTGATACACGGGCGAGAGGAGGCGCGCGACATGTCCAGGAATCCGAGGGGCGGAGCTCTCCATGTAGATGTAATGGCCTGAAGATAGAACTCATGCATTATGCATATTTCGAGCGGAGATCTATTTATAGATGTAATGACATGAAGACATAAATAATTAATTTTCATATCGGACGATGCTCTCATAACACTTACATTTTGCAGATGCACAACATGAAGTTTTAACTCGCGAATTTACATAAGGGCCTGGATTCTCTGTAAAGACTCAATGACTTGAGCAAATAATTCATGAATTAATTAAGGTACATAGCTGTACCGCTATATTCTAAGTTTTCCTTAATTGAGTAAGTTCCCCTTACTTTCGTTTTGGACATACTGTAACTGTTATGTAGCAGTACAGTTCAGCCAGACCACTTCTGTTAACCAGCTGGTAGCTCAATCGGTTAGACCAACAGCATGGTAATCTGAGTTTTGAGGGTTCGAATCCTTGTTTAACCCTACTAATATGTACTCTCAAAACACTGCTGTTGATTACATATGGTTTATTATTTCTCAATGAAGTCCCGCAAGGTATGGTTTTCTTTTCAGAAATGATTTATCAAAGCTTTGGTCATGCCATAAAACAACAGTTTCCAATACTTACATGTAGTTACAGTTTTTAGCAATGGTAGAGGGTCCTTAAGAAAGTATAAATATCATGTAGCTATACGTCATGGATTAAAATATGGGGCGGAGCTCTCATTACCATGTACACATGACGTAATCTGATTGACATAAACATCTTAAAAATGGTTCGATATATGATGTTCTTAGCATATATATATATATGTTTCATTCGGGTCGTCGGGTGGTGCAGTGGATAGCGCATTTGCCTTTCACCAAGGCGACCGGGTTCGATTCCCCGATCGGACGTGAAAAGATTGGGATCGCCTGCCCGACCACGTTGGTTTTCTCCGGGTACTCCGGTTTCCTCCCACACCAAGACCCCCACACGCTAACATCCGGGCCAACAAGAGTGATTAATATAACTTGAAATAACTTGTTTCATGATTGTTGTAAAACAAATAAAGTTTCTATATAACTATTATTCTTCACATGAAATAACATCATATTTGTTTCGAAAAAGGTTATGCACAACTATGGATGTGGAACTTGAAAAGCTTTCATGGCTTAGTGTAACATCTTGCTGAAGCAGCAGCATCAACAGGTCTTGAATCTGAAGGCACAACCTCAGCTATGAAATCTACGAGAATATCCTTCCGTAAGCCTGTTGATTTAATTTACAACAACATTCCTACCGATTTACCGTTATTCCATACGTCTCTTCTGGGCAGTCCATGTATCTCTTTCCGTACGCAGATGACAAACGATATTCAAAAAGTTAGATTTTGCCAAGTTGAACCAATCAGAAAGCTCTTTCTAAAATTACTTTTGAAGAGAAAACAGAATATTGCCGACGAAGTTGGATCGAACTAATATGGCACAATGTTTACTATTTGGCTGTTTAGAACTACTATAGGGGTGTGGAAACCCTCATCCATCAATCATTTTTTGAGGGTGGACTTTAGCGGTGCTTAAGCGTTTGATTTCACTTATACTAACTTGCACTTAATATTATCTAGCGATAATGTGTTACTTGAATCAATATTTTCACACGGACGGTCTCCTTTTCCGTTTAGCCCTGTGTTTATTTCCTCCTTTTTGATTAAGTATAATTACCATCAAGTCGCGTTGGTCCGAGAGTGTGATCGGAATCCGGTCCTGTTCTTCCGGTGGTGGTCTTGCCGCTTTGTCTTGACCAATCAAAATCGTCCACCTTGTCTTGTTCCCACCCACAAAATTCCCCGTCTTCGAAATCACAACTTTCAATATTTTCTGGATCTATAGAAAGAAAATTCAATAATCGATTTTGCTTATCAAAAGATCACAATATTTGAATCAATATATGGTTAAGGTAAAGGTAATATTTAGCACGTGTCCCTTATTATAATTGAGCAGCTGCTTTATGCTTTCAAACTAATCGCAAGTATCCTTTTCAAATAAGCATAATCTTTCACATCAACTATCACATATACATAAACTACATGTATCCTACCACAAAATAAAAAGCAAACGAAAAAGACATGAAAGATTTATATAAATCTAGCATGTTCAATACATTAAACTGTAGCAGTAATTGTTCTGTGGTTAAAAATATATTCGGAATAGAAGGGTTTTTTACATGCATTTTTCCTTAGAGGGAAAAACTTGTATCATTTACTGCTGAATGGATGGCAAGTGATAAAGTAACCAGCGTCTACAAATGTACTTCTTAGACAGGGAAATGCGTACCTGCTGTTTCATTTCATCGAATTGTCATACAATTATAACACATATATACACTGATCCTTAATACCCGAATGCTATTGCATAAGTTACCTACTGTGGCAATCTGGGGCTGGAGAACTCCACTTCTCGCCATCACAATAAGCCGTCGCCTTGCCGACAAGGACAAATGTATCCAAACAATTAAACATCACGACAGCCTCGTTATGGACAAAATCCATATCTCTTCTCGGGTTGCTTGGCACTTTTGGACATCCGGGCGCTAGATTTGAAATAAACGTACCACAAGTAGTGACAAACATTTGGACCGTAAATCCTTTACATATTTTCTGTTGATAGAAATGCTTTGAACTGATGATGATGATGATGATGATATTTCAGCTGGTTGTCATGGTGACCAGCACTAAGCGACTCAAAGATGTAAGATCGTTGTCATGGTGACGTACAATAAGCGACACAAAGATGTCAGATGATTGTCACGTTGACGAACACTTTGCAACAAAAGGGCGTAAGATGGTAGTCATAGCTACGTATATTTAATAAAGAGAAGAGATGGTTGTCAAGGTGACGTTTACTTACCGACGCAAAGTGGAGGCGGGCTTTTCCATTTACTACCCTCACATTCTGAAGTCCTTGATCCATATCGGCTGAAGCCGCTGATACAGAAAAACGCTATTTTGTTTCCCGGCTTCCTTCTTACATAACCATTCTTTATCTTCGGGTTGGGACATCCACAATTTACACCTTTTGAAAATGATAGACAGACGATTCGACATTTTAAAATTCAAGTTCGCCAAGCGTTTCTCTGCATACTTCGGTCTTTGAAGCCAGATTATCATTCCCTTATTTTGTATGGGAATATATCAGGGAGACTGCTATTATCTGAGATTTACACATTACGCAACACATTTTAATGTTTTTGGGATTACTGAGTGGGTAATACAAGGCCGTATATCTCACTGTGTAACTGTTTAGTAAAGAGCTTGAATGCCTCAAATTAAATCACTGACATTTTAAAACTAACTCCAGTGCAGTACATTTTGCAGGTCATGGTAATAATGGCTTTATGCTATGAATTCAAGGGAGAATCCAGATTCTTGAACTTCTTGTAAACAGGAAAGTTTAGTACACTCAAGTTAGAAGTTTTACGTTTAAGATTACCTCTTTTAATAAGAAAATTTTGTTGATGCCCCCCTTATATTGATCTGGAAATCAACCGAATACAGAAAAATCTCTCTATTATCAGGCTACAATGATAGATGATAACAACCACTTATCTATGGAACATATATATACATTGGTTGATTTGAGTGTCGTTTCGTTGAATTAACTTTATGTTATATCGGGAAACCAAAATATAATGTGTTAAGACGAAAAGCGGAAATGATAACATCCATTTTGCTAATAAAAAAAAGTAAAGATAAAAATATAGGTCACGAATAAGCCACGCCTCTAATAAACGACCTGCATGGCCACGGCAACTGGTCCAGCCCTGCCTGGATCATACAGATTTTGCATGATCGTATAGGGTCTAACGTCCTATCAACAGCTAAGGTCACTCAAATGTACTTAGGACACTGATCAGTATTGCCGGATTATGCAGGCCCGGTACAGAACTACATTTGTATTAACATCAGTAGACAGGCATTTTCGAATTCGTGGTCTTAGATATTTTGTAATGTGTGTCTATCGACAGTGACTATGTAACGTGTGTCAAAGGAAAGACATTTGTACTGTGTGATCATAGACAGAAATCTTGTAATGTGTGCCCATTGATGTGATGTAATGTGCCCATAGAAAGATACCTTCGATAGTATGTCAATACACAAACAGACTTCGTGTAATGTATGTCCATCGACAGAAATTTTGTACTGTGTGCCGAAAGACATTGTGTTATATATGCCCATAGAAAGATACCCTCGATATTGTATGAATACAAAGACAGACTCCTTGTAATATATGTCCACAGACAAAAACAATCCATGTGTGCCCATAGACATTATGTAAAATGGGCCCATAGAAAGATAGCTTCGCAAGTGTGTTAATACACAAACTCAATGTAATGTAGGTCCATAGATAGAATTTTTATAATATGTTCCCATAGACAATGTGTAATATGTGCCCATAGACATTGTGTAATATGTGCCCATAGACATTGTGTAATATGTGCCCATAGACAATGAGTAATATGTGTCCATAGACATTATCTAATTTGTGCCTATAGACATTGTGTAATATGTGCCTATAAACATTGTGTAATATGTGCCTATAGAAACATGTCCTCGCTAGTGTGTCAATACACAAACAGACTTCTTGTAATGTTGCCGCTGCAGGTTCGGGGAAATTTAAGACGGCCTCCCCTCTGTGCAAGATGCATTATGCGTGTAATGTATGCGAGTGTGTTTTGGGAGGCTGCGATATGTTCGTGTTTGTCTCCTTGTGATGGCGCGGAACTGATGCCGACTTTATAGTGCTACCTCACTGAAACACACTGCCGAAGACACCCAGCAGGACACCCACCCGGTCACATTAAACTGACGACAGGCGAACCAGTCGTCCCACGCCTAAATTGCCGAGCGTTAAGCAGGAGTAAAAACTACCAATTTTTACAGACGCTGGTATGTCTCGTCCAGGAGACAAAATCCAAAGCCTTCCTCACAGGGACGAACGCTCAACTCACCGCCTAAAGTGAGGCATTGTCAAGGGAGACATTAGGAAGAAGAAAGTTGTTTAGAAAGAAGAGAAAAGATATGATCCCAAATTTAGTCGCCTCTTACGTTCATGCAATAGGAGCAGCACAGGTACCATTCTTACGCCCTACCCGCAGGGACTGGAAAGTAAAGGCTTGCCTTATCCCACTACATGTTGCAAAAGGCCATTAATATAGGGCCCCTGCATAATCGGGCACTTTCAACTGATCTGCTGCCCCCATTGCAAAATTTGGGACACTATGTTATATGTATCCATTGCAAGGTAATTTGTAATATTTTCAAAGGGCAAAACCTTTATAAAGTTCATAAATGCAGTAACCTCCCCTTATCTTCTATTTGGATATGGCCGCAGCACAATTTAGACCGGTCACTTCCATTGACCAGGTAGCTCAATCAGTTAAAGCGATAGTACAACAATCTTGAGACTGGGGTTCGAATTTTTTTCTTCTGATATAGTCCTTCTTAACATGTAGATGGACACGATGTATATGTCAAACCATTTTCTTACAAACCAGAGTCGTAAGCAGTAAGAGTAAGCACACTAACACTGAAAGCTACTTTTGAAAATTTGATTACGGGTGCAAAACGTAATAAATCTAAATATAAAAATATTATTTTTAAGTGTAAAACTAACTGTTATTCGATCAACTTACCAGGTATCAACATCATTTGGAACAGGCCTAGCAAAAGATGGGATGTCCTCATACCTGTAGCTCATTGAAGATACATACAACACTTCCCTGGTCTCATTTTCTGAATAAATTATCACGCTATTCCTTTTTGTATCATTCAACGAAGAGAAGTACCACAAAAGTCCTGAGTACGTGACGGCAGCTTATAAATAGAAAAACAACATCCTTTTGACGGTTGATCACTTTAAGAGGTACATAACTGTAGGTTTATCGCTAAAACCACATGAATATTATACAGCTGGGTCCAATATAGACATACACTGTTAATATGATATGCGCACAACTGTGACCTTTGACCTTTTGATTGGTGTACTTACGGGCAATTTAAAGTTTAACTGCAGAACAAAATAAGATAAAATGATAGTGTGTGCGTCTCAATGGCTCTATTATGTGACATTTTGTCAGATTGAGGAGCTAACTTAAAGGTCACGTGACGCACATAAGTAGCTTCGTAGGTTTGTGAATTGTGACTTCCGGTTTACAACATTCCAACATTAACACCGCACAGACAACCTAGCGATATGAGGTTAGGGAATGACATTCTCTCGGCTTTCTGTAAATCCACCGGAAGTATGTGATTTGAAGGGTCAGGTCGTATACATGGGCGAGGTCTTGTCGTTTGACTGAACGAAACAAAGGTATGTATTTGTACTTATATATACATAACAACGATTTAAAAAGTTCAAAGGTCAACAGACGAGTATAGCTGCATGTACTACGTCAACTTGTCTTCGGAATGGTTCAATCGGAGCATCTAGTCCAGCAACGTCTCTTCATGAGTAGACGTTTGATATTGAAAACACAAAACGTCTTCAGTAGAGAAGCAAGAAACATACCGAAGTCACAATTACTCGGCACAAGCAACTGAAACATGAAGCGTGTGGCCTAACGCAGTGTCATACTGTAGTTTGGCGCGTTTTCTCAGTTCTTGTAGGGTATAACTTGCATAAAATGACGTAATCTTGTCAACGCAACTGTATATAGGAATGAAGTGTGTTAGCAATGTTTTAACAGTTATTTGTATAATATCTTTAACATTTTTACAATTTTAATCACATGTCGCTGTTTTATTTCTAATCTGTAACCATCTTCAATTAACATATTTATAGAAAATGATATTTTTAGTATGATATAAAGTCATTTCTCTTTACGTAAAGTTTTCACCTTAAACCATATATCAAACTGTAAGTTAATTAAGGACAACATCCCCCCCCCCCCCCTCTTTTTTTCTTCTTTTTTTATTTTCCACTTTCCCACGCAAATGACCGATTTGAACTATTTGTCATTCATCTTAAAGCTATAGGCATTTTGGAAATTATTTACATAAATGTTTTATTTTTTTCAAAACATGGAAATCAATTAAAACGGAAGAGTTTATTAGGAATAAGAATTAAATACACCCATTTTTGTTTTTGTTATATGGTCCGACAAATGGCGTCATAACAGTTATTTTTCAAAATTCAAATTTCCTATACATATGCATTTATTTTTGCAAACTCACTTCTGATAAGAAATATGATTTAACACTTAAAAACAGTGATAGGACATATTTTTACTATGTAACTTTGTACTGAGAACATGGTCAATGATGTACCTGCTGGGGCCCATTGCATGATCGGAAGAGGCGACTAAATTTGGGCTCTTACCTTTTCTAAACAACTTTCTTCTTCCTAATGTCTCCCTTGACAATGCCTCACTGTTGGCGGTGAGTTGGGCGTTCGCCCCTGTGGGGAAGGCTTTCGGTTCTGTCCCCTGGCCGAGACATACCAGAGTCTGTAAAAATGGTAGTCACTACCCCTGCATAACGCTCAGCAATTAGGAGTTGGACGACTGGTTCGCCCGTTGTCAGTATAATGTGACCGGGTGTCCTGCTGGGTGTCTTCGGCAGTATGTTTCAGTGAGGTAGCACGATAAAGTCGGCATCAGTTCCGCGCTATCACAAGGAGACAAACACGAACATATCGCAGCCTCCCAAAACACACACACAAACACTACACGCATGCATCTTGCACACAGGGGAGGCCATCCTTAAATGACCATAGCTGTGTGACGTTAAACAATACTAAACCAAACCAAACACGTAATACCACATGTTTTAGAGCTGGATCGAATCTTAATGTTTTTAAAGCGATTAATTTTGTTACACTTATTAGATGAAAACTTTTGCCTAAAAATACTGTGAAATAACTAATTTTCGTGGGTTTTTATAGTTTCGTTGATTTACATGATTAACCTCCATCCGCGAATTCATAGTTACACGAAGTAACTACAAGTTTGACATAAAGCTATTCTCCATGTGTGCATACTTTCTTTGCTTTGCCTCAATAGGCAAATTGGAAGTCCAATTTCCTATATTACTTGTTTATGTGATTCTACCTTTTTGTCAAAACTTGTGTCAGAATGGAACAATCCAACATGCATTCATCACACAATAACATCCATTTAAGCCCTTAAACGTTCTGCACAAAACTTACAATTGTATATGGATACTGAACTCCTATGAACTATAATGTATATTAGGATTATAAAAGGTACACATTACCTTATGTCAGAGTGCCTGTAATATGATCCCAGATCTATTTGATTCTCATCTAGATGATAACCCTGGCTGTTCTATATGTTTACCTGTTGAAGATTGTGAACACGTCTTTATCAATTGTGCTTTCTATATTAACAAAAACCTATTTCTTCTTAACCCTGCCTCCGCTCAGAGGATGGTATTCCACTGGATATTGATACTTCTCTATATAGAAGTTAAAAACCCGATGTCAACATGAATTCTGCAGACTTTGCGCTGTGTTAAATTGTAGATACTACACGTTTTTTGTCAGATTATTAATATTTTGTTGTATAATGTTTGCAATCTGGAATGGCTCCAGCACAGAATAGTATGTTTATGAGCACTTTGTCTATGCTGGCCGCAAGACCACGCATAACCAATAAACTGATATCATGTTGTGACAACCCTTGTCTCACTACTATGTGTACACACTGTTCATTACTATAAGGAGATGGGTTTCACATTCTTTGCCAATTGCCCAGTTTCCTTTTAAATTTGTATCTCACTTCTGAATAATATGCTATTAAAAATAAATAACATAAGTAAACTATGAACAGGTCATTATTTCTCTTCATGCACGTCATCAAAACAATGCAAAATGGATAATATCCCTTCGCAGCCTTTCTAGATAGAAAGTACGAAAACCTAATACAAGTACACTTAATTTGTTCCACTCTTCGCAAAAGTGCATCCTAGCGGAGAGAAATTGTACTATGGGAGATAATCTAGTACACAGAATCGGATTGTTTGACGATGATAATGAGTCTTTTCAAAATAGGTTTGCTGCTCTGGATTATAACTTTGACTTGAATCATATTTTATTGTCCAAATAGGTACAGAAGATTTGGCACAAGTGATAACAACTTAAGAAGCCATCTCATAACAAAATATTTCATATGTATATATATATATATACAAGTGATGACATAGACTATTATTCAACAATAAATATAAGTCAATTAAAGTAAATTGTAATAGAAAGATTTATATATATAGTTTATGTTAAAAAAACCTCCGCTGGTTTTTATAAAGTACTGCACATGTTCACATACATTTCAATTTATCAGATTATTACTCAACCCAAGCTTAGCATCAACTTGGACGCTCGATCTAACTTAAATATTTGTATACAGTGCTTGAAATACCATCATACTTATATAATATCAATGCCGTGTCTATGAGTGTCCAGGAAATTGATAGATATAAAAAGCTTTTCAGCACTATTGTAAGTATAACGTAAGTGCTTTTCGGCGATGTCTAAATCCGGTTTGGTACTTGCGGCAAAGCAAACATGTTTTATTGTTTGATACAACAAACATCCTCACTGTAGGTTTAGAGAAAATTAAAATCTTTAAATAATGCAGTTAAATTGGCTTTAACGTAGAAAGAGATGGTAAATACCTAACGTGATTGGTTTTTGATAATGAATTAGTATTTCTTTGATGTCAAATGAGTATAACAGGAATACTTCATGTAGAATTAATAATACTCAATCCCGAATTTATCAATAAGCTTTATCTCGATTTATTACGTTTTGACATACTCGAGGTCCTATGAATTTCAAGAATTCAGATTACCAGTCAGAGATAGCAGATTGCTTGATTTCGTTCCAACTTGATTTTTTCCTCCTTTATTTGGAGTCAACTTTCAGACAACATTTTGTAGTTGCAACCTTTTTCTTATAAGATCGTATTTCTATCTTATATACCTTTATATTTGAATCTATTTTTTCCAGTCTTTCGATAGTATAATCAATCTTTGTAACTTTGGTTTATGCATTTACAGATGAAGGTGACATGCTGGTTGTGTCTTTTGCTGGCTGTTGTTGGAGAAACGTGTGCAGGTAAGTATACCCGATACACCAGGGGTATCGCTCAATTTCGCTCTCTGCACCCAGGGAATATAAAAATAGCGAAATCGAAGGTTAAGATTACACCACCTTTATGATGAAACGAGAAGATCCTATGATGTATACCAAAGGAATAAGTCGGTTGCGTAACGGTAAAATTGACTGGCTTTGTAGTTGGGTGTCGGTCCTTTTTAATATTAAAAGGACATGTATCAGGTTTAGCGATTGGTCAGGTATTTTTTATTATTATTAGGCAAAAGTCCTGGTTTTAACTGGTTTGTCAGAAGGGCAATAATTTCGCCGTGTTTATATTTAGTGTAAATAATGTCTCCGCGAAAAACTAAGTGATAAACCGTACCCGCTACATTTTATTGCTAAAGAAGATATTTTTTTGGTTGAAGATTTCTGATCTAGATGGTCTTTGATAGATTTTTGGCTGACAATATTCATGTGCTGTTGTCAACGTTTGATTGCGCCATAAGACAACTTGTTCGGTTGCAGATATTCTGGCCCAGTTGTCAACGTGTAAAATCTCGTCGGAGCTCCGGGACCGATGGGTTCTCTCCGACAGTTCCCGGAACAAGCTTCGGATCCGCCGAAGAAGTGTTGTGTTTAAGGAACCTGGCCGTGTACTGCGTTACAAATGTCTGGAATCTAAGGGAAATAACACTTACCTTCTCAGGTAAGTCAGGGTATGTTGTATTCCACTTACATGTAGCAGGTAATTTTAGGTATGCTGTGTTACAATTCGTGGGTAGGTAAGGGTATGATGTATTCCACTTAGCAAGCAGGTTATGATATGTTATGTTCTTAGCAAGAAGTTCAAGGTTTGTTTTGTTCCAATTCGTGGGTGGGTTAGGGTATACTCTTTTCCACTTAGCAAGTAGTGAAACGTATGCTGTGTTCCAAAACGTAGGAAGTTTAGTGTATTCTGTGTTCCTCTTAGGATTTATTTAGGGTATGCTCTGTTTCCGATTTGTGGAAAGCTTAGGTTATGCTGTGTTTTACTTCGCAAGTAGTTTAATGTATGCTCTGTTCAAATTTATAGGTAGATTAAGGAATGCTGCGTTCCGAATCATAAGTAGATAAGGGTATTCTATATTCTACTTTGCAAGTACGTTTATGTAAAGCTATGATGCGTTCCAATTTATGGGGCAGTAGCCAGGTACTGGCCGTTGGTCGGTGGGTTTTCTCCGGGAACTCCGGCTTTCCTTCACCACCAAAACTTCGCACATCCTTAAATGATCACAGCTGTTAATAGGACGTAAAACACAAACAAACCAAAACAATCCAATTTGTGGGCAGGCTCGCGCATTCTGTGTTCCACTTAGCAAGTAGTTAAATGTATATGCTATGTTCCGATTTGTAGGTACTTTAGGTATAGGTCTTCTACTAAATAAGTACTTATACGTATGCTCAATTCCAGTTTGTGGGTGGGTAAAGGCATGTTGTGTTCTCAACAAGGAATTAAAGGTATGCCGTGTTACAATTCGTTGGTGGGCAAGGGTATGCTGTGTTCGAATCCGTATAGATAGTTTGGGAATGCTGTGTTTCAATTCGTAGGTACGTTAGGATATCATTTGTTCAACTTAGTAAGTAGTTTCAGGTATTTTGTGTTCAACTTATAGCAGGTAAGTTGGGGTATGCTGTACTTTCACTCGGTGGAGACATGTGACACCGGCATTTTTTTAAAACATGCTGTCGCATTCATTTAAAGATATGTTTGATACATCCAAACATTTCGAGTTGATCATTCTTAATTTGATTATACAAATTTACCAGAGCTACCTCTCTACTTCATCAATATGACAAAAGGTAATGAAAATTGTCCCAAAAGTGTTGCCAAAAATGACCTTTTTACACATTTTAAAATAATTCTATACATATATAATTGAAAGTTATTGTTTAGATTGTCATTTCACTTCAGATCACGCAATATAGAATACAGAAAAGATGGCGTCGTTTGTCTTGGGTTCTCTCCCCTGAAACGACCCTCGGCAGCTGAGTTCAAAGTTGTCAGACTTATAAGTGAGTAAACGCTTGAGATAATTGGCGATAGAAACCTAACACGGAACACGTTGCAGGGAAAGATATTCACGTTTAAATGATAATTTTGACTTGATATTGATGTTGATTGTTTTTTAAAGGTGAAAGCAACACACTAGCATGTAATTGGACCTTTAAAATTAAGTTCATACAGTCTGCCAAAATCTAATTACAAAGCATCATTCAGCCCTTTCGTCTTTGGATCTGAAATCATATATTTTTTCAATGATTTATTAAATTTAGGCATTATTACTCTAGGGAAGCTCCCTCGAGATGAAAAGAAAAAACTTGAGGACGACTTTTATACGAGACCAATTTATTATTAATTTTATCTCCTGTTCAAGATTATGTACAACTATATCACATGAACATATATATATCTATATGTGTTTGACTTTAATTCTATTCAGTGCACTTTTACGTATGTACCGAGTTGTCTTTTACTCACACTGCAAGTGTACTCCAGCATCATAAGGACAGTTGAACTTGATCTGAATGACATCAATAAGGTAGAAATTCAACAGTCAGTTTTATGATTTTCAAAATGTTGTATTCTATTCCAGCTGCCTCAACCTTCGGTCACGAATTAATGGGACCTAAACTGGTCAATTCAGGGTCAAATTTGACCATAGACAATACGTGTACCGGAGTCAACCAGCACATCCGTTTCTTCATTCAGAGAACCGGTAAGTTGGTTTATAAATATTAACTTTATTTGTTTTACAACAATTCTGAAACAAGTTATTTTTAACTTATATTAATTACTCCTGTTGGTCCTGATGTTAGCGCGCGGGGAGTCTTATTGTGGGAGGAAACCGGAGTACCCGGAGATAACCCATGTGGTTTCGCAGGTGAATGCATACCTTTTTACGTCCGACTGGGGAATCGAACTCCGGTTACCTTGGTGAAAGACAAGTGCGCTATCCACTGCACCACCGATTAAAGTTGGTTTATGATCTCAAGTAGGAGCGCGAACAGGATTTAAATGTTGTATTAACTTTTTTGTGCTGTATTATATTCACAGTTGGCAGTCTAAAAAATATTATCAGTCTCAGTCTAAAACCGACGAAACCATGCTGTGCCAATTATCGATTTACTGTCAAAGACAACAATACTATATAGCTAACTGCGGAGGAACACTCTACTGGGGAAAAGTGCACGCACTCATAAAGGTACCCTTAGCATCGTAAATTTAAATTATCCGCGACATTAACTGAAGATATACGTCTATAGTTCAGCGCGAAAAAACAAAATGAAATTTTAAAGGAAATGTACGGTCTGAAGTATTTATATAGACATCTGTTGACGCTGTGTGTATTGTAAAGACGTACGGAATTTTGGCATTTTTATAATGATATACAACATTTGATATAGCGCCCTATCTAGCTAACATACGCCACTCTAAAGCGCTTTAGAGTACATAGATATACAATTAATACAATTAGGATATACAATTTTGAGAAATTCGCAGGAGCTGCCTTATCAGGCGCTAACTACTAGTCCTATGCCACCTGGCTAATATCTCCCTATGTGTGTATGCCTGCGTGTGTGCTGGAGATGTATTGTTTATGTAGATATCTGTTGACGCGGTGCTTTTTAAAGACACGTGGTTTTGACGCACATATTTATGAAGACAGATGAAGTATATTGATTGTGACGACTGATAATGGGGTATTTTATGTAGACAGGATGATATATATATATATCTAAATGTAAACATACGTTGTATGTTAATGTTGTGTATATTTATAGACACGTATTTATGGAATTTATTACAGTAAATCCTCGTTATTGCCACCAATTGTCAAGATAAATTTTGGCATTATAAAGGTGTTTTTTTTCGATCATATGAAATAAACATATAAAGGAATTCTTAACAAGAAGAGGGAAAAAGACCTTGAAATACGTTGACGGTAAGTGAGGTGCTTAACTAAACAAGCGACATTATATCGATGTTTTACTATATACATATTAAACGAGGGGCACTATATGGAGGTTTTACTGTACATATTAAATGAAGGGCATTATATCGAGGTTTTACTGTACATATTAAACGAGGGGCACTATATCGAGGTTTTTCTGTACATATTAAATGAAGGGCATTATATCGAGGTTTTTACTGTACATATTAAACGAGGGGCATTATATTGATGTTTTACTGTACATATTAAACGAGGGGCACTATATCGAGGTTTTTCTGTACATATTAAATGAAGGGCATTATATCGAGGTTTTTTCTGTACATATTAAACGAGGGGCACTATATTGATGTTTTACTGTACATATTAAACGAGGGGCACTATATCGAGGTTTTTCTGTATATATTAAATGAAGGGCATTATATCGAGGTTTTACTGTACATATTAAACAATGGGGCACTATATTGAGGTTTTACTGTACATATTAAATGAAGGGCACTATATGGAGGTTTTACTGTACATATTAAATGAAGGGCATTATATCGAGGTTTTACTGTACATATTAAACGAGGGACACTATATCGAGGTTGTACTGTACATATTAAACGAGGCGCATTATATCGAGGTTTTAGTGTATATATCAAACGAGGGGCATTATATCGAGGTTTTACTGTACATTTTAAACGAGGGACACTATATCGAGGTTGTACTGTACATATTAAACGAGGCGCATTATATCGAGGTTGTACTGTACATATTAAACGAGGGGCATTATATCGAGGTTGTACTGTATATATCAAACGAGAGGTACTATATCGAGATTGTACTATATACATTTTAAATGAGGGGCACTATATCGAGGTTTTACTGTATATATTAAGCGAAGGGCACTATATCGAGGTTTTACTCTATATGTTGATGAGGTATATTTGAGTAGATACACATGTTGATGAGGTATATTGATGAGGAATATTAATATAGACACATGTCAATGAGGTATAGCCATGCAAGCCGCTTTTAATGAGGTATATATACTGACATGTGTTTTAATGTTTCGTCTTCGGAGTTCTGTTCTCACCTGAATGTCTTTAAACGTGTTATACATGTTTACAAACATCGCCAACTGTACTTTTTCTTTTAAAATCAAAACAATGTCACTGTTATTATAAATATAATTTTGTCGTCATCATTTTACATAATCTATTTCTTATACAATTGTCATGAAACTTCACTTGCATCTTCATAAGCATAACCTCTTGCAGGAATTTGTTTTGGCTCTCAGAATAAAAATAAAACTTTTACGATTTCACGCTTAAACTTTTCTTTTAAGACTTCCCTTTTTATGAATCGAATGTCATCAACCCTAAGTAGCTCACTTCAGATCACGAGTGTATTAACATTGTCTCTGTGTACCTTGTTTACTGAATATCAACTGAGCGTCCTGCTGATTATGAACCTAATTAACCTAATCATCCAGATGATTATAGAACCTCACTTTGATTATGACCTCTGACCAGTTACCGTCTGGCAAATACTAAAGTGATATTTGTTTTTCAGTCCCCGGATGCAGATTTGCTAAGGGTCTCCGGCGGACTTGGTTGACAACATTGAGATTTGGCTGGAATATGACCTTCACGAAATCCGACTTCATAATGACCTTGTCAAACGGAAGTAGTATTAGCTTTCGGTGTGAAAAAAGGGACAAAAATTTCTACCTTGTAAGGTAACACAACTTTGTACTGAATCAAATTAATTCCATGACTTCAATTTTGTTCTATCTTTTTTATATACAATGTAGCTTTTTAAATATAAGGGAAGTTATATATATATATATATATATATATATATATATATGCATTACATTTAAGTTTATTATTAAAGGTTGTATATATACATCATTCATGTTTAATGCGTTAACAGTTTTACAAAAAATAAAAGTGTCGCCTTATAAAACAAAATGAGAAATATGGAATAAGGTATTTCAGAGATTAAATTTTTCTATCAACTATTTTCAAGTGAGTTTACCATACACTTACCTCCTACAGGTCGATGTCGCTCCTACCCGGGGGTCAGGACGGAGTCCTGTGTGTGGACATATCGCCCCTCCCTGATGATCCCTTCTATAACTACCAAATCTCTAGAATGAACGGTAAGTCGATTTATTGGTGTAACAGCACTTGGCCCGTATTTCCTTGTTGTTTCCGTTATAAGTTAAGAATGAAATCTTACTTTGTCAATGATTTTGGAGAAGAAAAAAAAGAGACATTAGGACGAATACTGTTTTAATGTTTACATATGACATTTTGATCGTTTGACATGATTTTAGTGATATACTAGTAACTTGGTTTGAGCACGAAATCCATGCTTGAGCATGAGAACGGTTTCATAAATACGGGCCCTGATGTTTTCAAAGAGTTGCTACTGAGGTAACGGGGAGCAGTATCATACTGTGGACGTAGCAGATATTTTCTTTCTATGATAACGATTGTGCAGTCAGCACACAAGATATAAAATTTTGTAAATAAGACCCAAACAAACTAGGCTTAGATGATGCTATGCTAAAACGTTATTATTTCTCTGACCAACTAGGGGATGTGGTACATGCAATCTTGTTTTTATCAAGTCTGTTATCTGCGAAAACACTTTTACACATTTTTTATAACTTTTAATAAATCCAATTATAATACTTTTAATCTATAACATACATTTTTTGTACATTATAGGTGTGTTGTGGAGGATAATTCTATTAGGCATGCAAATCTCAAAACTCAAAAATGTCCTTTATGTTTAGAATCAGGTCATTTAAACTATACATTGCCACATTAATTGGCAATCCAGGTAAACCTACACACTAGCAACCTTCTGTGTTAGTAGAGGATTATTTTTGTGTTCCGAAATCTTTACCTCTTTGAGCTGAAATAGCTGGAAATTTCTACCAGTATTACCAAAGTAAAGGACGGTTATATTACAGTATTATAATTGGTAACTTTTATAATATTATCAATTAAATTGTTGCGATCATCACCTGTCACCAAATGAATTATGCTCACAGTTAGCAAGGTGTGCACTAATCAGTCGACCAAATAAACATTAAATCCCACCTATACTACCATGATTTTTTTATCTGAGTTTTTCTAATTTATGATTCTATTTTCTTTTCCTAATCCAACTTTATCTTGCAGTGTTTGTAAGACGACTGCCGGCAAATTTTTATGCGTAAAACTGTCAGTTTCATTTTACTTGCAAAAGGCGATGGTCAAGCTTTTTATACATACAACTGTCAGTTTCATTTTACTTGCAGAAGGCGATTGTCAAGCTTTTTATACATAAAACTGTCAGTTTCATTTTACTTGCAGAAGGCGATGGTCAAGCTTTTTACACCAAGAAAATCTCAGTTTCATTTTACTTGCAGAAGGCGATGGTCAAACGCTAGAGACGTTCCTGAAATTCGTTCCACGTGGCAAGGTTATATATCCTTATATGGACTGTGAATGGGTGGAGAGTCCCGCGAGACCGGTGTTTATTTACCCGACTTAGTGACCGGAAGTGACGTCGAAGAACAACAACCAATATAGCAACATAAATCTCCAAGATTACGAGTCATCTTCAGAAAATCCTCAAAACTGTACCCAGTATTGATGCCCACAATTTCTCTAAGTATGAGCTCCTTGGCAAACACTAAGAACTTTACAAGGGTTGAGTAGATTAAGCATTTTGGATCTCCCATTTTCATCAGAAAGATGAAAAGTACGAGCGTGCTTTTCTCGTTCTTATCACTCCAGGAAATGTTCTCTTGTGGGGAAAATATGCTATATTGTGCTGAGCTAACACATGATGACAATGACGTTAATGATATTCTTACCTTGGTGAAACCCTTACAAAATTGTTGAAGGTGAGTTTGAGAGACACTCAAGTTTGGAGCTTAATTTGTTTTGAACTTCTGCATTCATCTAATGTATTGTTTTCGAATTGCTTCATTGAGGATAATTGTTAGTCAGGGAAGACAATTCATTTATGCGTCATAGTTGATAAATTTTTCTTCATACACCAGAAAGTATTCCATAAACAATCATTTAATGTAGAAACATAGTTTTTCGAGAAAAATAATTTCCTGTATAAAAGCAGCGATGATACAAACATCTCCTTTTGAAATAACATGTCTGATTGGAATTTTTCTCGTATGAAATTTAAGGCATGTCCCATAAGCATAATTAATCTGGTTGCCTTCGTATACAGTAAAACCTCGTTATACTGCCATCATTTGACTAGCCAGGTCTTGGAGTTATAAAGAGTTAGCGATATGTCAAGGGAGACAAATACAGAAATTATTAAGAAAAACGGGGACGTTATAAAAGTAGGCTGCATGCGTAGATGCAAATAATGAGATGGACATTAAAGCAAGGTTTCACTATACCCAATGATAGTTCTAAAAATGACAACAGGAAACTGTTTGCAATTAATTCTTTTATTATTATTGATATATTGAAAATATTGATGCACCTTGTATATGAATATTGATCACAGATATAGGTAAATATTATGCAAATATTGATAATTCTATGTATAGTTACGTTAATACCGATCGTTCTTTGTATATACATATCAAGCAAATATTGATTTATGTATAACTATATAGATATTGATCGTTTTAAGTATGTAAATGATGTAATATGATACTGATCGTACTTTGTATGTAAATATTACAATTATCATTAGAAAATAAATTGATGTACATTCGATAACCATAAATCCTTTTTACATCGATTAAAAAATAAAGTACCATATATTATAATTATTAAAAAAATAAATATGTAAATGAGTAAATTTATATACAATAAATACAAAAATGTATGTACAGAAACAGTTTGTTATTATTTACTTGATATTGCCATATGTATAACCAATTATACTTCAGTAAACAAATACAAGATGTGATTTCTAGGAAATATATTATGATATGCTGAAGATATATGAAGCACAGTAACATTGAATCAGATTATATTATGTTGAATGAGAAAATAAGGAATAATGATAACAAAAATGTATGTCATGCTTGGCAAGAAGAGGGACAATTTTAAAATTCCGAAATACTGATTCATCAATGATTTATCATAAAATGACCAAGATTGTTAAAATTTTGATGAAAATATATGAAGGGGAGAGATAGATGACATGATGTTTAAACCAGAGATGATAAAGTATTTCGCTATTCATGAATACTAGATTTTTTCCTCCGTAAATCCACACCAAATAGTATGCGATATGTAGTGAAGAGCAATTTTGTCAAAGACTTTTCGAAAAACATTTGATACGTCTGTTTATTTTAGAAAATGAATTGCAGCTTTTATAAATTAATAAAACAAATACTGAAATTGAATAATAACAACTTAAAGATTAAGAAAAAATGGAATGCTATTCAAATGCCATAAATTAGAAAGAATCAAAATAAATACTGACAATTATAAAACTGAAATAAGTTATTTTATATATCAGTAAGCATTAAACCAATATAAAGAGCCGTTTAATGACGCACAGTAATCAAATATTGATTATATTTGATTCAGAGTTGTAGAATTGCTGAATATTATAAAGAAAAAATATGTATATGGGAAATCAGGGCAATGGGAAGGTTAAGCGGGATCGAGAAAACATATTTTGTTGTTAACAATTATTGAAATGTACCTATACTGTGTAAAACAATAAAAAAGAACGCTAATTAAAGTACTTCAGGAAGGTAGCCAAAAAATTGCATCACAAGTGAATACGTTTTGATTCGTGTATATGGTTCACAGAAATTTCAAAAATTAGATTATCAAAACATACCTTTTACTTGATAGAATAAAGATATATTTTTTTTGGTTTCATTTAGAATCCTTCCATTTCTTTTTTTACTTATTTTATTAATTTATTCTTATTTATTATACCTATCTTCTTATCATATCATTTATTATTATTTTTATTCCCCCCCCCCCCCCCCCCTTCTTCTTTGCTTTGGTGAATAACTACATTGAACATATAGTACCATATGAAAACATTTGGTTGCTTGGCAACGCACATCAACATTGGAAACACATTCCCTATTTCTGACTTTATTTGATAAAATTACAGACATAAAATGATTGAAGGATGTTTGACCATACAGATTCAGTTTTCCCTTATAACATTCTACCCAACCATTACCATATTACTCTTAAACGTTTAACGCCACAAAAAATATCCTTTTGAAAAATAAGTTATACCTTAAAGTACATTCTAAAATATTTTACCTAAACTGTTCTATCACTGCCCAACTTAATGCCATAAACTACCACTTGAACAACTACCCCCGACACAGAAATCATTATTCACGACAACGTTCTATCCAAACAACGTTCAATCCTACCGATGTTCTTTCCACGCAAGGTTATACCCAAACAACGTTTAAACAGAACTACGTTCTATCCTCAGAACGACATGTCCCATCAATAAACCACAACAACGTTGGATCCAAAGAACGTTCTATCCGAACAACGTTTTCACAAAAACGTTGTGTCCCAATAATGGTGTATCCACAGAACGTTCTATCCGAACAACGTTTAACTTACCAACGTTGTGTCCTAATGATATTGCATCCTAAGAATGTTTTATTCCGGCAACATTATATTGTATCAACGTTTACGTATTCCGTCTTTGCGTACTGCGGAGTTATCTGTTCTTGTGAGCAGGTATTGATTGTTACGTCATTGGTTTGTGATAGTAACGTCATCAATTTTTTAGGAAACGACTTAATTTTCTCGCACAAACCAATGACGTAGCAATCAATACCTGCTCACAAGAGACGATAACTCTGCAATACGCAAAGACGGAATACCATAACAATGTTCTATCACGACGATGATTTGTCGAAACATTGTTATTTACCTGCAACGGTATAATCCTTAATCAATAACGTTCTAACCTTAGAAAGTTCTATCTAAAAAAGGTGAAAACTGATTAAACATCGTTAAACCCAAGCAACGTTCTATTTCACAACGTTATACGCAAACCGTTTAACACCATCTATCCTAAGAACGTTACATTCAAAAATGGTACAACCTTGCAACATTTGTTTTCTATTTTTTTCTATTTTTTTTCCCTGTCTTTTTCTCTCTTTTTTTATTTACACCTTTGATCTTTCTTTTCTTATCTTTTCTTCAGTTTTTCTCTCTTTTCTTTCCCTTCTTTTCATCCATCTTTTTTCTGTTTTTTTTATCTCTCTTTAATTTTCCTTTTTTTCTATTTTTTTTTTTCCTTTTCTTCTGATTTTCTGTTTTCTTTTTTTCTGTTTTTTTTTTTCTTTTTTTTCTTTTCTCTTTTCCTTTTTTCTCTCTTTTCTATTCTTTTTGTTGTTAGGGTAACCTTGACGCACATACTGTAGTGAGGTATAAAGTTGTCCGGATAAAATACTGACATATGTATGATATTGTTGGCTATAACTTTTTATCCCAACAACAGTATTCGAGGCAGCTCTTTACCAAAAACAAAAGGCTCTGCATAACAATGTTAGTTCCTCAAAGCAACGCTCTGCCACATCAACATTGTATCCTCATAATGTTCCTTCTTACCAACGATACACCCCAACAACGTTCGGTCACAACAACGGGTTTTTCCCCTATTAACGTTCCATCCAAACAACTATATACCCCATCCTGCCCACGATCTTCCATAACAACGTTCTACCCACAGAATATTCCATCCGAACAACGTTTTGCCTAAACAACATTTTATCCTAAGAACGTTATACCTTATCACGTTCTTTCATAACAACGTTATACCCTAAGAATGATCCAAAACAACGTTTTATCCTCAGAATGTTCCATCCAAACAACGATATACCCAACAACGTTCTGCCACAACAACGTTCTATCCTATCAACGTTCTATTCCAAGTACGATAAGGCCAAACAAAATTCTTTTACACAACATTATTAACATTTTCTTGTTATTCTAACAGCGTTTTTTCTTATTTTTTTCTGTTTTTTTTTTGTTGTTTTCACTTTTATTTATTTTTTCATTATTTTTCTATTTTCTTCTGCTTATCATTTTTTCTGTTTTCTTTTTTTTCTTTTCCTTTTTTTCTCTTTTCCTTTTTTTCTCTTTTCCTTTCTTATTTTCTTTTTCTTTAATGGACGGGTAGATACACTGTTCCTTGGATAAACCTGTCGTGAGGTATCATGTTGTTGGGATAAAATGCTGACACATATATGATATTGTTGTCTATAACTATTTATCCCAACAACGTTTCTTCCAGACAAAGGTATGCCTCAAAAAGGCTCTGCCATAGCAATGTAAGATCCTAAGAACGTTACATCCAGGCAATGTTATACTAACACATCGTTCTTCCACAACAACTTTCTCTTCTCAGAATGTTATATCCAAACAACGACATACCCCTACAACGTTCTGCCACAACAACGTTCTATCCTATGAACGTTCTATTCCAAATACGATGATGGCCCAACATGATTTTTCACATAATGTTATAAGCATTATCTAGATATTCCAACAATGTCCTTTTTCTTTTTCTATTTTTTTTCTATTTTTCTTTCAATTTTTCTTTTTTTTTTTACTCTTTTTTTTTCTTCTGCTTTTTTCTATTTTTTTTCTGTTTTCATTTTTCTTTCTTTTCTCTTTTTCTTTTTTCCATCTTTTTCTCGCTTATGTTTTCTTGGTATTTACTTTCTTATTTTCTTTTTCTTTCATGGAAGGGTAACCAAGGTACACAGTTCTTTGGATGTTCCTGTAATGGTGTATCATGTTGCGGGGATAATATGCTGAGATGTATATGATATTGATGTCTCTAACGGTTTATCAAAACAGCAATGTTATACCAACACAACGTGATACCACCATATTTTTCTATCGTCAGAACGTTAACTCAAAACAACGCTATATCTAATAACGTTCGGCCACAACAACGTTCTATCCTAAGAATGTTCCATCCAAACAACGATATTCCCTGCCAACGTGCTGCCATGACTACGTTTTATCCTAAGAATGTTTCATCCAAACAACGATATACCCACCAACGTTCGGCCAAATTAACGTGCTATCCTAAGAATGTTCCATCCAAACAACGATATACCCCAACAACGTTAGGCCACGACAACGTTTTATCCTCAGAACGTTATATCTAAACAACGTTATACCATTATAACGTTATGCTACAACAACGTTCTATTCTATGAACGTTCTATTCACTAAAGGCCCAACAAAGTTCTTCCACACAACATTATGACTATCTCGATACCTCACCAACGTTCTGCCTAATCAACGTTGTAACACACATCGTTCTCTCCTGAAAAGAGTATATTCAAACAACATTATACCACCTCCTATTACTTAATTTCTTTATACTTCCATGTTATAATTTCTATTTATTATTATTACATTTTATATGACGTTAATGGTTGCTAAGATTGTACACCCGCATTGGACGCAACATTCCCTATTTCTGACTTTATTCGATTTTCCTAAAGCCATTGCCTCTTTTCTAATTTTTTTAGGGTTTTTTTCTTTCTCTTTTGCTTTTTTTTTCTTATTTTTCGTTTTGTTCTTTTTCCCCTATGTTCTTTTTTGGCTCGCTTTGTTTTTGTTTTTTCTATCTCTGTTCTACAACAATTTTACATCCTAGGAACGAGCAATGTGATCGGCCTACAACGTTGAACCACAACAAGTTGATAACCTGCAACGTTTATCTTGGCAATATAACTGATAACTCATGCATTGTTATACCACACAACGTTTTTTCATTACAACTTGATATTCTAACAACATTCTACCACAAACACGTTGTATTCCTAGGAATGTTCCATTGCAACTACAATATACCCCAACAACGCATTGCCTTCTGCCTTAATATCGTTCTTCCATAATAACGTTGTATACCCAACAGCGTTATACCCTAACGATGCTATACCCCGACAACATTCTACTCCGGGAATGTTCTACTTAATCACCGCTAAACCAAAAAAGAGATGTTTTTTTTACCCCATGAACGTTATATCTGAAAAACGTGATGCCCCAACAACGTTATAACCCAACCATATGCTACAATAATGCTATTCCCCAATATCATTATACCAAATTATATTCCATGAAATTATACCCAAGATGTCTTGTATGATCAAACATCCTTCAATATTTACCTTTTTATGGCCAGGCATGTTTAATTAATAGTTTACATTTAATACAATAAGTGACAATATCATCTATATATACGAATAAACATTTCCCCCATCTTTTCAAATTTCTCTTGCTTTTGCAAAAATATCATTTACCAAAATACTTTATTTGTTTTGCTATGATATAAAACACTAATTATAATACCTGAAAAAAAAAAAAAGCAATTTCAATATCTTTTTACAACCTGTTGTAACATTACCTACATACATTTCGGTGGTTTAAAATGCACAGACTTACATCATTAAATTATTAAGATCTTTTTCTTCCAATTAAAGGTTTTCAATGCATACTGCATTTAAATGTAGCTTTAGAAAATTTAGTACGGTATGAATTTCAAATTAACATGTTTCGGTATTAAATTGCAAAGTAGAGAAACATGTAATTTAGAATGAAAAGATGGCGTCAGTGGCACCATCTTGTGTTATACAACATATCAGCAATATATAGTGGGATATACGGCGGAAAATGATAAGTAGCGAAATATCTTTGTTGGGTTGTTGTAAAAGTAAACAGATAACTTAGCTTGAAATGAATGTGTGTCCCTTCTTACCAAGCATGACCAGGAATTTGAACCATTCTATGAACTTTAGATGACATTAAATATTGTATAAGGTACACGGATAGGAAAGATAGTAGCTCTGGGAAACGTAATGGCAGTTTTCTTCATAGATAATTTGAAATTTCTGCAAAAAAAGGAAAATAAACACTGTATAAGCTACAACATGCAAACATTTTTTACAGGTAAAGTATTCTACCCGGGCATAACAGAATAGATGTTGTTTGTTTGTTTGTTTGACTTCTCATAAGGGCTTTGGTTTAAACTTTGCGAGAGGAATTCTTATCCAAAAATCATCAAGACACATGTCGTCTCGATTCATTGTAAGCATATTTTCTCGTGAACGTCACATGGACAACTCTGACAAACTATTTTTTAATAAATGTATGTAAACTACTACATTCTATTTACATTTTTCTGCATTGTCACCATATAAACACGACCAAACTCAATCAAGGTCGGTGTGGACCAAATCAACACTATAGCACTGCAGAACTCTTCTAGGCCAGTACACATAGCAAACGATAAAGACAGATATACTATAGTAGCTTCATGTAAAATGACAACGAACCAACTGAGTTCATAGACCCATGAATGTATTGTTGCTGTATTATATAATAATATATCCAAATATCGTTTTGTGTCGAATGCTTGCTGGTTGCATGGAGTTTAACGTCCAATCAACGGCTAAAGTCATTTCAAGACATGCCTCTATGTGTGTTGTGTATACCTGCATGTGTGTATGTGTGTCGTAGACAGGGTATGTTGGTGTATTTTCTCGAATTAACTTTCATGGAAAAGACGACGTCGACATAACAAAGTTCCCCCCTGGTGGAATGAGGTATACCTATTTACCTTAAATGAGCTAGTAGCGCCTTGTGTCTGTGCTAGATCTGAAGCCAAGTGCCCCACCATATGTTCGTGTACGTGGTACGGGACGCCTTCTCTGGTCTGGTCTCCTAGCATTATCAGGAGCATAGCATTCTGGGGAAAACAAAAAGCAAATCAATGAAAAAATCGTAAGGTGTTTTCAACAGGTTTGATTGATCCAACACAATCAGCAGGTGATAGCACTTTTGTCCTTTTTCATTACAAAATTCAAATTTGTCTAATACAATAGCCGTAATGGATACAAAGTGGAAAATTTTGCCTAATATTTTGACAAATGTTCTGTTTAGCATGAATATTTTTTATGTAAGTGAAGGGTGCGTTGTGTTATTATGTTGGGCCCCATGCTTACCTTTGCCACGTGCTGGAGGGCGAATAGGAGGCAGCTTGGTGGACAGGTCAGAAAAATCATAGATACTCTCGTCCACAGGTGGCGCGGGAGATTTCACTAAAGGTAAGATAGGGACAGAAAGATAGGAAAGAGGGCAAAGAAAAGAGAAAAAGAAAGCTGTGAAGACGATAAAAAGGAAGAGCAGAAGACGAAATGTAAAAACAAAAGAACATAAAATACCAACTTTATACTGGGAAAATTTCGCTGCAGTTGAATTTTCGTCTTTTTCGCCCTTCGTGATGAGAGCGAATTTATCATTACAGAGAATATAAGTAAACAACAAAACAATATGATATACATAGTAATGAATTGGGCGAAAATGAATTCATTGGCAAAGGGCGAGCGTTGGACTGTGCGAACAGTTCCCGGTATATAGTAATGATATGACAGAAGAAAGAATATAATGATATAGACAGTAGAAAACTGATTGAAAGGTTGTCAACATGGGTTATAATGACATTAACTGACCATACTGACCACTGTGTCATCACCCCTTAAACAAAATTTTATTTTTTTATATTTTTTTATATGAACACAATGACATGAATGTTGGAACCACCCACCTATGCATTCTGAACACGTGAATATATCTTTAGACAATGTGTTCTTATGTGAACACACTCGTTATTATGTCAACATACATGTAAGCACCCTGACCTTCATGTTAACACTATAAACATTATATAAATATTCTTTCCTAAATGGATGTAAACACTAAAGCTTTACTGCAAACACTTTCACTGTGACCTCTTCTATCAACAATTTCATATTTATGTGATACTGACATTTTTTTTAACACTCTGGCCTGAAATTAAACACTCTGACCTTCATGTTAACACTCTGACCTTCATGTTAACACTCTGAGATTTATGTTAATACTCTGACATTTATGCTAAAACTCTGAACTTAACTCAAACACTATGACAGTTATGTTAACACGATGACCTTTATGATAACACTCTGACCTTTATGTTAACACGATGACCTTTATGTTAACACGAGGACCTTTATGTTAACACGATGACCTTTATGTTAACACTGTGACTTTACTAAAAGCACTATGAGTATGACCGTTTTGTTGCCACTCTGACCTTTATGTTAACACTCTGAACCTTATGCTAACACTCTAACCCTTATGTTAACATTCTGACCCTTATGTTAACACTCTGACCTTTCGGTTAACACTCTGCCCTTTATGTTAACAATCTGACCTTTATTTTAACACTATGGCCGTTATGTTAACACTCTGACCTTTATGTTAACACTCTGACCACTATGTTTACACTCTGACCTTCATGTTAACGCTCTGACATCTATGTTAACACTCTGACCTTTATGTTAACACTCTGACCCTTATGTTATCATCCTGACCTTAATTTAAACACTATGACCGTATTGCTAAGACTCTGACCTATATGTTTACACGCTGACCTATATGTTAACACTCTGGCCTATATGTTAACACTCTGACACTTATGTTATCATCCTGACCCTAATTTAAACACTATGACTGTGATGGTAACACTCTGACCCTTATGTTATCATCCTGACCTTAATTTAAACACTATGACCGTATTGCTAAGACTCTGACATATATGTTAACACTCTGACCCTTATGTTATCATCCTGACCTTAATTTAAACACTATGACCGTAATGCTAACACTCTGACATATATGTTAACACTCTGACCCTTATGTTATCATCCTGACCTTAATTTAAACACTATGACCGTAATGCTAAGACTCTGACATATATGTTAACACTCTGACCCTTATGTTATCATCCTGACCTTAATTTAAACACTATGACCGTAATGCTAAGACTCTGACCTATATGTTTACACTCTGACCTATATGTTAACACTCTGGCCTATATGTTAACACTCTGACATATATGTTAACACTCTGACCCTTATGTTAACACTCTGACCTTTATTTAAAGCACTATTACCGTTATGTTAACACTCTGACCCTTATGTTAACACTCTGATCCTTATGTTATCATCCTGACCTTAATTTAAACACTATGACCGTCATGTTAACACTCTGACCTATATGTTAACGCTCTGACATTTATGTTATCATCCTGACCCTAATTTAAACACTATGACCGTAATGTTAACACTCTGGCCTATATGTTAACACTCTGACACTTATGTTATCATCCTGACCCTAATTTAAACACTATGACCGTAATGTTAACACTCTGACCCTTATGTTAACAATCCGATCTTTATTAAAGGCACTCTGACCTATATGTTAACACTCTGACCTATATGTTAACAATCTGACCTTTATTTAAAGCACTATGACCGTTATGTTAACAATCTGACATATATGTTAACACTCTGACCCTTATGTTATCATCCTGACCTTATCTTAAACACTATGACTGTGATGTTAACACTCTGACCTATATGTTAACACTCTGGCCCTTATGTTAACACTCTGACCCTTATGCTAACACTCTGACCTTAATTTTAACACTCTGAACCTTATGTTTACACTCTGACTCTTATGTTAACACTCTGACTCTTATGCTAATACTCTGACATTTATGTTAAAAACTCTGACCTTTAATTTAAGCACTATGACCGTTATGTTAACACTCTGACATTTATGTTAACACTCTGACCCTCATTTAAACACTTTGGCCGTTATGTTAACAATCTGACCTTTAAGTTAACACTATGCCCTCTATGTTAACACTCTGACCCTTATGTTATCATCCTGACCTATCTGTTAACACTCTGAACTATATGTTAGCACTCTGACCCTTATGTTATCATCCTGACCTTAATTTAAACACTATGACCTATATGTTAACACTCTGACCTATATGTTAACACTCTGGCCCTTATGTTAACACTCTGACCCTTATGCTAACACTCTGACCTTAATTTTAACACTCTGAACCTTATGTTTACACTCTGACTCTTATATTAACACTCTGACTCTTATGCTAATACTCTGACATTTATGTTAAAACTCTGACCTTTAATCTAAGCACTATGACCTTCATGTTAACCCTCTGACCTTTATGTTAACACTCTGAACCTTATGTTATCATCCTGACCTATATGTTAACACTCTGACCCTTATGTTATCATCCTGACCTATATGTTAACACTCTGACCTATATGTAAGCACTCTGACCCTTATGTTATCATCCTGACCTTTATGTTAACACTCTGACCTATATGTTAACACTCTGACCCTTATGTTATCATCCTGACCTATATGTTAACACTCTGACCCTTATGTTATCATCCTGACCTATATGTTAACACTCTGACCTATATGTTAGCATTCTGATCCTTATGTTATCATTCTGATCTTAGTTTAAACACTTTGACCTTCGAGTTAACACTCTGACATTTATGTTAGCACTCTGACCTTAATTTATGCATTATGACCATTATATGACCGATAAATGTTAACACGCTTATCTTTATATCAACACTCTGACCTTTATGTTAACAGTCTGACCTTTATGTTAACACTGTAACCTTCATATTATCACTCTGACTTTCAAGTTTACACTCTGAACTCCATGTTGATACTATGACCTTTTTGTTTACACTCTGACCTTTATATTGACGCTCTTACCTTAATTTAAATACTCTTTATGTTAACACTCAAACCTTCACTTAAACACTCTTACTTTTATATAAATATTCTGACCTTTATGTTAACATTCTGACAATACGTTAAAAGTCTAACCTCTTTGCAAACATTCTGACTTTTAAGTAACATTTCGAACTTTATGTAAATTTCTGGCCTTTATATATTAAAAACTATTTGACCTTTATGATAATGTTCTAACCTTTATGTTAACATTCTGTGCTGTAGCTATTTTTTTTCAAACTGTGACATTTATTAAATCAACTGGACCGGTAGGGAATTTTTCTAGCCTGTGTGCAATCACTGACATTCATATATAAACTGTGACTTTTATGTAAACACTTTGACCTCCATGCAAACTCTATGACCATTTATTTGAACACTATTAACTTTTTGTTAATATCCTGACCTGCCATAAAACCTATGACCTGAATCAAAAGTGGTCATCCCGACCTCTGACCTCTACTTACTTCTGTGTCTACGATAGGTAGCTCCGTCGGCGTATTTGTCAGCAATGCTGGGCAGGATGACGGGTCGGCTCGGCTCTCGTGGAGGAACCTGGTTTTACATACACATCTTCGATATTTTTTTCAGATAAACAGACAGAGAGAAAATTCCCTTTTCCCCCAAAAAACCCAATCATAGTCTATCAAATATAACTTCTGCATCAATTCATTCCAAAACGTTTTTCTATAAACTTTTTGCTATGTAACCGATCAGTTTTCCTATTCAACTTAAGTACGATATTTTCATAGGAAATTGCCTTAACTTGCTTCATCTAAATAGAGACGGTTACCTCAATGTTAAGTTTTAAGATTAAAGACATTCACCAGGACGAAAACATTTTATCGCGACCTAAGTATAACTGAGTTTATTCCTGCAAGAAATGCAATACCATACCGTGTCATCACGTAGTATTGTACATATTGTGGATCTACATGTATCTTCAATGTGAAATAACATTTTATGAGTTCAACACGATTTCAGACACTCTGATTGATTTTTGTTTCAGTCTGGATTCAAGCACAGGAATACGCCCAAATCTACGTAGTGTTAAATTGTTTCGCAATAATCGCAATTTCCTCAATCAAAAAACACCCCTCATTTCAAGTGTCTTTAGTACTAACTAGTGTTCATATCAGTCTTTTGTCGGCTTTCCAGATAGATTTATCATTTTATTAAGAATGCAACAAAGAAATATCCGATAATTTAAAGGTACAACTCACGTTAGGCTCAGCATAGTTACGGCGAAAAGTTGGGGACAGGGGCGGCAACTCCCTTCTAGGGTAGCTACCGTACGGTCTTCTTCCTCCGTACGACATTCTTTCTATCAATGATCTTGGATTCTTTTATTCACTTGTAATGTGATCTGAAAATAAATAAACCAAAACTATTATTAGTTATAGCTGGGGATATGCGGGTAAATAAACAAAACAAATATCTCAAACGAGATAATTAACACTAGGACATATTTCATTTTGAGCGAATTTTATAAAAAAATTCAAACATAGAAAAGTAGTCGAATACTTTTTAAACATTCAACTTTCAAACAATTCCATTCTTGTTTAATGCATGGAAACATGTGGTTTTTGTAGAATATTTATTTTGAAAAAGACTTAAAAAAATATTTCACAAAAGTTATAAACGGAAATAATACAGTTTAAATAAATTGTCAGTTCCTTTTATCTTTAATGAAAAAAATATAAAAAAATATTCACGGACTTAAATTTCATTTGTGTGGATGCAGATAACTCTCTCAGTCTCACGTAATTTAAATCTATGATGAAGTTCGTTCTTTTCGTAAAAATGTATTCAGCCATATTGACGATATGGTTCCTGGGATATAATGGTAATTCAAAAAATGCGGAGGATTTTTTGTTAATTATTTTGTCTTTAACGTCTTCGCTACACAACTGAGGTCTTGTGAAGACGGAAGGGAGACACTACCGAAAATAGAGAGAGTAGGGAAGGGAGAAAAACAAAGATAGAGAACCCAAGTGTTGTCATGGAGACAGCAGATCGATTTTGATTTCTTCAATGTCCCCTTATCCTCGATACTCCAGGGGTTACACTCACTGCAGAGAGCGTAAATGAGCGTAATCCCTGGACCATTGAGGATAATATCCCTTTAATACGCAAACTTACACACAGAGAAGAAAACCCCTAATAAGCAGGGGGGGGGGGGGCACATTAGTTGCTTCTTATGATTACGAACAGTGGGGCTATGTACAGCAAGCCTATCTTTCTCCATGTCCACATGACAATGTTGAGGACTGCTATACCGTTTGTGATAAGCTGTGTTCACTTAAATATCTTATTCTTATTTCGCTAATGACTTATTACAGTGTGTATATCAACGAACACATAATTTAAAATCAAATGTGAATTGTTTAATAAACAATTGTATTATTACAGGGACTTGTGAATTTAGACACAATATATATATGTGTGTGTGTTAGGACCTTTCTTGATGAGTAAGGAATATTATAAGACATTTAAGGGGTCTAGATCAACATCTTTCAAAGATAATTTGTAGCCTATAGTATAGGCCTATATAATTATATGTATGTGCAAATAATTTAAATGTATATAAATACCATCATTGGGGCCTTACAAATCAGGAAAAGTTCCATATACGGCCACCAAACTTAAAACTTAGTAGATACTTTAAAGGAAATGTCTCAAGTACTTTAGGAGATATGTATATCATAAACTAATTACGATATCTTTGTTCATTTAAATAACATTAAACCGATACCTCATACAATCCTTGTTTAGTTGTTATACGAGATATTTATCATTTCTATCACGTTTATAGATAGACATAATATATCTTAATTCCTTCTAGATATCTCTATTTCTTTGAAAACATATTTCATGTGTGAAACCACCCATGTATACCGACTTCTGTGATTGCATTATTACATTCAAAATACCCCTTTTGCATTAAAAATCAATTTTAAATTTTATTAAAAGATATTTCTATATAGATATATCAAAGATATTCGTTAAATGTGTGGAACACCCATGTTTTTTTTACTAGTGTACGTGGCAACACCGCGCCTTCAACATTGTGTGAAACACCTCCTGTATCTTCGGTGCCCGGATCCTTACCTCCTCTCTGTGGGAAACATCTAATGATTTCCGAGTAAAGTACGCGGTTACCCCCACCCCCTCCCCACCCCCTCCCCACAAAAGCTTCACTCTCTCAATTCATAGGCATAAAAAAAGAAAAATGAAAGACTAATGGAATGTCACTCTAGTATACGTGAGTACAGTACATAGACAGTACATTTGGTTACCATGTAGTGAGTCTCTCTCGGTCTCAATGGTCTTACACCGCGACCGGCACAACACTTGAAGTTGAAAAGACCACTTCTTGTTTACTTAACAGATATGTATTCTCTTCTCGTTATTTAAGCGTAATGTAATTTGTAAAAGGACTCATCTGTAATGTACTTACCAATATACGGCAAAGTTACAAATCTCGATGGTGAAACCTTTGGGAAATATGCATAGAAAATAAACCGCAAAGCTGTGGTGGACTGGACGACACGAACACACAGTAGTGATGGTAATATATGACGTCACAATATGGAATGACGTCATCAATACAAGGGGAGAACACTCTCAATAGATTATACAAGGAAGATTACTCGGTTTTTGCTTTCTTCACAAATCTATTTTTATATCACTGATTTCTATGAAATAGTCACAACCTTCAAATGTTTACTTTGTAAGAGATCTAAAGATGTTAGGTTAAAATATCATTTGGAGTTAAGGCTAATCAACAAGGCGATTACATATTGGTTTGGGCCAAAATGATATGTCTGTTTCAGCCTCGGGTAAATGCCTGAAAAAATAAGGTAGGTTGGAAGGCATATAATTTTATTTCAATGCTATTTTTTTTGTTTTCGTGATTAAATATTATGTTTTACAATGCATTTCCACTCATTAAAATGGCGATGTCAAGAATAAGGTCAGACTCCCAGAACAGGAGGAAAGTACATTTTAATGAGTGGCTGTAAACTTTGATACAAGTAGGTCAGTGATAAAATAACTAGGGTTGGCAGTAAAATCTAGGGAAGGGTGGCGGTAAAATCTAGGGAAGGGTGGCAGTAAAATTTAGGGTAGGGTGGCAGTAAAATCTAGGGTAGGGTGGCAGTAAAATCTAGGGTAGGGTGGCAGTAAAAAAAATCTAGGGAAGGGTGGCAGTAAAATCTAGGGAAGGGTAGCAGTAAAATCTAGGGTAGGTCGCCAGGGATACCTGGAGCACACATATATTTGTTTCGGCTTTGCTTAATACAAGGAAATGTCTGCCGGTCACCTGTGCTTCTTTAAAAATTGCCTAAACAAGTTTAGGGTATGAACAAAAATCTATGGTAGGTGGAGCTACCGGAAACACAAAATATAGCCAGTCTTTAATCTTTATCATTAAACACCACATATTATATGTAGTATGTAGGTATTCATATATCATGTGTGAAACACCACATGTATCTTAGAAAATGTATCCGGTTACCCAACTCTCATCAGCATATATGCCTAAATGTGTTATATAAAAAATATATTCAGACTTTGTAACGAACCCCTGGCCCTGTGGTCTGTCTAGTTCTGATAGCCAAACATGTTCACTTCACAATCACATTACTTAAAGATAATGTAACATGGATAAATATGCATTGTACTTACCAATATTCGGCTAAATTACAACACAGAATGGTTGAAATTTGGAGAAATTGCGTAGAAAATAATCCGTGAGAGCTTGACAACGCGATCACAAACATGCAGTGATTCTGGTCTGTGACGTCACAATTGACTGACGTCATCAATACAAAGGGAGAACACTCTAAATAGAAATTCACTGAAGCCGTGGTGTTAACTTTCTATCGGGTATTTCTATTTTATTTGTGTTTTAACCATGGGGGTGGGGGATTAAAACATTACAACGGAACTAATATGTACTGTTCTTCGTTCTTTCATGTGACGAATCGTCCGTCCGTTCATAATAATTCTAGTTAAATTGAATTTTATCTAATTTAATTTTACTGTCATTTTCTTTTATTTTTTAAGTACAGATGGTGCCAATAGTATTCAAGTTGCGATGTGTAAGGTTTTACTGAAATTATACTTTATTCCGTGCATCTCTGTCTTATTTTCATCGGCTTTTCCATGAGTTATTTACGTAACTGAAATGAATATGGACGCCCTGAGTGAGAATTGATTGCTTATAAATTCATATATCTGACAATAAATATTTATTTCATATCTTTCTGTGACAATGATTTGTAAAATAGTATGGCTAGTTATTCTAGAACAGAAAAGATAGCTGCCAATATTTTGTAAGACAAAAAAAAAAAAAATGGCGTAGCACAATCGATTTCATCTATGTAACTTCTCATACCTCGAAAACCAGTCAACACAAATGTAAGAAATATATTTTTTTTTTTTAGATTGTTATTTAAAAAACGTATCTTTCAGTATGTGGACTGAATTTTGCTTCAGCGGCGTTTTAATGAGGCTAAGGAAACACACATGAAAAAATGTTTGAAACGTATAATATATCTCGGCAAATAGCAAATATTTATGGCAAAATGCTGTACTACGTAAAGCGAGTTACGAAACGTATACTCGCTAGTTCTTACCGAAATGAAACGTTCTCTATTTAAATCAAGCAAACCATTGGGATAAATGACAGCACTCCAGTGTAGCGAGAGAAGGGTTGAGGTGGTCCTTTTGACGCCAACTCTAATTAAGTGTTTCGTTTATATAAATATCCTCATATGTGAAAAGTTTCTTCCGTAGGCAGGGTTCAAACTTACACTAGTCCAGGAAGGGTAAGTGAATAACTTAAGTGAATAACTTACCCTAACTTTCGTATATTTGTGAAGAAAAAAAATGTACTATAGTACTAGTAGTTTAATACAACTTGTGTCCAATCCCGTTGCATTTTAAGGCAATAAAATATGTTTAAATCAAATGTGACTCCTTTACTTTTTTTCACAGCTGAATCAAAATTTTAAATATTCCTTCTTAAAACTTTACAGTAAAAGAATTCAAAAATAAAAATTATTGCATAATTATGTTACATTTTAGGTGACGCCATTATATTACAACAAACTTGTATGAGGCGAACGACAACAACCTAGTTTCACAAAACTATAACAGTGAACATTATTTTTCATTGTCAAAAGATTATTTTCTTCAAGTTTCTTAATCAATTTCATTTTATTCCATTTGATTTAAGGAACAGAATAAAACATCTTGAAAATTGGTTCATATGTAAAGAAACAATGACCTACTAATAGTTTATCAGTTTTCGAATACGCGCTTAGACTATTCGTGCATGTTTTGCACATTTATATTAGATTATCAAATGTTCAATAACGTTTCTTGTTTTATATTTCTTCATATAAAAAGTATGTTTAATTGTCAAACTAAAATTCCTTTATGGAATGTTTTACTATAATCAACTTTGAAAACATGACTGGCCGATTTAAACATCCCACGTTAAACATTCTTAATATAACGTCACAGTTTAGCAATAAGTTTTGAAATAAAGTTTTCTTTTTCCCCCTATTTTTACATGCATAGATCAATGTCTTTCAACAGTCAGAGATTCAACCATATGGGGAGGTTAATATACATATATATACATATTGATAGGGCTACCTAGGAATGGAGGAAGGAATGGTGTGTATATTTGAGAGGTATAGGGTGAGCTAGTATGAGAAGTATGGTATGAGCTAGTGTGAGAGGTATAGGGTGAGAAAGTGTGAGAGGTATAGGATGAGCTAGTGTGAGAGGTATAGGGTGAGCTAGTATGAGAAGTAAAGGTGAGTTAGTGGGAGAGGCATAGGTTGAGCTAGTGTGAGAGGTATAGGGTGAGATAGTGTGAGAAGTATAGGGTGAGCTAGTGTGGGAGGTATAGCGTGAGCTAGTGTGAGAAGTAAATGTGAGCTAGTATGAGAAGTAAAGGTGAGCTAGTGTGAGAGGTATAGGATGAAGTGTGAGAAGTAAATGTGAGCTAGTATGAGAAGTAAAGGTGAGCTAGCTAGTGTGGGAGGTATAGGGTGAGCTAGTGTGGGAGGTATAGGGGGAGCTAGTGTTAGAGGTATAGGGTGAGCTAGTGTAGAGGTATAGTGTGAGCTAGTGTTAGAGGTATAGGGTGAGCTAGTGTGAGAAGTATATGGTGAGCTTATGTGAACAGAATAGGATGGGCTTGTGTGATAGGGCTACCTAGGAATGGAGGAAGGAATGGTGTGTATATTTGAGAGGTATAGGGTGAGCTAGTATGAGAAGTAAAGGTGAGCTAGTGGGAGAGGCATAGGTTGAGCTAGTGTGAGAGGTATAGGGTGAGATAGTATGAGAGGTATAGGGTGAGCTAGTATGAGAAGTAAAGGTGAGCTAGTGTGAGAGGTATAGGATGAAGTGTGAGAAGTAAATGTGAGCTAGTATGAGAAGTAAAGGTGAGCTAGCGGGAGAGGCATAGGTTGAGCTAGTGTGAGAAGTATAGGGTGAGATAGTGTGAGAGGTATAGGGTGAGGGTGTGCCTGAGAGAGGTATAGGGTGAGCTAGTGTTAGAGGTATAGGGTGAGCTAGTGTGAGAAGTATATGGTGAGCTTATGTGAACAGAATAGGATGGGCTTGTGTGATAGGGCTACCTAGGAATGGAGGAAGGAATGGTGTGTATATCTGAGAGGTATAGGGTGAGCTAGTATGAGACGTATGGTATGAGCTAGTGTGAGAGGTATTGGGTGAGCTAGTATGAGAAGTATGGTATGAGCTAGTGTGAGAGGTATAGGGTGAGATAGTGTGAGAGGTATAGGGTGAGCTAGTATGAGAAGTAAAGGTGAGCTAGCTAGTGTGGGAGGTATAGGGTGAGCTAGTGTGAGAAGTATATGGTGAGCTTATGTGAACATAATAGGATGGGCTTGTGTGAGAGGTAAGGGTGAGCTAGAGTGAGAGGTATATGATAAGCAAGTGGGAGAGGCATAGGTTGAGCAAGTGTGAGAGGTATAGGGTGAGCTAGTATGAGAAGTAAAGGTGAGCTAGTGTGAGAGGTATAGGATGAAGTGTGAGAAGTAAATGTGAGCTAGTATGAGAAGTAAAGGTGAGCTAGTGTGAGAGGTATAGGATGAAGTGTGAGAAGTAAATGTGAGCTAGTATGAGAAGTAAAGGTGAGCTAGTGTGAGAGGTATAGGATGAAGTGTGAGAAGTAAATGTGAGCTAGTATGAGAAGTAAAGGTGAGCTAGCTAGTGTGGGAGGTATAGGGTGAGCTAGTGTTAGAGGTATAGGGTGAGCTAGTGTGAGAAGTATATGGTGAGCTTATGTGAACATAATAGGATGGGCTTGTGTGAGAGGTAAGGGTGAGCTAGAGTGAGAGGTATATGATAAGCAAGTGGGAGAGGCATAGGTTGAGCAAGTGTGAGAGGTATAGGGTGAGCTAGTATGAGACGTAAAGGTGAGCTAGTGTGAGAGGTGTACGATGAGCTTGTGCGAGAGGTATAGGGTGAGATAGTGTGAGAAGTATAGGGTGAGCTAGTGTGGGAGGTATAGCGTGAGCTAGTGTGAGAAGTAAATGTGAGCTAGTATGAGAGGTATAGTGTGAGCTAGTGTGAGAGGTATAGAGTGAGCTAGTGTGAGAAGGTAAGGTGAGCTAGTGTGAGAAGTAAAGGTAAGCTAGTGTGAGAAGTATAGGGTGAGCTAGTGTCGGAGGTATATTGTGAGAAGTAAATGTGAGCTAGTATGAGAAGTAAAGGTGAGCTAGTGAGAGAGGTATAGGATGAGCTAGTGTGGGAGGTATAGGGTGAGCTAGTGTGAGAAGTAAAGTTGAGCTAGTGTGAGAGGTATGGGGGGAGTTAGTGTGAGAGGTATAGGGTGAGCTAGTGTGAGAGGTATGGGGTGAGTTAGTGTGAAAGGTATAGGGTGAGCTAGTGTGGGAGGTATAGGGTGAGCTAGTGTAGGAGGTATAGCGTGAGCTAGTGTGATAAGTAAATGTGAGCTAGTGTGAGAAGTAAAGGTGAGCTAGTGTGAGTAGTAAAGGTGAGCTAGTGTGAGAGATGTAGGGTGAGCTAGTATGAGAAGTAAAGATGAGTTAGTGGGAGAGGCATAGGTTGAGCTAGTGTGAGAGGTATAGGGTGAGATAGTATGAGAGGTATAGGGTGAGCTAGTATGAGAAGTAAAGGTGAGCTAGTGTGAGAGGTATAGGATGAGCTATTGTGGGAGGTATAGGGTGAGCTAATGTGATAAGTAAAGTTGAGCTAGTGTGAGAGGTACGGGGTGAGTTAGTGTGAGAGGTATAGGGTGAGCTAGTGTGAGAGGTATGGGATGATCTAGTTTGAGAGGTATAGGGAGAGTTAGTGCACGAAGTATAGGGTGAGTTAGTGTGAGATGTAAAGGTGAGCTAGTGTGAGAGATATAGGGTGAGCTTGTATGAGAAGTAAAGGTGAGCTAGTGTGAGAGGTAAAGGTGAGCTTGTGTGAGAGGTATAGGGTGAGCTAGTGTGAGAAGTTAAGGTGAGTTAGTGTGAGAAGTAAAGGTGAGCTAATGTGAGAGGTATAGTGTGAGAAGTAAAGGTGAGCTAGTATGAGAAGTAAAGATGAGCTAGTGGGAGAGGCATAGGTTGAACTTGTGTGAGAGGTATAGGGTGAGATAGTGTGAGAAATATAGGGTGAGCTAGTATGAGAAGTAAAGGTGAGCTAGTGTGAGAGGTATAGGATGAGCTAGTGTGGGAGGTTAAGGGTGAGCTAGTGTGAGAAGTAAAGTTGAGCTAGTGTGAAAGGTATGGGGTGAGTTAGTGTGAGAGTTATAGGGTGAGCTAGTGTGAGAGGTATGGGGTGAGTTAGTTTGAGAGGTATAGGGTGAGCTAGTGTAAGATGTATATGGTGAGCTAGTGTGAGAGGTATAGGGTGTGCATGAGAGAGGTATATGGTGAGCTAATGTGATAGGTATAGGGTGAGCTAGTGTAAGATGTATATGGTGAGCTAGTGTGAGAGGTAAAGGGTGTGCATGAAAGAAGTAAAGTTGAGCTAGTGTGAGAGGTATAGGTTGAGCTAGTGTGAGAGGTGTAGGACGAGCCAGTGTTAGAGGTATAGGGTGAGCTTGTGTGAGAGGTATGGGATGAGCTAGTGTGAGAGGTATAGGGTATGCGTGAGAGAGGTATATGGTGAGCTTGTGTGATAGGTATAGGGTGTGGCTGAGAGAGGTATAGGGTGAGCTAGTGTGAGAGGTATAGGGTAAGCTAGCGTGAGAAGTAAAGTTGAGCTAGTGTGAGAGGTATGGGATGAGCTAGTTTTAGAAGTAAGGGTGAGCTAGTGTTAGAGGTATAGGGTGTGCGTGAGAGAGGTATAGGATGAGCTAGTGTGAGAGGTGTAGGATGAGCTTGTGTGAGAGCTAAATGGTGAGGAAGTGTGAGAGGTATAGGGTGAGCTAGCGTGAGCGGTGTAGGATGAGCTTGTGTGAGAGGTATTGGGCGAGCTAGTGTGAGAGGTATAGGGTGAGCAAGTGTGGGAGTTATAAAGCGGGGTAGTTGAAGAGTTATAGGATGAGATAGTGGGAGATGTATAGGGTGAGCTGAGTGAGTTGAGTGAGCTAGTTTGAGAGGTATAGGTCGAGCTAGTGTGAGAAGTATAGGGTGAACTAGTGTGAGAGTAATATGATGAGATGGTGTGAAACTAAAGGATAAGGGTGAGCTTCCGTGAGAGTTTTAGGGTGGGCTATTGCGAGAGAGGGAGAGGATGTCGAGGCTGAGAGCTAGTGTAAGAGGGTGAGCTTGCGGGAGAGGTATATATTAAGCTTGTTTGAAAGGTATGGTGTGAACTAGAGCTTTTGTAGGTAAATCATGGTCTCTTCATTGAGTATCATTTCTAACTAAGGATAATTAATTAGACAGGTAGTTTCGCAAGTTATTTGTAAGCCAGGATATTTGTTTCCAAAATGTATCTTTGACGTTCAAAGTATATATATACGTGATCGGATTCGCTGCTATATTCTAAACCGGTTTAGTGTGCTGAAGTAGCCGACAAATGACCGCTGGTACAGTACAGTATGTAGTTCAGTGACTATTTTAACGATGCCACTACTGTAGTAGAGTCTAGAGAAACCAAATCTGTCAGCGTTGTGAGTTATCCATAAATTCAAGTAAGATCAGTAGAATCTGCACTATTTAGTTAACCTCATATCATATCTTATTTAGGTTTATGGAAAATATGGAGTGTACTTACCAATAAACGAGGAACTAATTCACAAAATGGTTGAACTTCGGGAAATAAACCGCAAACGTGTGAGTTGTTGTCAGCTTGACGACGCAAAGGCGACTGATGACGTCACAATGTCAAGACGTCATTGACAATAAGAAGGGAGAGCACTCTACATGGAATTCGTCTGGTTCTATCAGAAGAACACGGGGAAAGTGGCCAATATAAATGAACTCATTGTTGTCCTATCATTTAATTGTATTGTCTTTATATTGTTCATTTATCATTATAATGTACTTTTGTCTTTAAACTGTTCATTTGCCATTATGAGGATCATTTGTCATTTCAGTGTTCAATTTTCATCATAATTTTCATTTGTCAAATTAATGTTAATTTGTAATATAATGTTCATTTGTCATTTTAAAGTTTATTTGTAAGTTTATTTGTCGTTTTATGTTCATTTATTACTTTAGTGTTGTCACTATGATGTTCATTTGTCAAATTAATGTTCATTTGTCATTATATTATTCATTTGTCTTCCAAACAACTATGTATACTCAAGAGAATTGGAAATCACCTGACAAAAAAAGGCAAAGTCACCATTTTTAAATCTTTTATTTTATCTAGTTTTAATTTTTGTCCTCTCTCATGGCATTTTTGTAGTATCAGAAATACCAGAAAAATCGAAAAGATACAAGAAAGAGCTTTACGTTTTATTGATAATGATTATAGCTCCTCTATTAAAGATCTTTTAGTTAGAAATAAATTAGAATTTTTACATATATGTAGGCTGAAGACCATGGCCAAGGAAGTATACAAGATTTTAAATAATATTGCTCCAGAATTCTTTAAGAGTCTTACCAACAGAAACCAAGTTTTATATAATTTTAGGAAAGTTGACACTGTGACTACACCAAGAGTAAATTCTACCACATATGGCAAGAAATCTTTTCGTTTTGAAGCCGCCCAGGTGTGGAATAGCCTACCAAATGAGATTAGACAAGCAGAAAATGCAAGGTTTTCTGTAGGCTGTTGCCNAAGGAAGTATACAAGATTTTAAATAATATTGCTCCAGAATTCTTTAAGAGTCTTACCAACAGAAACCAAGTTTTATATAATTTTAGGAAAGTTGACACTGTGACTACACCAAGAGTAAATTCTACCACATATGGCAAGAAATCTTTTCGTTTTGAAGCCGCCCAGGTGTGGAATAGCCTACCAAATGAGATTAGACAAGCAGAAAATGCAAGGTTTTCTGTAGGCTGTTGCCCACCTGGGAAGGTGACCTCTGCCAGTGTTCTATATGTTCGTGACTTTCATCTTATTGATCCCCCATTTTTTATTTGAGATTTTTGCTTTTATTTTGCTTCTTACTTTACTTTAATTTATCTGAGTATTTTATTCAATCATTTTCCAATATAAAGTATCGTAATTAACCATCTGTATTATATATGAAATATGTGCTTGCAAAATCTGATATGTTTTTATGTTTTATGATTATGATTTATGCTTATGTTATAATTAGTACTCTTCCTGCTTTTAACATGCATTTGCTATCATCAAACTGTTTTCTAAATTATTTTAGTAGCTCAATGTATATAGTTATGCTGCAAAATCCTACCTTTTCTACTAGCATGCCTTTTACCTTGTTATTACTCTGTTTTTATACTTATGTTTGTCGTAAAAATAGCTCCACAGAGCTAATGTTCAATGTTATGCCATATACGACACTAAATAAAGCTTCTTGTATCTTGTATCACTATAGCATTACGTCAGTATAGCAGGGATCTGTGTTATAAGTCAGATGTTATTTTTACAAAATAACTTTACATCGTTTGCATTCATTTACCAGTTTTAGATATTTCCTTTTGATTTCATTTCAAAAACTAAATATAATTAAGTTTTACTTATTTACAACAAATATCAGAATATGTTCAGTTTTATTATTGTTTAGCCTATGGGATCATAAACTGAACTGACGAATCAAGTATGATTTATGCTTTTTTACGTCCGGACGAAACGATATAATCATTGTTATACTATGGACTATATCTTTAGTCCCTGACGCACTGTCTTTAGTAAAATAACATTATAAAGATGGGCCACAATATAATTGGTATTATCGAGAAATGTGATACTATGCCAACCAGGTTATGAAAAACAAACCATAACTGTGAAAATGGTTACTTTTGGGGCACAACAGGACGTACAAAATATAATTTCAAACTTTCGCGCGTTTTTTCTTCTACACTATCGAAATTACGACACACACAATTTTGAGATTTGTCAGCAATTAAATATTTCAATACATCAAATAAACATACAGACACATTTGATTAATAAATTATTGTTTATATACATCCATACACGCAAGTAAGTAGATTTGCACGACAACCGTAAAGTGGTCGCCTTAGTATTTATGAACACAATGGCGGATCGAAGCACAACTCCGAAAGGTAACCCACGATTTGGCTTAGAATTTACGATAACAGCTATGCTTTACAACTCTATAAGTGTTTTGTATTGATCTTACTTAAAGTAATTGTCTTATCAGTTGAATTAATCATTCTACTCTCAATATCGTTGGATATTTATGATTTATTCCGGTAGAAAGTATCGGGATAAGAGCATCACAGGGGTAATTTGAACAAAATATGTCGTGATAATTACTGAATGTTTTGTATCGTTAAAACGGCAAGGACAATACAGAAGATATGTAGCGAATTTTTTATTCCAATCACGACGTGCAATCCCTCAGATGTATTCTTATTATTTAACAGACAGTACAGATCCTGTAAAAGAACTCCTGGACACTGATGAACAAAACCTTGATACCAAATCTAAGGATAGTAATGGTCGTACACCTTTACACATCGCCAGTAGCTATGGACAATACCCGATAGTGGAAAAACTGCTCAAGGTATTTGGTGTCCAGTTCATTTTATTTGCGGTAACATACTTTCTAACGACAAGACATTTTTTTTAAATATTGCGTTGGGCAGAGGTGGCAGGGTATTGATAAGCTGCAATAACATATATAGCTTCTGACGACAAGACATGTTTTAGGCCCTATATATTGCTTTGTCAGAGCAGAGGAGGCCCGCTATTAATATTAGTACTAAAATTAAGTTCATTCTATTGCATATATAGTGACAGTCAAATGAAATGTATATGTTTGTGGCAAATTTTAATTGTACATATATAGGATACAGTCGCTTTCTAGCTTCGAGCTAGAGGGAATTTCCCTTTAGCTCCGTGGTAGAGCATCTGACTAGGAAGTCGATATGGGATCGCAGTTTCAGTCCCAGGTGGAAGCACACTACTCTCTTCATGTTAGTACATACCTAGTGTAGCAGCAAAGGAATATGAGGGGGAATATAAATAAATAAAAAATATACAACATTTGATATAGCGCTCTATCTAGCTAACATAAGCCACTCTACAGCGCTTTAAAATACTGCCTTCTTGGCAAGCTAGCTTTTCCAGCAATGTGGTATATAACCCTGGGACACACTGTCACTAATTCGGCAACATCGAAAATGGTCAATGGTTGGATTTCTGCATACTTGCACATTGCACTTGTAACTGTTAAGATACATTTATTAAAATACACATCTGAAGTATGTACGAGATGTACAATTTCATAATTTGAGGAAGTCCACAGACAGATTTAAAAAAATCCTATAGTCTGACATATAGTAATTTCAAAAAACTTCACAAGCCTGATGCAATGAAAAATCTACTAATTAGCATTGGATATCTGATAAGTGAAATACAGTAGGAGCTCAAGTTTCATCTGGCTCTAACACCAGGCTTTAGACTATTCTGACCAATAGATGTCTCAAGTCTTAAGTGTTGGAGCCTAAGGAAACACGGGCCAGCGGAATGGTTAATTCCTGCAGTAAATCTATTAGTATTAGCCATTGAAAGAGACTGCAGGGTTTTACACTAACATAAGTCGGGTATAGTCCTGGACTAGTAAAAAGTGAGAAAGACTACTAAATGTTCCATACCTGTTAGTCATACAGACTAAGATATTTTTTATACACATGCTAGTCCCTTAGACTAAGTTAGAAGTATCTTAAGTGTCTATATCCTTGATAATTAGAGGATATCTAATTATATATAATCTGAACATTTGTGATTTGACCTCCTTTTCAAAAAATAGTCACCTTTTGGAATCCTATCTTAAACATTCAGTTTTAATTATAATTGATTCGCCATGTTTTAGGCTGGAGCAGAGCCCCTGGATAGGAACAACACAGGACGAACTCCACTCCACGAAGTGTGTACGGGTGGGCACAAGGAATGCCTCAATCTTCTTCTCCAACACACGCCGGAAGTAAATGTCCGCGATCGTGACAACCAGACGCCAGCCCACACTGCAGCCTTCAATGGCGAGCTGGGCTGCCTCAAAATACTACATGCCAAAGGTATATATATCAGCAAACATGGTCTGCAAAAAATATGCATGAATTGAGAGAATATCTGAATTATTTATAAATTTATTTATTACATATTTGCATAGGAGCTAATTTCAGATTCAATGATCAATATTTTTTGTAATAAGTATTTACTTTTATAATATAAGCATACCATATATTTCAAAAAGGATCTAATTTCAGATTTATATAATGATATTTTTTGTAAATTAAGATATAAAGTTTTGATAAACATACCATATTTGTATAGCATCCAGAATCATAGCTTAATACACAGGTACTAGCCTCATCTGTCAATTTACATCCATAATATATATTTTATGAATGTATTGACAGATGAGGCTAATATATGTGTTTAATATTTCTTGTCTCAAAGACTAAATTCTATTGGTATATATTCCTTCTTTGCGTATTACAGAGTTATCTTCTCTTGGGAGCAGGTATTGATTGCTACATCATTGATTTGTGTGAGAAAATTACGTCGTTTACTCAAAAATTGATGACATTACTCTCACAAACTAGTGACGTAACAATCAATACCTTCTTCCAAGAGAAGATAACTCTGCAATACGCAAAGACGGAATAGGCCAGATAAGTGCAGGAAATCATGTTTATTGAAGTCAGACCAGTAATGGTCCAAGCTTGCAAATATATGATACAGTTTATCCGTATACATTTTTGCATGTACAGTCAAATCTGTCTTGGTGGCCACCTGTTATTAACTGGGAACATTTTTTCACAATTAAATTTCATGCCTGAATTTAGGTTTTATTCGTGAATATTTGAACTTGCAATCAACATTAGTGGTAATCATCTATGGAAATAATGTTGTGAAAGGATTTAAATGTGATTATGTGTCTCCGTGGATTCAACCATTCATCTTGGATGAAAATACAGTACTAGGGGTAATTTGATGTATATACTGTATCCCGGGATTTTTTTTGCATCATGCTGTTTAATATTTGTCTTTTTTGCCCTCCGTAATATGATAGCAGAATTATCGTTACAGTGAATATTTGTAAACAAGTCATATTATACATAGTAATTAAATGTGAAAGGCAAATTTAATATTGAACGAAAATGGAATTTATTGTCTAAAGTTGATGGGCGAAAATTTCCCGGTATACAATACCAGTTGTAAATTGGCATTCAATAGCTCATTTATAGGTAGATGATATGCAAAAGAATGAAAATCTCATTTATCCATTGTATATATTCTGTCCACAGGGAGCAGTTTGGTCGCAGAAGATAAGCTAGGCAGACAAGTGAGTCACCTTGCTGCCATGAGGAACCATAAGAAGATCCTACAGTACCTCTTTGACCAGGGCGTGGATCTGGATAGTCGGTGTGAAATTGGAAAGACCCCAGTCCATTACGCTGCCCAGTATGGATGTAAGCTTATCTGTACATGCATATATTTGTAGTGGTCAGTTTGGACAGGTTTAACTGTGTGACAATATGTATTGTACACCTGTACATGCATATATTTGTAGTGGTCAGTTTGGACAGGTTTAACTGTGTGAAAATATGTACTGTACACCTGTACATGCATATATTTGTAGTGGTAAGTTTAGACAGGTTTTGCTGTATGACAATAAATATTGTATACCAGTGCATGCATATATTTGTAGGGGTCAGTTTGGACAGGTTTAACTGTGTGACAAGATGTTTTGATCACCTGTACATGCATATATTTGTAGTGGTAAGTTTAGACAGGTTTTGCTGTATGACAATAAATATTGTATACCAGTGCAGGCATATATTTGTAGTGGTAAGTTTAGACAGGTTTTGCTATGTGACAGTATATTGTACATCAGTACATGTATATATTTGTTGTGGTCAGTTTGGACAGGTTTAACTATGTGACAATACATATTAATTATACATTCTGATTGTAACTTTAACTTAGTATATAAAGCACAGGCTGAAAATTGTTTTAACACTCAAAATACAGACCAAGATATTTTCTTAGAAAATTATTTCAGAATCAGCTTTTGAATTAAGCTTTGTAAAACATACTATTTTGTATAAATTCATATTTAACTTTTTTTATTAATTTTCACTTCCTGTTTCATGTATATTATGTGTACTGTGTGTTTCTTCCCTCAGCACTGGACTGTGTGATCTTACTAATACAACGAGACTGCGACATTACACTCGGTGACAACAATGGATACCTCGCAGCTCACCACGCATCACGTCACGACAAACTCGATATTGTTCGCTTCCTGGTCAAGCAGGGCACATCACTTGAGGTCACACAGGCAGATGGCAAGACACTTAGTCATGTGGTCAGTATAGTAATTACAGCCAAATCGATTATGCAAAACATGATGAAAAAAAAATGAAAATCCTGACTCTTTAAAGCAAGAGCAGGGTCACATCCATCCTCGATACTTAAGGGGTAACACCCACTTACGTTCTCTGCACCCCTTTCGTTCTCTGCACCCCTGGAATATTTCATTACAAAATTGAAGGTACATGACAAGCTATTAGATTGGTCTCGGGTAAAAAAAACTGACCAATCGTTCAGATTAATACCTGTTCTTTGAAGATTACAGAGGAACAACATCTGACTTCAAAGCCGGTCATTTTTACTGTTACACGACAGACAAATTCTTTTGATGTACACCAAATAATCAAACTAGTCTTCTTGTCTCATCCACACGACTGCACCACTAATATAATAGTGCTTATCCAGCCGGGCTTCAAACGCTTTTATTGTTTGTGATGTGACCACGTGATTTGGCAGAGAATTCCAATGGTTGACCACTCTTTCTTTAAAGGAATACTTTCTTTTAGTTCAATTTAGACATTCCTTTTTCAAGTGAAAGACTATAATGACCTCGTGTTCGTGTTTTCTCATTTATATTTTAAAAGCCTTCTGTTACAGAAGTGTCATATTATCCATGTATTAGTTTATAAACCTGTGTCATATCTCCTCGTAATCTTTTTTGTTTTAAAGTTGGTAATTTTAAAATCCTTAATCTGTCTTGATAACTTAGGTCTTTCATTCATGGTATCTGTTTTGTGGCTCTCCTAATCTGTACACTTTCAATTTTGTTAATGTCCTTTTGTAGGTATCGTTTCCATATGCTAGCTCCGTATTCCAGATGTGGTCTCACGAGTGCTTTATACAGCAGACAAAACGTTGATGTATCAAAATATGTATGCGTTCTTCTAATTGTACCGATTTGTGTATATGATCATTAAATGTCTTCAATTTTGCTATGACATATTCCCGGGGAGGTAGAGAGCGAAAGTGAGCGTAACCCTTGGACTATCGAGGAAGGGTCACATCTAGTTTTATTGAAACTACATCCCCTGGTCAACAAGACTCGGTAGTTCAAGTTGATTTCATGTCTTTCATAATTTTTGTTAAATTTTATTTAACTTCACACAGATTTTCAGTTTCAAAGGGACCATGTATTGAATATCAAATTATCAAAGGACCCATTTTCATGATGTTCATATTAATTTGAAATGAATGCTACATTCAAGAATGTGTTACTGAGACCAGATAGTCACAATGCAGTGTGACTGTGTAATCCACCTGGAATTCTTTTAACTCTTTCACCACTGTAAACCATAATGGACTCGGCAATATCAATACATGATAGAGTCTACTAAAGTTACATAGGGGTGAAAGGGTTAAGTAATGTTTATGAACAGGAAGACAGTGTGGCAAGTCAGATTGAAGTTTGATTGATTGATTGATTGATTTTTTTTAACATCTGATTCACTACGTATCTATAGTAGTTCAGTTATCCAGTAGAAGAAGAAAAGATAGGAAAACGAGTAGAAGGGATAAAGAATGTAGTGAAGGAATAAAAAAAGCATGATAGAGGAGGGAAGGAGCCAACCATCCGGCGTGTACTAATTTGTAGTTATAATTTTTGTAAGACAACTCCTTAGAGGCATAATATTTGCCTTATCCTAACTCTGTTTGTCACTAGTCGCAATATAACACCATACCAGGACCAGAGGAGGAATAGGAATCCACCGCCTATTTCACCAGCTCCTAACTAGCCTAAAAGAAATTGTTAAGTCTCTACATTTTGAAGTCTGTCTAAATGTTTGATAAAGAGGTATAATTCAGATTGAGTCCCTGAGGTAGGTTTAAATATTTTGCCTGTTTATCTGTTCTAGGCAGCCCAGCATGGAGCACTAAATGTCTTACATTGGTTACTAGAGAAGGGAGCAGATCCTAACCAAACAGACTGTGAGTGGTTGACAGAAATCATTGGGTATTATATATAAGAAATTTAAAAAAACAAGATATGATACAGCATGGGTACCAAGATCATTTTAAATAACAGTACAGACATAATTATAGGAGTTCATGCCTGAGCTTTCATAAATACTAATAATGTCAAAATAAAAAGTCACTGTGAGATATAAGAGAGTTTTTAATACAATTTAGAGATCAGTTTGACCTACACGTAGGTCACAATGACTTATACAAAGTCACTATGACTTACACAGATGTTGCTATGACTTACACAGAGATTGCAATGATTAACATAGAGGTCGCTATGACTTACACAGGGTCGCAATGATTTATACAGAGGTCACTATGACTTACACAAAGGTCGCAATGATTAACACAGAGGTCGCTTTGACTTACACAGAGAACGCAATGACTTATGCAGAGGTCGCTATGACTTACACAGAGGTCACTATGACTTACATAGAGGTCGCTATGACTTACACAGGGTCGCAATGATTTATACAGAGGTCACTATGACTTACACAAAGGTCGCAATGATTAACACAGAGATCGCAATGACTTACACAGAGGTCATCTCAACTTACACAGAGGTCACCTCGACTTACAGAGATTGCGATGACTTACACAGAGGTCACTATGACTTATGCAGAGGTCACCTCGACTTACATAGAGGTCGCTATGACTTACATAGAGGTCATTATGACTTACACAGAGTTGACAATGACTTACACAGAAGTCACTTTGTCTTACACAGAGGTCATCTCCACTTATGCAGAGGTCATCTCAACTTACACAGAGGTCACCTCGACTTACATAGAGGTCCTTATGACTTACACAGGGCTCTCTATGACTTACACAAAGGTCACCAAATTACTGCAAATGTCAATTTAAATAAGAACAAAATTAATGTCATTCTAACTTAAAGTCTGATATTTTTCTCACACTTGATTTAAGCTGTTACTTTTTTAATCATTAAAAAATATTTTTGGAATCTCACTCAAGTTGTAATGGTGTTACATTATATGTTTAAAGTATTGCCCATTTGATACTTGTAATTGTGAACAGTACTTAATGTGCATTTATATGAAAATATCTAACAAGACAAGTTTTAGTAACCATTATTACTGGAAAATTCAAATAAAACAGGGAATATTTTTATTTCTGTTTATGTATATATATACATTTTTGTATATGGATTTAAAAAATAATGCAGACCATTCTCAAATTATCTAACAACTTCAAACTACAACATATGCATGTTCGGCTTTTGAAGACTTTGGAAACACACCTGGACATTATGCTGCTGACAGTCGGAGGCCAGAATGTCTAAGCTGCTTTTTGTACCATGAGGGAGACATTGAGAGCCAGAACATTAAGGGGGACACGCCCTTGGATGCTGCCCGCAAAGCTGGATGTCCTCTAGAAATGGAGAAGGGAGGTGGGTAGATCATTATCTGTAAATGATTAATACTTCTAAGTATGTAACACTTGAAAAGTGTAGAAAAAATCATGTTATATTTGTAGACGAAGTGCAGATTAAACGACCCAATGTAATTAAAATAAGATCTTTGCATTGTTCCCGTTTACTGTTATGTAAGACCTTCCACGGAACATATCTGTTAATTAACAGGATCAATCAAAGATCCAGTTTCAATTAAATTGAACGTTGATCCTTTATCTGCATAAATTGACAATTACATTAACATCTAGCTGTTTGTAACAATTAAATCAGGCATCTTTAAATTTTAAAAAAAAAAGTTTTCTGGAGAAAAAAAAATCAGGACACTTATATATATTATTTTCAATACATATGTATTGCAAAATCATGAAGTTGCAAAAATATAGATTTCAAGTTACTGCATGTATTTTTCGGCAATCTATTCTCTGAAAGTTCATGCAATTATTGTTCAGAGTAATATTATAGTGAGAGGGGTTAATGTAATTAATTAGTTATGTACAATTAAATACATGTGACTGGGTGGCCCAGTGGATAGCCGACTCGCCTTTTAGGCTTTTACCAAGATGGCCTGTTTTCAATTCCTCATTTAGATGTTAAAGGTATGAAGTCACCTGCCCAACCACATTTTCTCCCCTGGAACTCCAGTTTCCTCCCTCATCATGACCCCCTAGGGGCTACCATCCAGGCCAACAAGAGTATAGTTGATAACAAATTGGTAGAACTTGTTTCACAGCTGTGGTAAAATAATTAAAGTTAAGATACAAAACTTACATGATATTTCAATGTATTTTTTTTACAGTTAACAACAAACAGCCATGTCAGTTGTGTTTCCAAAAGTACAAGAAGGCTGTGTGGGACAGATCACATCCCCCTACAGCAATGGAGAGACAGCTGAGCAGGGCTAAGACTACAGCCTACAAAAATCCTGTCCCTGCCCCAGTGTATGTATACAATTCGCTGCTTCCCAATTAAAAATTAAAAGGTTAAAAAAACTTGAGATTTTAGCTCACCTGCTCAAGGGCAAGTGAGCTTATGCCATGGTGCGGCATCCGTCGTCCGTCTGTCCGGCGTCAACTTTTTACTTTAAACAACTTCTTCTCAATAACCAAAAGGCCCAGGGTACTGATATTAGGCCTGTAGCATGCTGGGATGAAGGGCTACAAAGTTTGTTCAAATAAATGACCTTGACCCACTTTCAAGGTCACAGGGGTCAAATGTCTTAAAATCTTCAAACAACTTCTTCTCAATAACCAAAAGGCCCAGGGTACTGATATTGGGCCTGTAGCATGCTGGGATGAAGGGCTACCAAGTTTGTTCAAATGAATGACCTTGACCCACTTTCAAGGTCACAGGGGTCAAATGTCTTAAAATCTTCAAACAACTTCTTCTCAATAACCAAAAGGCCCAGGGTACTGATATTGGGCCTGTAGCATGCTGGGATGAAGGGCTACCAAGTTTGTTAAAATGTATGACCTTGACCATCTTTCAAGGTCAAATGGGTCAAATGTCTTAAAATCTTCAAACAACTTCTCAATAATTAAAAGGCCTATGGTACTGAAATTAGGCCTGTAGCATGCTGGGATGAAGGACTACCAAGTTTGTTAAAATGAATGACCTTGATCCACTTTCAACCTGATGTCCTTGTTCGACATTCAAGGTCACAGGCGTCATATGTTTAAATCTTTTAAAAGGTTCTTATGAATCAAACACTGATATTCTGCCTGTAGCTGTATTTTAGTCCACTTTTAAGATTACAAGTGTGAGATTAATACCAGGTGAGCAATGCAGGCCCATTGGGCCTCTTGTTTAAAATAGAAAGTAAAAAGGTCTGGGCCCGTATTCATGAAACCGTTCTCTTGCTCAGTCAGATTTTGTACTCACAATTTCTTATTCCAGTGATAAATTCATGAAAAATTACATTTTGTAAATGATTTGGAAAAAGCCTTGAGAGTCTTAGGGTTGAATACGATTTTCGATGTTTAAACTTGACTTTTTGACCGTGTCACATGATTCATATTAGCCAGCGACAAGAAAGCTGAGGTTTAGCACAGAGGTCATGCTTGAGCATGAGAACGGTTTTATGAATACAGGCCCAGATGTCAAGGTCCCATTAACTACTACCTAAATAGTGGTTGATAAGTTTTGATATCAAATTGGTATACACTTTATATATAAACCCCAGGAGCAACAAAATAAGGAGTGACGTTGGGTCCTTGCTGTTAGTACAAGACACGCAATCTTTTTCCACATCTGTCCTTCCAACCTACTAAACTGAATTCATTGAATCTTAATAGTTCATCGTATTATTTAGCAGAGTTATTGCCCTTTTCTCACAGTGGCATGTTGATTATTCAACATAACAATTCCTAAACTACTGTACCAAATCTGACAAAATTTTAAGTTTGGCATCAATTGAACACAATTTTGCAGTTGCATATATTATCAATATACAGTACATTAATTAATTAGATAAGCCTTGAATTGTTTCGACAATGAAAAATGGTGACACCCTGGGAGCAAAAGATGGTGTAATATAGGAGCGTAAAAATGCACCGCCAGACAGGGTTCGAACCCAGGACCCTGCAAACTCTAGACGGAGCTCTACCTGGTCGCTGATGATCAACCCAGTCCAGTTCCACTGAATTGGATTTATTTATATAATTACTGCATATCCATGTAAATCTGAAGTTACATCAAGGTTTTGTACCTCTGTTACAGGAGAGTTCCGACACAGTTACAGCTTAATCTGATGAAAAGAGACAAGCGATTGGCCAAGGCAGCCCCAAAGGTGAACATGTCCAAACGAGATTTGTCAGCACAGTACTTTGGGGAATACCTCGATCCGAATGACATGTTTGCCTTTAAAGCAGATGAAGATACTATTCGATTCTAGTGTTAATGATTTTTTTTTTTTAAATGACATGCAAACAGGAAACTGTAAAAATCAAAGTTCCAATATTGTGATTCACAGTGTACAATAAGTACAATTTTAAATTAAATGAACTATCAGCATTTGATAATATTATTAATATATTTATGTATTTTCTGTTGATATATGTTTTAATGAGTTAAATAAATCATTTTAATATATGGCTGTCATATTTTAAAAAAAAGAAGAGATATTTCAGGTTTCCTTTATATAGTGTGTACACTTATATAACCGTGGGTGGGGGAGGGGGGAGGTAAGATACATATCTGTTTAAGTTTTAAAGAAAATTCATAGAGTACGTGTTAGTCATTCCAAATAATGTACTGATGGACATTAAAATTATCTTAAAACCTTGATAATTTTTGGACACTGTTAAAAAATAAATGTATGATAATTTTAGGCAGTTGATCTGATCCCAGTTTCGCAAATATTTCTTTTACAACTTAAGGAAATATCTTAATTAAGTTAAAAGAGGTAAGGAAAAAATAAAGGGAAGGAAATTTTCCTTTAATTCAATAAAAAAAATCCAAAGGAAAAAAAGTAATATTTAATTAATAAAACAATTGTTTGTGGAGAGTAAAGATTACACTACCGATTTTCGAAAACACCATTATCAAAATCATCATTTCAGGCACAATGCTTATGAATATATTTACCATTTTTTTAGACTCTTATTGGGTAAGAAGAGTTAATTTCCTGTACAGGTTTATATATATTATGTTACATCAGATCTAGGTGCCATAATGAAGACTTAAATCTTTGAAATTTATCTTCAGCTGGTCACTGATTTGCAGTTATGTGAATTATTTTAAGCAATTTTCATAAGTTGAAAGTGTCAATGGGGCTAGTTATATTGCTTCAAGCATAATATGTCAATGGAAGGGAGACAACTTTTTTTTAATATTTTTTTTACACCAGAATTAAACCCTCGTGTTTGGCAACTGAAGAATCTTCCACCTCGGGTTGAGATTCCCCTATCTCCCCCTAAAGGGGGCGATATATTCTATTAATCTTTCCCTGACCCAAAGTGTGGATATCTGGCCAAATGGGGGAGAAATACACTTGAGTGTAGTTCTATGTTTCATTCACACATACAAGTTTAATATGAAACAACAGATGAATATATGTTATGTGTAAAATTGCCCCTCTAATAATTTTTCTTGATGTATGTACAATTTGTATTAATTGATTTTGTAAAGATATTGTTTCGTAATCATGGTTAAATATGTTAATGATTATACTACAACTTGTGTAGAGTAGTATCCTTTACCTCAAATACTCGGACTTGTAATGGTACAGTAGATATTTGATCACAAGCCTGTCAGTGTTTTTTTAAAACTAATATGAAAGAGAAACTACACTGTTTTGATTGATGCACTACACATAACAATGTTCAGAATGGCGTAACCAAATTTTCCAATGCAAGTTTTAAGCAATATTTGTGGACTTTGTATCATGAAGACCTGGGCCGATATTCATGAAAATGTTCTCATGCTCAAGCATAGCCTCTATGTGCTCAAACCAACTTCCTAGTAACTTGCTTAACCCTTTCACCACTGTAGACTATATTGGACTCATCCAGATCAATGCATAGTAGAGTTTACTAAAGTTACATAGGGGGTGAAAGGGTTAAATCAAATGTCATGGTGAAAGTCGGGCGTAAACTAAAAGTATTAGAGATTGATCACCAGATCAAGAAATTGCGCTTCAGCAAAAAATCTGAGTTTGGGCATGAGGACGGTTTCGTGAATAGGTGCCCCGATTTCCAGATAAATGATATTGAGAATATACATATTTATTATAATGTATTGCTGTGATATATCAGGTCTTAATTGATTGTACAAGTTAAATACAAGATATTTATTGTTTATATCTATAGTAAAACAGATTGAATGTGATATTAATAAGATTTCAGTTTGGAAATATGTTATATCAAAGTGTTATTTATTAAAACTAGAGCACCGTTTCATGACCGACTAGCCCCTCTGTCGAGCTGTGAGTGAGCAATTTGTGTTGTTTACATACATGCACAACAATGAGATGAAATTGTAAACTTCATATGTCACTTGTCTATGGGATATTTCGCCTATTTATAAACACTGTATCAAATAGGCTACGGGTTAAAAACCAATAAAAATCAGGAAAACTCAAAACCTGAACAGAGATGAGGGGGAACAAGCAAAGTCATCTGTATGACCTAGCTGCGGGAACCGTAGCTTCTAGCTAGGGTCCGATAACAATAAAAAGAAAGAAAAAAGAAAAAAAGAAAAAAAAAGATCGGGCTTAGAAGCACTGACCTAAACGGTAGAGGGGCTAGATCTATAAGATACAGTGTGTATACGTACACTCTTTCAACAGACGAAAAGTCTCGCAATCGAGTGACACATGTAGTTTACAATTTCATCACATCTAGTACAAATAAACAATACAAATCACTCATTCAGTCAAAGCTTGACAAAGGGACCAGTTTGTCTTGAAATATTGTGACATGCATTATTTGTTTCAACAACACTTTGTTATTAAATAGGTTTACTGTGATATCAATTATAAGTTTATCTACAGTAAAACCTGTTAACTATTATTAATTTATCTGCACTACACAGTGATGCACTTTGTGTCAAACCTGCGTATTTTAGATTCAGTTAAAACAAATCACAATTTCGTTCCCTTAACCCATTCACCCCTAAAGTCACATTCAAACCTTACCGAATCAAGGACTGGACAAGTCTAATTTGAACATGTAGGGGTGAATGAGTTAAAATAGTGAATATAAAACACGTTTTACTGTGAGGAAAGTAGGTTTATCTATGACCTATACCTTTTTTATATTTAAAATAATTTAATATTATTATGACAAATTTCTAGCTGTTGGATTGTGTTGTGTAATTATCTAAGCTTATGCTGTATAAAGCAAGATGGCTTTGAAACAATGAAATAAAAGATTTAATAATAAACTTTTAGTTATTTTATTTAATAAACAGAAGGAGTGGAGTTATAACACTTTTTCATATTATTTTTATTTCACTTTGATTATGAAACATTTTACTTTGATTATTAAACAATGCACAAAATTATGGTAAAAAGACGTTAAAGTTACTGACTTGGACAGAGAAGTCAATTACTGAGGGTTTCATGTGATACTCTGCATCCTCCACCTCTGTAAATGGCCCTTGGACTTTATCTTTTGACCTTGATATCCTATTTTATATTGTAACAATAGAACAGTCACAAATAGTTGTGGAGAAAAGGATGTTGGAAATCTTATGAAATATGTCCAATAAATGACCTCTTTGGTGTGTTTGTTGATTCAGTGTTGGTGGCAACACAAAATCTACAGGTGAATTAACTAAGAGAAGTTATAAGCGAGCTTAAAGATTAAGGACTCGCACAACTAAATCATTTATTATATGTTATCACTAAGCTTTTGAGCTAATCGCATTAATATTTGAAGTTCAACACTAGTGACAACTGTCTAGATTCATAAATACTTACCTGAAGCCAAACCAGTCAAGTGGGACGGACACACCCTTTGACTTTTGACCCCATATCAATCCGCCATTACATATTAAAATCTACCAAAAGTATATATTTTTCTAAAGTTAAATATTTGTAGATTTCATTCAATGTAAAATAAGTCAACAATTACCCATTTAAATTACTCAGAGGCACTGTTATCTGGAACAATTTTTAGGTAAGGATTACAATTGTATGAAACACTTGCTGATTGGCTGATTTAGTTGTGCGAGTCCCTAAACCCACTGTTTGGGCTTACAAGTCTCCCGGAGCAGAAATTTGAAGTTTTAAGGAAAATGACTCCAGGAAAAATAATAAAATCGCAAATTCCTTTCCTCATGCACATCTACATATACAATGTACCTTTAACTGTGACAAGTTACAAAAAACAATTCAACAACCTGTAAACCCTTTCAAAACTGTAGACCATAATGGACTCATCCATATCAATGCATGGTAGAGTCTACATAAGTTACATAGGGGTGAAAGGGTTAAGGAGGAGTTGTGCTTACAATGATTCTGGAGCAAAAGTATCAAGGGACATAACTCCAGGAAAAAACGTCAGATCGGAAATTTCTCTCCTCATGCACACCTATAGCTATCTACAAACCATTTACTTTCATTGTGCCAAGTTACAGAAACAATCCATACTTATTACCACTATAGTTAAACAGGCATCTACAACAGTCCATCTTTTGATAAATCAACTTGATAAATAAATGTTTGTCATATAAATCTGTCACCATGGTTTCAGATTGTGTAAACACCCAGTGTTGTCAAATGAAATACACAGCAGATCTGAGTGACTGTTTGCTTACAAGTATTTCTGAAAAAAACATCTGATGTAAGAGAATACATATAGATCTAAAAAAATTAAAAATTAAAACATTGAATTAATTTTCTTATATAAAAATATATTCAGTTTTACATTTTCACACAATAATAAAAAAGTGTTTGAATAAGTCTTTTACAAAAACTGAGCCATTTGCAGAAGTGAATTCATTGTATTACAAGAAAATTTGAGAAAAATTACCTAATACCATAACTCGCTACTGCCTTACGGTGATCATGAGATAACGAAAATATACAACAGATAACAAGATATTGGTAATTTATCTTTTATTTGGTATTAGCTCTAGCAACAGTTAGTGTTGTGACTCCACCAAACATGTCACTCGGGGCCAAACGACATTTGTCCAGGTCCTCCTTTCTTCATGTAGCGACGATAACTTTTATATCTAGCACTTTCTGCCATTTTAATTTTCATTTCCTCCTCCTTTGCTGTTTTCCATACCTGGAATAAGAAATGATAATGCCAGAAGTTATCTACCAGAAAAGATGAAGTCAAACTTTGTCAAGTCAATATATTGAGACCATATAAAACAAGGTGTATATTAAATATTTACATGTTTAATATTTTCAAAATTTACACTACTGATTGCAGTACCGAAGTCTGATACATACATAAGTTAGAATACTATTTCGTATTTTATAATGGCATTTTAATTGATGGTATACATATATATGTGTGTGGTCATTCATGTGATATCAGTGTAGCGGAGATGGACTGGGTTGATCAGCGGCGACCAGTTAACTCAATTTTTAGAGTGTCTGTGTAAAATGTATTGCCTTTGGAGGTGAAGACTTAAAAAAAAATGAGGGAGGAATGTACAGGTCGATCGCCCGTGACTAGGTAGCTCAAATGGTAGAGCATCCACCTAGAGTTTGGAAGGTCTCGGATTCCAATCCCAGTCTCGTGGTGCATTTTCCACATGTATTATAGCAAAAACTCTAGTGAAGGTACAACCCTAAACAATTTTTTTTTACTTATAAGTCTTACTTGAGTCTTTGGGCTAAGTGATTTATCAGGTAATGAATGCTTTGTAAAATGTCCTGGCCAGGTCACTGTCATTATTCTACTAGTACCTGAAATTTTTCCTTTATCCAAAGCTCTCTTAATAAGTGATCTTCCTTTTCATGGTCTGGTAATGCCTGTAGTAGTAAAATAAAAAAATGGATTATAAAAAACTGCTTGATCACATGATTTTTAATTTAATTATAGGTAGTTCCCTTAATTACTGAACTGTTTTGCTTTGGCAGATTTTGGTTTATATGAATACCACCTCGAAGGCATAATAAATAAAATGACAATATATCAATATATATATCTCTTATTGCCAAAATCTACAATCTTGAAAGGGTTCAATGGTTAAATTTACATCTCTGACATTTCGGCATTATATACATAGTTTACATGGATGTTAATCTCACAGAAAATTTACAATTCATTAATTAAAAGTCAGCAATCATGCACTATGAATGTATGTTTATTAGCCCATTTATATTTCTGCATATCAGCAAAAGTATTGAAGTTGTATACAAAATGCCTTTGGTTTCTTCAGGTCTGATTTATTTAACATTTATGACTACAATAATTTTATATTGAGCAGTTATCATAATTCAGTGATTCTTGAATATCTGATAAATGTGCTAAAATATCACCTATTGTTAAAATACAGTAAAAATAGTCATTCCTGTGTGTGGAAATGTTCGCTCTGTGACCCTAGTGGGTTTTATTTACATAAAAATTTCAAAGTAGTGCTGTGATGGTTAACTTATAAACATCAAATCTCCACCCTCTTACAGTATGTGGTTTCCTCACATCAAATTGTCCCTTACATGTACTAGTACAGTAGTTGGGTTTTATTTACACCAACTTGTCACCCTAGTTCTTGTGAAGGATTCTTTATATAATTTCTGCACCATCGATCTTACACTATGAAGTTCCACTTACATCAAATTGTCCTTCACTTATTTTCAGGTTTCTGCGAATAAGGTAATGTTTGGCTGCAAGATCGTATTCCTTCTTTTTAATTCTGTATCTCCACGTCCAATCTATGCAGGACGCGACGTACTTGTACAAGGTGTAAGGAAGCAGGAGGATCTGTAGCCACAGCACGTCATATACAGTCGGTTTCTGATAGGCACCCCTGTCAACACAATTCACATGTACCTGAATGACTTACAGTCCTTGCTGCAAGTGTTAAATATATATCTCATTGATTTTAGTCAGTGGTTAATTATAATTAAACCCGATTTCTGTATTAAAATACTGTATACTAGCTAGGAAACTTTTACCGATAATAATGTAGGACTCGGTCAAATATTTGCCTTTCACTGTGAAAATCAATATTGGCCGAGTGATAATTTTGGCCTTTACATAATTATGTACTAATTATATATTCACCGTTATAATATGCTGATTTATATATATAATAAAGTTTATTTATTTTACAACAATTATGAAACAAGTTATTTCAACTTATATAAATCACTCTTGTTGGTCCGGATGTTAGCGCGCGGAGGGTCTAAATGTGAGAGGAAACTGGAGTACCCGGAGAAAACTCACGTGGTCAGGTAACCCCATACCTTTTCACGTCCGATCGGGAAATCAAACCCCGGCCGCTTTGGTGAAAGGCAAGTGTGTTATCCACTGCACCACCGGACCACCCACTGCCTTACGACCTGATAGCTTTACCTGCCCTCTGAACACCTGCTTGTAGATATATTGCCAATGCTTGTAGTTGACGAACACAATTTACCTTTTGAAAATAACAAAACTCAGTGGAGCCTAGCTACTTCACATACCTGATGTCCATTTTTTCTTCTATAACTTTTCTAATAATGGCCTCTTCTTCTTCTCGTATCAACTCCTGTATTAATCATATGTTATCAGGAATAAATTACAAACATGGGTAATCATTCATCTATTCCGTCTTTGCATATTGCAGAGTTATCTTCTCTTGGGAGCAGGTATTGATTGTTACGTCATTGGTTTGGCGAGAAAATTACGTCCTTTTCTCAAACATTGATGACGTTTCTCTCACAAACAAGTGACGTAACAATCAATACCTGCTCCCAAGAGAAGATAACTCTTGCAATACGCAAGGACGGAATATAGAACAGTACAAATTGTTTGAAAATGGTGTATATCATTATTATTATCATTACATTTGCAGTATTACAGGGCAGTTGGGCGAAACATCTTGTTTGATTTTTGACAGTTGACTTTACTGATTTGGCACACTGTGGCTCAGTGTCAAGAGTTGTTTTCAGTAGTTAAGAGTCGAGACACTGGTTATTTACACTCTTTGCTTGACAAAGGAAACAAATGTTTTCGAAAGCTCGCAAAATAGGTTTTCAATTCCTGTTTGTGTTCAAAACAAACTTCCCTTATCATTATGGGTTTTCAATAAATTCAAAAAAGAATATTACTTCTGAATGGAAGTGCCATGATACTCATCAGGTATAACCCTACTAATCTTGAGGTGCTGCTCTTTTCATTTTTATTTTATAAATCATTTGACAAGCAGTTTCTTGCCTTCCACATCAGCAGCAGTGTTCACAGATTTAATTTTAAATTGACAACTCCGAAATTTGAAACCCATTAACTCAATAATTATTTTACATACCCACAACTTTACAATTCACAATGTATCTTATATTTTACATACATTGAGCAGTTAATACCTCGCAATGTTTCTTACCTTATTTCGACGATCCTTTTTCTTGTTTGTACTATTTGATAGCTTTTCTTGTTTAATAATCTCCTGAGCTCGAAATCTATATTTAGGTTCTTTACTGAGGTAGGTGATAGCAGTGTTGTAGTTATTCCAAGCAGCCCAGTACTGAAAATGACAAATAGTTCAAAAGTCATAGAAAGAGACGTAAACTGAAAACACTTCAGTATCACAAAATCTACTTGCAGTATACATGTATATAGGTAACAGTTACGAAAATTATTGGACCTGAGACACTGTCACAGCTACTTCCAAATGTATTTCACAAAATTCTTAACATTTTCTTCAGGTTGATCAGAATGGATTATGAAAAGTTCTTTGTACACAACCAGTAAGAGTTTTTATATGACGTTTCGATGACTTGTATGATATGTACACTGTCACCTTCATCAGACAAATGACCAGTGAAGCGTATGCACACAAAGGTGTAAAATGTGTACGAGTTGTCCACAAAATCGATGTTGATTCGGCTACGCTGTAAGCGTATGTACAACAGTTCTTCTATATAAACCGAAATGACTCAATTCAGCTACGCTTTGTTTGATACTTGGTCATAGATGTGCGAAAAAACGGTGGGGAAAAGTGCCATAGGACATTTAAAATGGAAATTTAAACACAAGTATTCGAGTACCAAGACATTGATGCCTGCAAAATGAACAACATGAATGTTATTGTGACTGCATGATTTCTTGCAGTGATGAAAATAATGTGACAAATCATTTTAAAACTTTTGATAATCACAGAGACAGCAAACCATGTTGTTGAATTTAGATGCCCAAAGATGGAATCTAAAATCCTTTCTCAGTGAAACATGGCTCAAACTAGTAAAAAGTCTGCCACAATGATGAAAGTTTTGTTGCCAGATCAGTCTTGATTACGATGTTTGAATCTTTAAGGCTGGCAGCTCTGTGCATTCATATAGTTCATATAGCGATGACGCCGATTGAAAGCTGTGAGCTTCTTCTTATGGCACGTTGGAATATATGTTAAAATACTTATCAAAAACACTTTTCACTTCCGGTGCGAAGGGAGAACAGGTTCAATTACAAGCTATAATAACCTGATCAGGTTTGGAAATACAGAAGAAGTATGATAAAATATTGCAGTGATCAACCAATGATTGTATTGTATTACCTGAATTATAGATATAATGGTTATTGTGACGACCACAACGATACGGGGATCAACTTTAGGAGCAAAGCGACGTCTGTAGTAGTTGTAGTAGTTGGACAGATACTCATCTGAAAAAGCAAAGAATATGTTAAACAGCGGCAAAATTGTGAACATTCAAAATGATGTATATAATATATATATATAGTACTTAAATTCAAGTCATTTAATCAGAAAAAAAAATGCATTACCTGTCCTAATATGGTGATACCTCTGTTTCTTAACTTTTATAGATAGAAAAATAAATTTGCATAAGAAACTCATTGGATTCTGCGAGCTTAAAAGACCTGCATAACAATTTACCTAGGCGAACCATCGACTATTGATAATGCTTGTATATATGTGAATTAAACTGCATGTCAGAAGGTACATGGGAATTTGATTTGAAGTTTCACTACTTTTTCGACGATTTTAGTTGTACATGTTCTAGTTTAGCTTACCAGGATGGTCCAACATGTAATCATAATCTGATCTCTGCTCTTCGTCTCGTAAAATCTACAAAATCGTTAAAAAAAATCATTATACGTGTATTTATATATAGAATGGTATAAGGTCAGAAAATGAAGAAATACAACTGTACATTAATTAAACTTGAAACATGTTTCAGTAACATGCACTTATTACATGTGTCAAGAGTTGAATTTAAACAATGAATAAGTTGGTATACCTATTGGATGATGTTTCAAGATGTTGTTGGAAAAGAGTCTATCACAAAAAGTGTGTCCATGGTATTATATCTGAGCCACAATCACGACCTGTTACAGTCAAATCAGAGCCATCTAAACAACCTTAGATTGTGTTTTATTCAAATCAACTGCACAAAATATAGCATGATAACTGAAAAGTGTTCAGAAAAATTAATTGGATATTACCAAGGTAGCTTTTTTTCTCAAGCTTGCTTAGTACAAAACTTTTTTTTTTAATATTCCAGCACTTAAATATTTTTCCAACCTTTGCACAATTTTTCCAACATATTGAAATTAAGATCAGCTGTATACTGACTTTACAATTGACCTTGAAAATGAACTAAACAATGTTATGACTTTGTGTTCTTATGAAAATTGTCAAAAAAGTTAGGATAGGCACAAACAAATAGTGTAGGTAGGGTTTACTTGTAAGATGTAAAATTGTTTGTTCCTGAACTAATTCAATTACACAGAGATAAATCTTCTCCTGGAATACGTCATAAATTGGAAGCTTTTAACATTGAGTAAATAGCGAAACATCTAAACATTCTTCTAATCTATTAAACCAGAAATGAAGATAACTTAGTATAAATTCTGCTAAATAATCTTACTAATAAGTACTTGCCTCGTATGCATTGGCTATCGTGGTAAACATTTGTTCTGCTTCTTCTTTTTTTGCCTGTCAAAATAAATCAAAAGCATATTAAACACGAATCTGCATATATACATGTAGGTCAAAAGGGGCGAGGGTTTGATCTAAAGATTGTGTTCAATTGCCCCTTGTCCTTCCATGGGCAAAGCTGGGGTTAATTTGACGTGGCTGTAATATAAGCAAACTTTTAGGCAAGGGGTCCAGCAAGTCCAGGGTGGGACCATGGTAGCTATAGGGGGATTATGGCATTGGGGGCGGGGGGCGACCCCCACCCCCCCTTCCCCGCCACTCACACACAAATGGAAAATGATTTTGAGGATTTTAAACACCATTTGATGTGAAAACAATGTAGATGAATGATAACTTCAACATCAAATGGGAAAGGTCAGCACATATTTCATAAACGAGAAATTAAAATGTTTTTCTCATTTACAGAAAGTGTCATTTATATGTATATACAGTTTCAGATTATATCTGACATGGGCTTATTAAAAAGAAAATGGACGGCTCATGAATAGATCATAATTGATGGTCCTGAAATGGGAAATAATTATTAAGCAACACATTTATACATGTATATTTATGGAATTTATATGTAGGCAATGTTGCAACAGTCAGTGAAAAGCCTATATACACTGCATATTGACAGCTATATATATATGTAAATGCCTTTATGTGTGTTTGTGATGAAATATACATAAAATTTGAAAACTACATTGGTTTTTCTTTTGTATTTGGACTGGCCGTTGGTTATTGATATAATTACTCATATCTTTGGGAATCGGTAAAAGAAAACAATCACAGCTCAAAATACTCCCATTTTAGTAAGTTCATACCTGTATGTGGTTATGACAATTTGACAAATCTACTTTAAAACTTGTATATATATATATTACTTCTTATACAGCCATTGAAAATCATTTTGTTGATTACTTACCTTCGTCTTGTGCATGTCTGGATGCCATTTGCGTGCTAACTTTCTGTAAGCTTGAGTTATATCTGCCTGTACGACACATTTTGAAAAAAACATATTATCATATTTTCTAATGTAATTACCAGGTGTATACATTATGAATTAATTCAATTGTCTTGATCATTAATTAATTCAAATTGTGCTGAAATTTATCAATTAGTCATAATTTATTCAATGCAATTATTATATTCAACATTTAACAAGATGCATGTTGACAATATTTTGACATTATGTAATTTAAAAGAATTTGTTACTTGATTTATACTACATATAGTGATAATCACTTATGAAGTGAACATATATATATATATATATACTCAAAACAGGTGACTTCTTTATTATACAATTACCTTTGTAGAATCTCTATCAACAGTTTCAAGTACTGAAATAGAGAAAGAAAAAAAATGAAATGTCATGTCCACTACATTTGATTTGTATTTGAAATCTTAATAATCACCCAGTAAACTTTTGATTAGCTTATAATATATATGATTTTGTATTGGACCCAATTAAATCATGTTCACACTACAACTTAGGTTGTTTCACCCTAAATCCAGTTCGCCCAAGGTTGTTTGTAATTTGCCCTAATACAAAAATTAATATATATTTATATATACGGTATATATATATCACTTGAAATGTTTAAAATGATTAAAGATCCATATCTTACAGTTATCATGTTTTACGCACAATTGTGCCGTTGGATATATTTCATGCAGGTGTATGGGCATCCATGATATCCAGGGGTAACGTATACGCTTCCTTGCGTTCTCTAGATCCGCACCCCCGGAATATATATGTCATAGCAAAATTGAAGGCACGTGGCTAGCTACATTTATTTGATTGGTGTCGGGTAAAAAAAAACTGACCAATCACTAGGCTGATACTTGTCCTTTAAAGATTACAGAGGAGGGATGTCCGACTTCAAAGCCAATAACCTTTACTGTTAAGCGACCGCGAGATTCTTTTGTTAACATCAAAGGATCTAGCCCGAGTTTCCTCTGGCCCTAACACCAGACACCAGACTTAGACATTTTGACATATGGATGTCTGGTGTGGGGCCAGCGCGTACTGCTATATTGAAACGTAGAATTCTCCGACATGGTCTAGTATCGGAGAGTTATGAGGTGCTTACAACAATAATCTTCCGACACATATACCTCACATATATCGATAAATGGATTATTTATTGATCCAAATCAGCTCTTATTATTACCAATAGCTGCTAAATTCCGTCAGTAGAGTCCTCGATTTTCAATCGTTTAAAATTTCTCACTTGAGCGAACACCATTTTTGTAGGTCACAGGGTGACTAATCAACAAACTGTACTGATCCCGATCGAAAATGGAATATATCATTACTGCTCAGAAGATTTCCAGACTGCGCCCTTTTGTTTATTAGTCTCTCTCCGATACCAAACGGTGTCAGAGAATTCCATGTTTACTTATATTATACAGCAGTTTGCTTGGCCCCACACCAGTCATCTATACGTCAAAATGTCTAAGTCTGGTGTTTTGGCTAGAAGAATTCGGGCTACAAAGGATCAAATAAAACTAGTCTTCTTGTCTTGTCCACAAGGCGGTTCACGCTTGGCCTTCGATTTTGCTATGACATATTCCAGGGGTGCAGAAAGCGTAAAAGATTACCAGTTCAAGTTTATTATTCAGTCTGCATACCTCTAAAATTTGATGTGATATTCATAAAAACTATGATAATACTACTACCCAGTGCTGAATATATGCTTTTTACTTGAAGTAATATATTTTTTAGTCATGCATTTTGTGATATCTGAAGGTAAGTCTTTCATCAAATACCATTCTTGGATCTCATTGCTTGTGTATAATGTAATTTTATATTTGACATGTATCTTTTACCCGAATAAACATTATTATTATTTTTAATTATTTAGCTGGAAAGGACCTGGGCGAACAGGATTTAGCACAGTTACTAGCCTCGTCTGTCAACACACCCATATAAAACCCTTTAGAAATTCTGTTTTGAAAAAGATTGGTATACGTGGACTATGCAGATGAGGACATCACGTCCCCTTTGTCTACAGTGAAATGTGCCCAGTTAAGATTATTTTTGTTAATTGGAAGTAACTAAAATATATTTACTTTCATAGCAATTTTCAAGACCACAGTATAGTCCTTCTATCATCGCGATCGTCTGAGGAATAAAACAAATAAACACTACAAAACTGCTGCTAATACCCGGTGCCATTTTGGAAAAATGTCACAACCTACAAAAAAAACGGAAAGATTTTAAACCTGATGTCAAATATTTTTAAGTATTTTTGCTGTTTTTTACACTTTAATGCTATTTTATTTATTACATATTCAGTCACTAAATTTATTTTACAAAATTAAGCGATTCAATTGCTAATTTTACTGTTATTATTTTTTCTGGATCCCTTATCATTTTCCAATTCGAAAAATATATAGAATGCGGATTAGAAAATTACCTTATTGTTAAAAGAGTTCCTAAATATTTCGAACATTCTCTGCCTTATCCGATCTTACACAAAGTACACTTTCGGAAACGCTCGGATGCTTGTTAGAACCCGATACCGCGCTTTCTACCGAATGAGGTAAATATTTGTTTGTTATCAAAGTTTTTATATGAAATGACATCCGTTATTGAAGGCAACAGAGGAAGAATAAACAAACATCTTACCATGTGATATCCAGAGCGAGGAATGAACTATAGACGCCTCGGCGCATGGTGAACACAATGCATACCAACACGTTGAACAAGAACACGCATTATTTAACAGTTACACCAACAAGAAGCAATTTACACACAAACATTCTCATCCCCGCAGAAACCAGAACACATCAATGATACGACTAAAGTTACAGACATCTATACACATCCAAAGACACATTCATTCTTTCCATACACCATAACACAGTGGAACCTCGAACAGGTCGGGGAAAACCACTAACTTGCGTATAATACGCAAACTCGCCTATTACACTGTATTATACGCCAAATGGGGCATGGATTTGTTACTAAGAATAGCCAAAATCACTTGAATCAGAACTTTTTCAAATTGTTTGTCCAAGTCGCATTTATTCAGTCATGAAACATAATACAAATGCAAAAATAAACTTTATTTGCATGTGGGAAAGTACCAAAAATAGATGCAATACTTCCGGTAAAGTTACATCAAGTTTCTAAGCAGCCAACGCTTTCAGTAAACATCTTTTAGCAAAATATTATTTACCTTGTCGTAAATTAATGTGATTTTAAATAACATCTTGCAAAAGTTACTGTTAAAAAAATTTGGGTTATTTTTAGTAACAAATCCACATCTGGCGTATAATAGGCGAGTTTGCATAATATAGGCAAGTTGCAGTTTTCCCCAACCTGTTGAACTACCCAAAACAATCATCCAATCAGAAACACTAGCAGATTTCAGGACACGCACCACATATATAACATAATCGAACTAATACAGAATCAACAACACGACTAACACACAATGTATATATACATGAACATTAAATAAAGCTTTTCAAATATATCGTGACATATTTTTATACAATTTTCAGCTTAAGAATTAAGAATTCTCATCTACACGGCATGTGGTCATTATACCTACAAATACACAATCAGTCATACTTGACAGCAAACAATCTACCTATGTACCAGTTGATTCAGGGGTCCTCAGACCATATATGAATGACGTGCCCCTTGGTCTCACCTCAGTTAGACTGTTCGCCAACAACACTATTGTATATATATACATCTGTCCCCTCCAGTGTAACATCTATTACCCTATAAGGAGACCTAAACAAACTGGCAGATTGGGAAAAAAGATTGAAAACGGAATCCATCACAAGAAATGTAGTGTCCTCTCCGGATCCATCACCAAAAATAAAACATCACACACAATTACTATCTACATGGTCACTGCCTTTCCTAGCACACACTGGCAAAGCAAAATATTTAGGCATCATAATCCAACAAGATCTGATTTATGGGATTCCCAGATAAACAACGTTACAAACAAAGCAAGTAAAACATTAGGCTTCATTTGGCACAACTTAAAAGTAAACTCCAAAAATATTAAAGAACAAGCATACAAATCTCTAGTGCGTCCATCTTTAGAAAATGCTAGTTCTGTATGGGATCCTTACCAAAAAGGTAATATATAAACAAGCTTGATAAGGTATTGGTACAGCGTATAGAGCTAAAGATTCGTCACTAACCGCTATCATAACACCTGAAACGATAGACGTAAGGACGCGTCAGACTTACTATGATGTACAAAATATCTCACAATAAAGTTGCCATCAATAAAAACCTCCACTAGTCTAGTACTTGACACCACAGTTACAACAATTAATTCAGACATTCTCATCATCTCCTATCAGATTCCTCACTGTTAAGCTGACAGTCTTAAATTCTCTTTCTTTCCTAGAACTATCCCAGAGTGGAATAAATTGCCTCCTGATCTGGTTACTTCAGGAATCTTTTGACACCTTAAAAACCAAACTTCACTCCCTAAATCATTAGTATTTCATACACACGACTACACATCCTTCTTTGTCATGCATACGCTCTCACAACCCTATATTGACATAATCTTCAATATGATGAAGTAGGTCAGTTACTTGGAGATCTATTCACGGCACGTGATAATTTTCCATAACTATCTATGTTAACATTGTAAGAGATTACTTTGATAATCACGACCACCAGTACCTGTGCATGATGATGATAAGATATTTAACACATTAGTTGGTGTTATTGGAACAATATTGATTTATTATAAAAAGTACTGAAAAAATAATGATAAGTGCCAAAGTATCCCAGTGAAAATACCAAGGTGATGACCCGAGTGTGATCATCCCCTCTAAATTTTGAAAATCTGCCTATATATTATGTAACACGTACTAAACAAGTACTAATAACATTGATCAGGTTATAATTTTTTACTTTTTTTTAATACATGGGTGTCAGTCGGACTAGTATGGCAAATTATCAAACCTATCAACACCATTTCGTGCCCAGTTTCTGTGCCCCTCTATTTATAACAAATATTATATTTACTTTGGTACCCCTCAAGGACTTCTCCAAAAACATTCTAGCGCTAGACACTCAATTATGAGCCCTGGGTTGCATCTGTTAATCAATAAATCATAGACATGTATAACATGCAATAATTTTCTGTTATTTATTAGTAAATTTATGACGACTTCTTGGTCATGATCTCTAGATCTATTTCTCTGTGGCAACAATTAGTTACTGCAAGCAAAATGACATACAGAATGAGATTCTTGACCACTTGCTATACAAGATCAATACTAAAATTGAACATTTGACATTAACTTAACGTTAATCTTTATTAATATCCCAATTTAATCATCTATTTATCTCCTTACCAAATCCAGATGAAAATTTTATTAAAAAATTAAATTCAGAAATTCTTAATTTCTTATGGAAAAGTAAAGTAGATAAAACAAAACGGGAAATAATCATCAAAAGCTATCAGGAAGGGGGTCTTAAAATGATACACATCAAGTCTTTTATTGAAGCCTTGAAACTTACTTGGATACGTAGGTTGCTTACATCAGGGGGTAAATGGCAAGTGTTATTTAAAAATATGTTAATAAGGAAATTTTATTTAACTGTGGTTCAGAATACTTATCGATTATTCAAGGCAATTGTAAAAACCTTTTTTGGAAAGATGTGTTCCAATCATGGAGAAAAATAGCTGATAAAGAAGATTGTATAAGAGAGATGAAAAGTAGATTGAAAATGCCTATTTGGTATAACAAATATTTTACAGTAGGAGCCAAGTGTTTATTTTATAAGCAATGGTTTGAAAAGGGTGTTTTAATTATAAATGACTTATTAAAAGATAATAACTCTGGTATTTTCTATAGTTTTATAGAATTTTCACAAAAATTTGATGTAAAAACTAACTTTCTCACATATCAAGGTATTATTAATACTATAAAAAACTACATGTCCAATGATGATACTTTAAATACTTTGATTAGTTATCCATACATACCCTTAAATTTAGAAATATTTATGAGGCAAAAAAAAGGAACTCAAGATTTTTATAAGTTGTTGTGCCAAAATAGTACCATATCCACTGGGAAAAACAAATGGAATGAATTGTTTGAATTTGATGATGACACATGGAAATTGATATATATGCTTCCATTTACAGTAACTAGAAATTCAAAATTACAATGGCTTCAATACAGAATAAATCAACACATTTTAACAACAAACTCTTATCTAGTTAAAGCAGCTCTTACCAATAGTGCTCTTTGTTTTCAATGTAAGACTGAAATAGAGACAATAATTCACACACTAACTATGGGAATGTGAGAAAGTACAAGACTTTTTACAAAATTTTGAATTCCTTCTTGATGCATTGTTAATCCCATTTGGTTTTAACAAGGAAACCTAAATAGTATCAATAGTAGGGTAGATAATACCATAATTTTACTTATAAAACAATATATTTATAAATAGAGGTGTTTACAAATGTCGTTGTCAGTAGCTGCACTTAAGAACCTTATCAAGGACACATATTTTACTCAGAGATATATTGCTGTTAATAAAAGTGAATTATTTTTATTGAAATTCAATACTGAATGAAAAAAATGGGAAAGTCTAATTAATATTGCTTAAACCCTGTCTTTGCCAAAATATGAACATATAACTATCGAGTTTTCTTATATAAACGTTTACTTCTAAATCCTATATGTAAAACTCCTTGAACCTTCCAACACATCTATATAGCTTCTTTATTTCTCAATCTCCACCCCACCCCCCCTCATTTTTTTTTTTTTTTCCCTCTCTCTCTTAGTCTTACTTTCCCTTCTATACCTCTAGGACCTGCTCTAACCTCTTTTCTATCACTTCTAAACAATGCTTTTATATAACGGACACAATTTAGCTGGAATTTAATTATGCATAAACATGATTAATTATTAATCATACCTGGAAATATGCAGTTTATTATAAATGAATATTAATGAATGAATTGTAATGTGTGAGAGGAATAATGTTTATGTATGATATATGTGCATTGTTATAAATTTGGAAAAAAAATTAAAAAAATACACACAAAAAAAAGATATATATACTACAATTACAGTAATAAAGATATATATGCAATAATATAATTGTGTACTGTAAACACTAAAACAGATGGGCACAGAAACTGGTCATGTCATGATGACCTTGTTCAACGATAATGACAGGATTTTATAAGTTTTCAACGTATAGCAAAAGAAATGATAATAACTGATTTTCAGGTAAAATATATAGAGGACTAAATGTTGGTGGTAAACTATAATGTAAAGCACATTGCTGTTTGACTTTGCTCCAGTTTGTCTATTCAGCAGATTTTACCTTGGTAAACAATAGGACTGGGTTAAGTTTACATATACAAACAACAGAAGGGAGAAACACTAAGATCAATACAAAATGCAGAACAGGACCACATTGAACAGACACTAAAATCGCATGCTGGCATAGATGATAAAGACACAAAGCTATTTTGGTGCTATATTAAATCCAAACGAAGAGAAAACACTGAGATCTCACCAATTAACTCATTCACTCCTGAAATTTCATAATGAACTGTTCCAACCATTGAATTGGAGGAGTTCAAATTAAATGTGTCTTCAGGGATGAATGAGTTCAGGAAGGAACTAAACTATACCCCTCACAGAGGCGGATCCTAGGAGGGTGTCACAGGTGCACATGTGTAGTCTTGTGTATGATCAACATTAGAAAATGTTAATGCTTGCTATACGCTTAACCAAATTACAGGTGATTTAATCTTTTGGACCCCTTCCCATTGAAATTTAAAGAATACATGAACTTGAGCAAGACTTCTACCTAAAATGTGTTCAGATCTCTCAATGTGCAAGATTACTTGAATGCAAGATTGATGCAATTGGCTGTGAATTAAAATACTGAAGTTGGAGTTGCTTTATAATTGCAGGCGAACAAAGATGACCATTACTACAAAGAGGTGCCCCATATACTGTCCCAAAACATGTTCCAAGCAGCACCATCCACTGCTGATTGCTCTCATTAACACTAATACATCAGAGGAAGGTAACACATCCTTCACCGCTCTTGAAGCCACAATTTCTCGTTATATCACGGTGAGTAAATTACAACAATTGTGCTATGATTTTTAGTACTTCATGCAGGTTAACTAATGATGAATGTAATATATCTTTATTACATACAAAAATGTACTCTAACGACCACCTGTATAAAGAGACCACTTACGGTAACATGTTTCCTATATTGCAGTGATTTTATTGTGAACTGAACCTGCAATGCATTATCTCATCATTCACCCCTGAAGACACATTTGAACCCGTCCAATTCTAAGGATGGAATAGTTAATTACGAAATTTCAGGGGTGAATTAATTAATTAAGAGGCAACCTGCATTAAGAAACCACTTTTTGGGCTTCCCAAGTGTAATCTCTAATAACTTTGACCTCTTTGATTGTATATATATGTATATATAAAAAATAAAACAAAAGACAGATAGCGTCTCTAGGCCTTTCTCGGGTTGATTCCCTGTTTATCATGATCAGGAGACTGTTTATTTTGAAAACAGGCATTGGGAGGTCGAAATTGTTTACACAAGAAAGTATGACGTCATCAATAATGCAAAGTCATTATGACGTCACACATATTAAACCATACAATATATATATACATAGTTCACAGTCAGTTATTGTTATTACGTGTAACAGCTCATCAACACAGAAAAGGGCCAATATAGTCGATAAAAACGTCATGGCCAATATAGTCGATAAAAACATGATAAAGGAAACAAAGCAAACAATCGAAAAAGTAAAAGAAAAATCTTTCGAGAAATTTGAAAAGTGGCTATAGGTTCTTTATATCTTTTTGAATACTTTACATACATGTAAGACCAACCCTTTTATCTATATGTTCATGTGACATCACATTTCCTTTTCAAGGTCGGTAAATGGTCGATATGTGACGACATTGATGATCCTGACCCAGACTACAAGTACCCTCTGCTTCACTGGGCAGCTTGTTTAGGTAAGTTAAGAGTGATTTATATACTGTAAAAAAAATTAGTTAAAATCTTAATTAAAGTTTCAATATTTTTGAACATTTTCTTCTGGTTGGTTAACTTGTATATTTAGTAGAAAGGTTATGTACGTGTATCACTGCCAGTAAGTTTTTATGTGTGACATACGTTTCAGTGACTAGTACAATACGTATCCTGTCACCTTCATTAGGCAAATTAAATGACCAGTGAAGTGTTTGTACACAAGAGGTGTTTATAGGAGGCATGGAAGTCTAGTGGTAGGACACTGGGCTCGTGACCGAAGGATTGCAGGTTCGAGTCACGGCACAGCACTGTGTTGTATCTTTCAGCAAGATACTTTACTCCGCTTGTTCCAGTCTACTCAGCTGTAAATGGTTACGAGGTTGGGCAGTGCTAGAATTGTAGAATGCAAGCTGTGCTGCACCGGCTGCATGCTCCCCAGGAAGTTGAGAAAGATACTGCCTGGTTGCAAAGGCCCTATAACCACAGATAATAATTTGTGAACCGCTTTGAGACGACCTACGCACTAGGTTGTGATAAAGCGGTATATAAGAACCTCAAATTATTATTATTATTAAATGTGTACATATTGCATGCAAATTGGCAATATGTAATCGATGGCAATATATCATCAAAGTCCTTTGTGTACATACGCTTCATTGGTCATTTGTCTAATAAAAGTGACAAGGTACATACAATGTATCGTGCTAGTCACCGTAATGTCAAACATAGACATTTACTTGTTGTGTTTCATAACGTTATAACTATCAATTAGTTCAAACATCTATAGTAAAAATCAACTTTAAAGAGTGTTGAAAGGTTTATATAACATAAAAACTGCAAATATTCTTACTCATGTATATATGTTGGTATGTCAAACTTGAAATACATCTTCACAGGAAAAGTTGCAGTGGTGAAATGGCTGGTCCAACGAAACAAAGTGTGTGTTTTTGCCAGACATATAAGCACCTACGACACAGCATTACATACAGCGATCTATAGTCTGCAAAAAACCTGCCAAAGGGCTGAAGCTGGTCAGGTGTTTTCGAAGCTTGTCCCAATACTGTCTGGTTCTTTGGCCTGCCGTAACTCCCTCGGAGACACTCCACTTCACCTTGTCTGTCGCAGCCTTCTCTTTGAAGAATCGAGGGCCGAATATTTCTCTGATTGTATCTCTCATATTCTCAAGTTTGCAGATACAAGAGGTGCTGGTAGGTGTACTTACTGTCATTAAACATGTTTTTTTTGCTAGATTTCCTGACCATTTTCATTCTATCACCGTCCATGCATGGTGTAATCATGTCATTTTTAAGATGCACTGGTTCAACAAATTTACGTTTGAATTGAAGATCATGTTAAAGTTTTATAACACTTTAACATGATCTTCAATTCAAACGTAAATTTGTTGAACCAGTGTATTATTCGAATACCCCCTGTCCTTGGAATAGTTTGTTTGGCCCTGACTGTATTCTTCTTGTAAATCTCTTTGTAAATTAACCTCGGCATTGCTTAAATATATACCCTGTGCTCCTCGAACTTTGATTTATCCTCAACCAGTCATAACCCTAGTATTTAACCTATCCATTTGTCGAACAGGTAGTCGCACACAGTTTCCTGCCACCGTTCCCGATAATAAATTATAATTATGATCTTAGATTCCTGCCACAACTTTCAATAATAGTTAAATAATGTGTCTGTGTTTTCTACTCGATAAAGGGGGATTGTTTACAGGGTTTCAAATCATAAATTACATTTGTTATATGTACAGGGTTTCCTGCTGCAATTTTTTATTATAAATAATTTATAACTCCAACAACCCAGGTAGAGTATAAAATGGTCTAGAGTGGATGTTGCGGTATCTGTGCTGTAGCATTTAAGTGAGGTGGCACTTTAAATGATACTGTTGGATGCAAGGTCCCACTACAAACAGAACACAATACATCTTCAGCACAGACGCAGGCCAGGCATACACACATAGGGAGATATTAGCCAGGTGGCATAGGACTAGTAGTTAGTGCCTGATAAGGCATCTCCTGCGAATTACTCAAAATTGTATTGATTAATGTATATGCTAATGGTATTGATTGTATAAATTGTATATCTATGTACTAGCACTTTTTGTGTCGCCTGTGAAAAGCGGTGTCGGTGTCGGCGGCGTCAAACGCACATAGGTTTTCGTGCGATAACTTAGGTTTCCTTGGGTCGATCAAACTCAAACTTCATGCAGTGCATCCTTACCAAAAGTGCTTGCTTGGGATTGCTTTTCAGGTCCGAAGGTCAAAGGTCAAGGTCACTATTACTATAAATAGAAAATCTGTTTTCGTGCGATAACTTCAGCTTCCTTGGGGCGATCAAACTCAAACTTCATGCAGTGCTAAGCACAATCTCCCAGCTTCCTGCGCAGGCAACACATCCACTTCTGTGGAATTCTTGTTAGCTAGATAGGATGCTATATCAAATGTTGTATTTTACAATTATTATTTTACGTACATGGTTTCCAGTGATAATTTATATTATATGTACATGGTTTCCTTCTACCACTGTTGATAATATATTAAAAATACATGTACATGGTTTCCAGCTGCAGTTTCAAAAGGATATTATATGTACAGGGTTTCCAGTAATGAATTACATTATATCTACAGGACTTTGTGCTACCATCGTAAATGCCCAGAACAATGTAGGCGATACACCTGTCCACATCATGGCCGAGAATGATCGTACCTTAAATATTGTTAAGATGATGGTGGACCTTGGTAAGGTGGACTTCAATCTTACCAATAGTAAGGTAGGTATTTACCCATTGACTCAAATGCAGGGGTGCAAGTTTAGGTATTTAAACTACACTGAACTGAATTTCATCTTCAACTGATGGTTACCTCCCCCAAATGTGTATGAATTGTTGAATTTTTTTTGCAAGAACTTTCTGTCAATAATAGAGATGGCTTCAAGATGGCTGCGAGAGAAAAATGGCTGAACGTAAAAATAAACAACTGCAGTCTCTGAGATTCAATTACAGTAGAAGTATAGCAATTTTGTTAAGTGTAATTTTCCAAAGAATTTTGATTGCATTTTCCTTTAATTTTTTTCAGAATCAGAATGCTCTGCAAGTTGCTATTGCTCTGGGCCAGATGAAGACAGCAAAATATCTACATCAGCTGATTGAAAGTGCCCCCAAAAAGCGAAATGGCTCAATTACGTATGTTTCAATTATTCCAAAATATCCATCAGCTGAACATACGTCTGTGAATGACAGTGACAATAATGATTGCTCTCCAGATTCAACGAAAAAAAACAGGGGGCAAAGAAAAGCAAAGAAAATCGTTAGCACCTCAGCAATAGCCTGCAAAGTGACCAGTACAGAAGACAGTGCGGAGGAATCACCTGAAAATAACTCTGATCTGTGCTTGAATAGTGCTTCAACGACAAGTGAGATTGAAGAAGAAGCTGTTGATGGTACTTCTCTGGCTTCAAATCCGACAACAGACTCTCCATCATCAACTTCACTTTCTTCAACTGTTGAACAATCCTCCATTCCCACAGAAAATCCCTCCAACAATTTGGGCAAAAGGTTAAATTCAGCGATGCCAGCCAAGTCACAAACCACTAAACTAACCGGAAAAGTTTTACCTAATGTGTGTTCCTCTGCTCCTTTAGCGTCATCATCTTCGTCCTCATCTGAGGCCTCCACTTCCGCCTCCACTTCCGCCTCTGCTGTTCCCCCCAAGGAACCTGCTGTTGCTCCTGTCACTAATCCCTCATCAGACCCCGTTACTGCAACCTCTTCATCTTACTCCCTGCTGTCCGATAAAAACTGCGGCCCTTCACCAGCAAAAAGGAAGAAAATGAGAGTACTTGTAGTAAAAAAAGGTCCATTTCCAACCAGTCAGATGATATTTACCGACCAAGTACAATTCACACCCAAAGTTCCCAAGGTGACTAGTTCCAGAAGCCTGCTTAGAAGTGAGAGGATTCCTAATAAACCCATTCAGGAGGATGTTGAGGACACTGCCGAATGTGAGCAGCTCAGCAACATCAAGGTACTTTTGTTTTTATAATTTATCGTAATCTGTTACAATTACTTCAACACATTTCTAGCTCACCTGGGCAAAAAGAACTTGTGCTGTGTGGAGCAGTGTCCGACATCAACCTCTTTCTTTAGGCTTAGAATGATGGTATTTTGACAATAGCAAGCTTGCTTGGATGAAGGGCGGCTAAGTTTGTTCAATTGAATTACCTTGACCCCCTTCGAGGTCACTGGGGTCCAATATGTTAAAATATTTAATCAACTTCTTCTGAATAAGCAAAAAAGCCCAGAAATTATTTCTAAAAGCTAAATATTATTTGTAATCATATTCTATTTATTGCAGGTAGAAATGGATATTGCCCAAGATGATGAAATGTGTCCAGATAGCAACACAAGCAGGTCTGTTCCCGAATTTATATTAGATACACATATGTAATGCCTAATGGCCAGGTGAGCCGTAAGGCCTGTTGTATAATTAACAGCTTGTGTGGCGAATGACATGTGAACACTTTTTTAGTCCCCCACTGGTTTATTTGACCTTTACTTTTGAAAATGTTTGTCCAGGGCATATCTTCTATACTATTACACTTCGAGTAACCAGATTTGGTGTACAAGGACATATTGGGATGGCAGAGTGTAAGAATTAGGTCACTGTGACCTATATGACTTGACCTTTGACCTTTACTTTTGAAAATGTTTGTCCAGGGCATATCTTCTATACTATTACACTTCGAGTAACCAGATTTGGTGTACAAGGACATATTGGGATGGCGGAGTGCAGAGTGCTTTAATTAGTACACTGTGACCTATGACTTAACCTTTGACCTTTACTTTTGAAAATGGTTGTCAGGGGCATATCTTCTTGACTATTTCACCTGGAGTAACCAAATTTGGTGAACAAGGACATGTTAAGATAGCAAGTGCAAGAAGAACATGACTATGATCATGACCTCCCTTTGACCTATGCTTTGAACAGTAGGTACATCCTGACATAAGTGTACTGTTTGTTAAATATAGAAATTATTACTGGTTGGGGACTACAGATTGCCTTGCAATACTTTGTCTTTTTTTTTAATGTTAACCCTTTCACCCCTAGGCCTGTGTTATTTAAGTAGACTCTACCATGCATTGATGTTGATGAGTCCATTATGGTTTTCAGGGTGAAATGGTTAATACTGAACTTAACCTCAATATACCTACTTAAGTACTCGAGTCTGAGGGATATTTTCTTGCATGTAAAAACTTGTCAGTTGACATGAATTTATATCATTAAATAATTGAATGTTGTATTCCAATCTATTGATTGTTTTCAATTTGTTTTTCAAAAATTCCAGATTAGAACAAACATATCTTTAGGTGTAATATTATTTTAACATTGAACAGCTGTTTATATTACCAGGACAGCATTTTACAATGAGTGATGATGTCATATACTTCTTTGCCATTCCTTGTATTAGGATTCCATTCTTACTAGACATAGGGAGGCACGGTAGTGTAGTGGTAGGAGGCACNTCAATTTGTTTTTCAAAAATTCCAGATTAGAACAAACATATCTTTAGGTGTAATATTATTTTAACATTGAACAGCTGTTTATATTACCAGGACAGCATTTTACAATGAGTGATGATGTCATATACTTCTTTGCCATTCCTTGTATTAGGATTCCATTCTTACTAGACATAGGGAGGCACAGTAGTGTAGTGGTAGGAGGCACTGCTCGTGACCGAAGGGTTGCGGGTTCGAGTCACGGCACGGCACTGTGTTATATCTTTGAGCAAGATGCTTTACTCTGCTTGTTCCAGTCTACTCAGCTGTAAATGAGTGCGTGGTTGGGCAGTGCTAGAATTGTAGAATGCTAGCTGTGAGCGCCGAAATGGCAGCACCAGCTCTATGCTCCCCAGGGAGTTGAGAAAGATATTGGCTGGTTGCAAAGGCCCTATAACCACGGATAATAATTTGTGAACCGCTTTGAGACGACCTATGCACTAGTTTGTGATAAAGTGGTATATAAGAACCTCAAATTATTATTATCATTATTATTATTTTTGGGTCTGCACAGTCAGATGTTTTAAAAATTATCAAAAAATTATCAAAATAGCACAGACTATAATTATAAAGACTGAATCTGGTACTGTTGAGATTTATGAAGTCTAAACCCCAACGGGTCTTGGAACATTACTGATGCCATTGCTTAATTGTGTGCAATGGAAAAGGATAATTCTAAGTTGTCTTAGCTTGGGTTTAATTCCCAAATTGAATTTTTCAAATAAATATGTTAAAACTAAACTAATTTGATATATCTGATGATCCATTGAGGTTCATGCGCCATACAAATCAACAGAACATTGTTCAGTCTTGGTTTTGCAGTACGTACTTCAATAACCTAATTGTGCCTGATATCTTCATGAATACTTTCTGTCAATTAGACAATATAAGATAATTTAACGGTCCTGTTACCTCAAAATGTTTGCTTAAATAGGGTATTGAAACAACTTTAACTTGAAATTTTATTTTTTTTTATTTTTTTTTATAATCGTACGATTTTCTTCTCCAGCAGTCCAGATGTCATGATAACCAGAATTACATCCCTCCCTGGTCACCAGAGTGGTACTGCCAACAGAAATAGCAAAGGTAATACTAATAAGGTCTGTTAACTGTGACTGAGCTATATCGGATTATCTCAGTCGAGGGCTAAGATTCTGTAACATAATCCCAACCGAGGCATAAGCCGATGTTGGGATGTTACAGAATCTTAGCTCAGTGACAGGTAATTGATTTTTTTCTTGCACCGTTTATTTCGAAAAACTACCCAATTTTCACTATAATCTACAATTATCCTATCAGGGGTCTGAAATAAATATGACCTATTCACTTATAAAGCTTTATTGAATCCTTCCACGTGTAAACAATGTAGTCCATCCTTACAAGCAAGAAAACATATTTCACAGTGTAGATTTCTATTTCATTTACAACATTAGGTATCAAAGAAACATCAAAACGATAATTTCTATAAAGCAGTTAAAAGATATTACAGTATCTGGTATCCCTCACATACATAGTGCCTAAGGTATATATATAAATATAATATATGGGTCAAAGAAGTAATATAGACGGTAAAATCCCATATAACACTGGATCCTAATGGAGGTATGTCTGAGGATTCGAATTACTTAAAAAAGTATATGGGGCAAAGAAGTAATTCCAACAGTGTGGACAAGTTATACTGATATACTATAATTGAAAATATATCTATATTTTCAATTATAGTATATCAGTTCTATCTCCTTGTAATATGATGTATATGTACATGTAACTGTTCTGTTTCACTGTGTCTTGATAAAGGAACGGATCGCTTCGAAACTTTGACAACCTAAACTTGTCCACACTGTTGGAATTACTTCTTTGCCCCATATAAATATAATATCTATATATATGGTGTTTGTGGTTTTTGTAGCCGGGCCTGGGAAAGCACTGATAGATTACCTAAGCATGTATGGTGACAGCCATCGCTCAGCAATCCTTGCAAATCTCAACAATGACCGGGATGACTACCAAAAGCAGAAAGGACAGCTCCACACACAGATTAAAGGTCAGTGGTAAATGGCTTCAAAGTGGCTGTCTACAATTGTGAGTTAAAGATTGTAAAAAATTTTCTCAAAAATAAAATAAAGAAAACTACAAGATTTTCAGAGACGCATACATGTGAACAAGAAACATTAACAATTGTTAGCGTTTAATGCGACAAAGAATTGAGGGGGTCTTTCTCAATATACATAAGAAATTTCCCCCCTGGGTGGTTTTGCATTTTTCAATTTTGGAAGAGATTGCCAAAAAATACCACCCCGAAATTGCATCAGATGCCAGGGTGCCATTTCACATTTTGACACTTTTGATTAAAACAGTAAGTGTACATTAGCACAGTATTAAATCTACCCTAAGTATTGTTGCTGGAACTGGAGTGCATATATGGAGTTACAATTTGTGCTGTTAATAAAATTTTGCAAAAGATTCCGTAGATTTATACAATCTTTCCCCGCCTTCGGAGTAAAACAAAAGAATGTCAACCCAATGGGTTAGATTCTTAAAAGTCTAACCCTAGGCTTTGCCGAGGGCCAGACATTTAAGAATCTTATCCCAAGGGTTGAGATTATTCTGCCTTACTCCTAAAGTGGGGAATGATAATTTTTCTCCCACATAAAATACAAGTGGTTATTGCATGAAATGCAAATGTTGATTACATAATTTTGAGTAAATCTGAGTTATCTCCCATGATCTGCTATTGTCGCAGTGACAAGGAATTGTTGTGCTGATGTCATTGAATTTTTATGACCGGTGGATAAATATCTTTTTTACCCTTTGGGAAACAGTCATAGATTTGCAAGATTAAAATGGCCGATATTTTGGCATCGTTGACATCCAAGAGATAATCACATCTTGGCTATCAGCTAAAATTGAACAGAATAGCATAAACATTTTTTTTCTACTGGTTAGTAAGTAAGGATTTTTTACAGGTTTATTTAACACAACCTGTTTCAGAAAACGTTTTAGGAAACAAAGCTGTATATACAGCCACACCCAAATGTGCGTTTATCACTTGTATGATCTTGTCACTTTTCTTTTGGTTCCAGGCATTGAAAAGGAAATCCAGGATGGTGAGTCGGAGATGGAGGAGAAGAACAATCGTCTTAAGGACATCCTCTTGGAGGTTGAACAGTTACAAACGCGCGTGTTCAATTTGGCCAAGCAGTCGATTGGTCAGAAAGAAACTCTGAGTACACTGAAGTCGAGTGTTGGTGAAGTTAATACGAAGCTTGGCTGTTGTGAGAAGGCCATAATGGATATGTCCTGATCACAGGCTCCAGTTCTGGACCTAGAGACTGGTTCATAACGCAAGGTGGGGAGCATTGTGTGGGGATGTTCATAGACCAAACAACAGACCCCTGTGCTGTTTTGTATTGATTTAGACGACAGTTTAAGGGACAATGTCAGGAAAGAGTCTATATATAGATTTCAGGGTTTACCTTCTCTTATGGATTCTTTGCACCCCTGGAAAATGCCATGATGATTGAAGGCTCTGTGTGTGCCACCTTGTTGAACGATACAAGTTGACAAGTTTGATCCTTTGATGTTCTTCAAAGAAGAGTGCGACAGCATAAATGTGTAATTGATTGGCTTTAAAGTCAGGTGTTTCTCCTCGTAATTTTCAAAAGAATTGTACCAGCCTAGCACGTGATTAATGGTCAGTTTTCTTTTTTTACTTAAAAGCAATCATAAAGTGTGTCTTTAAATTCATCATGACATATTCGAGGGCAACAGAGAATGTGAGTGAGCATATTTAGTCTGCAAATACATCTCTGCACAGGGGTCTGTCTCTTAAACTTCCTCAGGAGAACAACTTTGAAACTGGATTCCTGAAAAAGAAAAACTGACCAGCTGGTTCAATATTACTAGTCATTTTTCAATACAGTATTGCATCCTCCATTTCTTTTTTTCACTTGTACTGTATGAAGTGAAATAGTGACATTCATTCTCAATTACAAGTAAACTTCAGACTGCATTTATATTGACATTGAAATGAGTTTCCCAATGAAGAGGGATAAGAAATAAAGGGTCCAATCAAGTTACCGATGATTCTACAACTCTAGTGCAAACGTTACCTTGTTATCAAAATTAGTGACTTCTGCTTACTAAACACATACCCTAAAATCTTAATAATACCCATTTTTGTAAGAAATCCAAGGCTTATTTTCAAAGCAAGTCGATTTTCAAGGCAGTCTTATTTTTGAAATCATTTAGACAGTAAGCAATCAATGGCTTATTTTCCAGTCCTTATTTTGAGCGTGAAAAATATAATGTTTTATGGAATTTTTTCAATGGAATTAAATCAAATTTTTTTCTCTTATCAATTTGTTGTAATAATAAGTCATAAGATTGGATGTTTACCTGTAAAACTGGTTTAGGCAGACAGGGGAAATGTGTCTCCTACCTGAATTTAACGCATGTTTTCAAAGACAGATTTTTTATTGAGTTACATTTAACTCTAAGGAATCCAAGGCTTGCTTTCAAAGCTGGCCTATTTCCAAATCAGGCTTATTGCTGAACATTTCGGGTATCTTCTCTGCATTTGTGGAACATGTCATGACTATAATTGAAGGCCTGCAGTACGCTGATTGATAGGCTTCAAGTATTAAAAACCTGACCAGTTGCTAAGCTGATACCTATCCTTTGAAGATCAAAACCTGTAGATTTTACAGTTACATTGCGGTGTGATTCCTTTGATCTTCATCACAGACATTGGGCTAATCTATTTCGACATTATTTGTGGAATGTTGCATAAAGAGACATAGATTTGTTCATAGCATATTTCAGGGGTGCAGAGATGATAATTGTATCCAAAGGGGGGAACCAATATATTTCGAGGATGAAATAACCCAAGATGTGTCTAATTCATTGGGATGTACATTGTTTGTATATTCAGATAATGTCTCATATGTATATATGTTTTTTTAAACCTATATTCCGTATGCTTCATCAATAAATAGCATGAAATAAAATTAAATGTTGGTTAATTGATAGCTAGGAAAATTGAGTTTTAACTTTGAAGCCTTTTGAAGTCTGCTAAAAAAAATCATAATGTATGTTTCTTTGTTAGAATGAAATATTCTTGTACAAAAGCATTATGTGTATATTTTGATATGTATACATTTTTAGGTTCGATAGACAGGTAGTCGTTTTTATTTTGTGATAACCAAAAAAAAAGACTGAAATGTTGTAAAATATTTTTAAAAACTTTTAATCATTATGAAATCTTTTAAATGATATAGAAAATCCTCCCTTAGGAACTTTCATATCCTTAAAATATGAATATCCATAGATATATACTGTCACTGTATTTTATTACATCACTGGTGAATCTTTCTATGGCAATACAGCCGGTTTTCAGCCCATGCTAAACATGGCTCTGTATTTCACACTGTGATAATACAAGAAATGTTACAGCCTTTTTGACTCAAACTCGCTTGTTATCCATTGATCAAATAAAAAAAGGTTTTTAAGAGGAATGAGTTCCAAACATTTTAGCGCCATTTTACACTGTGGTAATGTAAAGTAATTATTCCATTCTTGTCTTTTAGTACACCATTGTTGCTTTGTGCAGGTTTTTATTAAGCAAATTAAACTTTAACGTAGGGTAATGATAACCAATTTTTTGCAGAAAATATCTAATGCATTTAAAGAGGTAATGTGAGTTTGTAATAAAAATCATACCAGACATGTGTTCATAACGTCTCTGATTGCACGTCATAAAATTGTGTGCATCCGATGTCGTAGATTGTACGATTTGAAGTATATTATGTAGTACCTGTGTATGTGAATATATTTGACGAAAGCTTAAATGAGATTGTCCTATGATCAATGTAAATAATTTGTTTACATTGTTATTAATTGTTTACACTGTAATATAATCGCATACAGAGTATTAAATTCATTTTTTATAAAATTACCATGTAGTTAACTTGTATACAATGTAATTTACTTGTTTAAAATGAAGTTAACTTCTTTACAATGTAAATAACTTGTACAACATTGTACGATGGAAGTGAATGCTATATATAGGTATAATTTACAAGCATGAACAGAGGCTTCTTATGCGGCTTAATACAATTGTATGTAACATTATTTTTGCCGCCCTCAATTTGCCAACAAGTTATCTTTAAGCTTGAATTTATTATTAAATTAAAAGTGCAAAAAAGCAAGTAAAATTAGATAAAAAGTAAAGTCCTTACTTTAGATTTGATACCTTTGAGAAATAGGAGTCTGATGTTAACTTGTTTGGTCAATATATGCTTACTGTAAAAGCATAATATTTCGTTGGGGATTGAATTTTGTTTATTTTGTGGTTTTATGAAAAAAACTGTGAAATATATTCCCAAAAAATTCACCTGGAGTGGACAGGTGATCGCCTCGGGCGATGTACAGTTAGCCGGACCTATTGTCTTATAGTCCAGGTGTCAAACAAAAAAATATGCAGGGTTTTAAAATATTGAATCCACGAAATATCATCCAAACAAATTTGTCCCAAAACAAAAACAACAAAATTATAAGAGATAATAAATTAAATGTTAAATAATTTAAATAATGAGAAACTAAACCCAAGATCCGACCGGGAAATAAGTTAAATTTGCTGTGCTTGTTACACACTTTGAATTCTCTTTATTTTATGTGTTTTCAAAATTAATGTTTTATTCAGTCTTGTGTACATATACCATGTAATTGATTAGTTTGTTGTATTATAAACTAAATGATATGATGAATGAATATAAATGTTATAATCCATTTAACACCTTCTGATAGGATTATTTGAAGCACATGATGCCAAATACAGCATTATCAGTGGTATAACTGCCAATAGTACAACTTCTGTACACACATCAACTTCATTTATGAATACATGTGTCACTAGATAATTTTTTCTCATTTCCCGGACCATCATTCCTTAGTTGACCAGTTTCCTATTTAGTAAGCCTACGTCATATCTAATGGGGGACCGTTGACACTTTCCGTAAACGAACATTTGGAAAATACTTTGTGATTTTCTCATTTACGGAAAGTGTTAACGGCGCTCGATTGATGTTTCAAGTTATCATCTATGTCATTCTGACACCTATTAGTATNGGGGGGGATGTAGTGTTGCCCTCTGAGCCCCCTACCATGGCTCTGCCCCAGACCAGAGGCCTAGGCAGCCCCCAGACCCTTTGCCTGTATGTTTGCCTACACATAAGATTAACCCCAGATATGCCCTTTATTTTATCGTGTTCATATGTTGACCGTTGGCCAGAGTTTCCTCTGGCCCCGACACCTTATTTCCCTCACAGTTTTAATCATAATTTTAATTTGATTGATAAATATTTGTGTTGTTTTTGAACTTTTCTGATTTTAGATCATGATTTTAATTCTCTGTTAATTTGATTCGATTCAGAAGCGAACGTTTTTTTAATTGATTCTTTTCTAATTTCTTCGCTATAGAGTCCATGTAAATATGTTTCTGTTTTTACTTGTGGAAAGGATAGCTATAATGCTAAACAAGGTTATCACCAGAGTATGAAGGATCGAGCAACAACATCTAGATTCCTTAGTTTATTTACTGTATCCAAGTCAGGGCAGCCATCTTTGTCAAAAAGAAATATTATATATTATGTTTCAGGTAACATGTCTGATGGGCTTGGGAAAAACTAGTGAACTATTTCATAGTGGGAAATACATGTCACTTTCCTAGATACATGTAACAAATTGCAAATATGGCTGACAGAGTACACAACTGGAAATAAGAAGTGGGCTGTTTACTGTATCTTACTTGTTACCATATCACTCTCAAATTTGTAGCTCACCAAATTTCTAAACTTGGACAGAATAATGGGTAAGTGAATGTACGTGTTTTCAAACACACGGAGCAAATAATTTTCTTGTCAGAATGAAACTGTGTGAAAAAGTCGTAACATTTTCAGGGCTTTAGTCAATAATGAATGATCCTGTACGAATGCAGAGGTTTGGTGAGTTACAAGTTTGAGAGGGATGCAGAGTAATTAAAAGTAAATGGATTTCTTACCTCAAATTGGGTGTGCTTTCTGCCAATTTTGTCCTTCATTGTACCAAGAAAGAGATGAAGATTCCTCACCCTTAAATTTGGAGGGCTAAGACATAAAATACTGCTCTGTCGTTAGATCTTTACAACTATCTACATCACGGGATAACAGTGAGAGGCTAGGGATACTTTAAGTGATATTGTATATGATGGACAAAGTTTTGTATTAAAAGTGTATAATAAAAAAAGACTGTTATATTGTTAAAATATTAAACTGTTCGTTGTTTTTTTGTCAGTCTTCAGACAATCCGTTATATTGTTAAAATATTAAACTGTTCGTTGTTTTTTTTGTCAGTCTTCAGACAATCCGTTCACATAGATTTCCCGTGTTGTTGAAGGGCTCAGATGCATTCACCTGTGTGTATGTGTGTTACGTTCTTTGGTATCTTTCAAAATGCCAAGTGGTAGACTTTGCCGGCGAATTATTCAATCTCCGAGGTTTTACCTGTAACCGTGACGTCCACAGTGATCTCTTTTGAGTCGTGTTCGTGATATACAAACGTTACGAATGATTTAATTCGAAAATAATCATTTCACCTCTAAATTGTGAAATGAGTACATTTATGGGTTTTATGCACCTGCTATACCCCCCCGTACAGTTATTTAAACAATGTTGATTTCCCACTTTTGTGACCCTAGCATCACCGATCGGAATAAATAGTCAAATTGCTGTTATTTGCAGACTTGAAAAATCATAAAATGGTTGCCCAATTCGATCATGCAGAGGAATTCAGCAGGATAATTCTTGTACCAAACCTGCACTCGTGGGAACAAAAGGTTGTAAAGGGAAGTATCGTGCCAAAATAATCAATCAAAACGTAAATGCGTACCAATTGATACACAGTGCAAGAACGTAGTATGCAAATTCAAAAATAAGAATATGTTGCAATCGGTGCAATACAAGATACTTAAACGTTGTCGATCGAACACCTTAACGAAGTACACGTTATTCATCTTAATAGTGGGCGCTTAGAAATAAAAAAAATAAGTATAGGTTTCCTTATGGTATGGTCACCTTCCTTCCATCCTCGATACTCCAGGGTGACCTTTCTTCAGGTCGCGGCGATCACTGGCTTTCACATCCAGGGGTTACGCTCACTTTCGCTCTCTGCACCCCTGGAATATGGCATAGCAAAACTGGATGCTCGGTGTGGGCCACCTTGTTCATGAGACAAGAAGGCTAGTTTGATCCTTTGATATACATCAAAATAATCTCGCGGTTCACGTAACGGTAAAATTGACAGGCTTTGAAGCCGGGCGTCTCTCCTTTGTAATCTTCAAAAGACAGATATCAGCCTAGCGATTTGTCAGGTGTTTTTTTTTACCCGAGACCAATCAAACGGCTATCTTCGTGCCTTCAACTTTACTATGACATATTCCAGGGGTGCAGAAAGCGAAAGTGGGCGTAACCCCTGGATATCGAGGACGGGGCTTTCACAGCGATCGCGATGTGTGGTCTTCATAAGTAATACCACGGAATTAGATCTAAGTCCGTGGTAATACTATGTTTCTTGGTCAATGGTACCAACTTTTCAAGGATCCCCGCACCCCAATCAAAAACTGTAAGTATACACTGGAAACCGATTTTCCGGCAAGGCTTCAGCTTTAATGCATCAATTATAAAAAAGAAAACCATACCTTGCGAGACTTTTATGAAAAGAATATTCAGCAATAGTCTCTGATTGTAAAATTTCAGACTTGGAACCCTACATTTCAGACTGTTACACTATCGTTCCAACAGACTGAGCGTCCGTGCCAACGGGAATGTCTGTTTTCATGTGGCATAAACTACGTATTCCGCAATTCATAAATTCATAGGCCTATATCTCTCGCTGCTTTATATCTCATATTTCAATCCATATGGAGAAAAAAAACAATGTCATATACAATACATATACCAGAATTCTTGCAATGTTGATATAGAGGTTCCCAACGAGTGTTGGTTGTTTGGTTATCATGGTTATCTAACTCGAGTTAACTCATTCTTAAATTGTATAAGCACACGAGGTTTTCCGGGTGTCATTTACAATTTGGAAATTGAATAACGCGACTGCAATGTATTTCGTTTGGGGATTTTTTTCTCCCACAATGATCAAATCTTTTAATCTACAAAATCGCTTGGCCATGCACAATTTCTCTTTCCGATCGGGGAATTAATTCCCATGAACTATGACGTCACAATGGAAGATGACATCGCATTGTTATTTGACGTCGCAATAAGAAAATCGATCAATAAAATAGCGTCCTTGGTGTTAACCACTAGTGGGTATTACAAATATTTACCAATTCCTAGCAGATTTATCCATAAGACTGTTGAAAGGAAACATATGGTGGTTGTGGGGGGAAAAATATACCCAATGATTAAATAAGTGAGATGCCTCCTTTACCATTTTACAAACTCCCCTGTCTCAACATATACAGGTGCTATAAAGATAATTTATCACGAAATACAAAACTTTCCAATGTCAAAAATACAGAAACATTCTTTCCCAAAGGACCCTCAAAATATGTTATAAAATATATAACCATCTCATTTCCGTTAATGCAAACTCGCTGGATATTACAAAGAATAAAGACATTACGTTCTAGACCATGTAAATACCCAAGGTCTCTGAATGCAGGTATTCCGTATCCTGAAACATTGGGATTCCGCATTTCTGCCGTTTAGTCAAATCACTTCTCTCAATATACCAATCTGTTCCACAATGCTGACAAGTTCTGTCCCAAAATACAGACAACTCAAACAATACCTGTAGGAAAAAACTGAATCTACCAATTAAGCCAAATTTCGAGAAAATTGTTGTAAAAGGTTTTGAAATAATTTTCATTTGTTGATTGTACTTTTTGTAAACTTTAACTTTGATGATTTGACCTTAACGTCAATATATACGTTTTGCGTTTAAGGTTGGTTCTCTGTGCAAAAGGCACATTTGCTGTAAAGAGTTAATGACTTTCTTGCCTTTGAAGATAATCAGACATCTGCCCATAAGCAAGAATGTACAGTCAAGGTGACCCTTTGCCTTTGCTTTCCAGGTTATATTTCACGGTCTTGGCAGTGTTTACCAAGAACTGAAGGTCGAGGAAGACGACGAAGAAGAGGAATGACGTAATGATGCCCACACCAACATACCCAATTCCCTGCGCAGACATGCGCGAGTCGGGCATACTGTTCAATTTCCGGTAGTAGGAGGACAGTGTCGTGTAGTTCACCGTCAGTTCCTTTCTTAGCTGCAAAATCTTTGCCTGAAGCTCATGCTCACTGATAACTGTGATGTTTGCCTTCGTCACTAGGCAGGAACAGAAACACTGTCCCGTCACACTATTTGCTACAGAATTAATATGATTTGTCCCGCTCGTGGTTTCTATTTCTGTGGCACTAGTGCTTATAAATGCCATTGTAGTCATCGGGCTGATTTGTGTTGTTATTGCTGTTGTTGTTGTTTGAATATTTACGGTAGTTCCAACGTGACCTTCAGTTGTGGCATGTGCTTCGGTCGTCACATCATATGTGGTCTCGATGTTTGATGGTACAGAGGAAGCAAACCCGGTCGTTATTGCAACTGTTGTCCCGACGTTTGATGACGTAGAGGAGGAAGGGAATTCGGTCGTTATTTCAACTGTGGTCTCCATGTTTGATGACGTAGAGGAAGGGAGCTCGGTCGTCATTTCAACTGTGGTCTCCATGTTTGATGAAGTAGAAGAAGGGAGCTCGGTCGTTATTTCAAATGTTGTCTCGGTGTTTGAAGATGTAGAGGAAGGAATCTCGGTTGGGAACGTTCCTAGAAACATAATAAAAATGACGTTAGATATCACAAGTTGGCATTATTTTACAAATAATCCTAAAATATGAAATATAACTCAAATCAAATAAGGAAATGGTCTTTCCTTCAGCATCGGCATGGTGTAAACTAAGCCACCAAAATGGAACGTATGTCTAATGAGAATGAACAATTGGACCATTCAGAGAAGAAAGAAAGAGAATTTCTGTCGGAAAAGGGGAACGTTCAAGACGAAAAGATGCAGGATGAGAATGGCTATTTGGAACTCCCATAGTGTGACTTTCAGCATCTCTTATTCTGTGATAACGTGAACTATAGCTCTAGGTGCCTCGTACGTGACTTTGTCTCGCGTGTCTTACATTTGACACTGCCGAAGTTTATACGTATGTTTTTTGTATTATTATTTAAGCATTGAATTGTTTTTGTATGGTATTTATGATCTATTTGAATGACACAGCTTTGCAAGCAAACAACATAATGCGCGCTAGCGTGTGTGTGTGTCATTCAAATAGATCATAAATACCATACAAAAACAGTTCAATACTTATATTTACGTTTTCTCTGCCTCTTATGTTCTTGTTTAACTTATAATTTATATTTAAAATTTAAAATGCCCGCCTTATCGACAGTCCACACAATTTCGTTCAATAGTTTGAACAGCGTATTGTCGCGTGCTGATTGGCAAACAAAGTAGTACTTTGAAATTTTAACAAACACTTCAATTTTATTCCACAATTCAGTATCAATACAATTGCGTATGATATGTCTATAGGGTGATTTAAGTTTATCAATAGAACTCTGAGCTGAAAGTTATATTTGAAATTGTTTCGATTTTTCCCCGGAACAAATTTCGCGCATGGACAAATACAGTGAACACCGTAAATCCGACCTTCCCCTCCACGAGGGAGTTATTTTTGGAAGTTAATTCGAACTTTTCTCTTTGCTCATTTTGTGAAGAATCCAGGCGTGAATGTATTTGTTGATTGTATGGGAACCTGACAACAGTCGGTAGATTCTATAACATCTTCGTTATTTGACATGTCGTCAGAAACTGAGGAATGGTGGATGCGAGACGCGTGAAAGATAGCGTTTGAAGTGAGTGATCTTGCGACGGAGCACAGGTTCGTTACAAATGTCTGAAATGTTTACATTATTTGTATGTGTGCTGTGACTGTTATCATTAGGTCTGTAACATATGTGTCAGTAGGTCTATATTATATGTGTATTTCAGACATTTGTAACGAACCCCTGTTGATCAGTGAAGTGTATCGGACGATATTTCTGATAAATTGTATGAGCGTTAAAATTGTTTCCATTGCCGGCATTGGTGATTTCAACCGATGTGCATTTTGTACGATATGGAAGACTTTGGTTTTGTTTTCGTTGTAATAAAAGTGTTGTTTTTTTATGTTTTATTTTGCACATAAATTTACAATGACATTGTCAAGTCTCACAATGCTCAGCGATATTTCAGCAGCCGTTTATTTATATTGGATATTGTAGTTCCGGTCAGTGTTGTATTAATACGCTAAGAATTGTGTCTCATGATGCATGGTAATTAAAGTCCCATCAACGACACAGCTTTCAAAGAGGCTATATAGTGACAATGCCATGCAAATGTAAATATTATACAATGAACATCCTCGACACTCAAGGGGTTACGCTCACTTACGCTCTCTGCACCCCTGGAATATGTCAAAGCAAAATTAAAGACAAGCGAATAGCTATTTGATTGGTATCAGATAGAAAAACCTGACCTATCGGTACCTGTCATTTGAAGTTACGGGACTACGATATTCTTTTGATGTTCATCAACGAATCAACCTAGTCTTCATGTATCTTCCACAAGATGCACACTGAATCTTCAATTTGGCTATGACAGACACATTTCAGAGGTGCAAAGAGCGTAGGTGAGCGTAATTGCTTGGTTATCGAGGTTGTACAACGCAATGAGGAGGGAGCACTAGACTATCAGGGATGGAAGGTGAAATGATTTGATATCCAAATTGAAACAATTGTGGTTTGAAAGTGCGGCAATTATGGATGAAAAACAAGAAGATTCGTAACTAAAGGTTATGTCATCGGGGACGGAAAATTATTTCATTTGAGACAAGTGAGATAATTATTGAAGCAAGGCGATGTCATTCTGCAAAGGAAGTCATGAAATTGGGAACCGGAAGTGGGGTCATTTTGGACAGGTGATATAGGTTCAATCGAAACGGAAACTGAATTGATTTCATCAAAGACAAAAAGTAAGGTAATTAGCGATGGAAAGTGAAATCAATGAGGACGAAGAGTAAACTTAGTAGGAAATGGCAAAATCGGCTGTTATAGTGCCACAAATTGAAACATTTGATGATGGAGGTTGAGACTTGGAGCGAACTTAGAGCAAGACCATAGTAAATCGAAAGTGATGTGTTTGTGCATGTGCATACCATCAGGTCATTATCCGTTCACTATACACACATGCTCATATGACCCGTTTGAACGCGTGGCTTTTCATCAATTAAATATTCAAGTTACTACACCTATATGCAGATGACACGTGTTTGTGCACGTGACTTACCGTTAGGCCAATATCCAATCACCACTAATGCCTGGGCCTCCACAAAACTATCTGAATTGAAAACGAAAATATACAAAGTTAACAATAACCTCATCTGAACATAATAAATACATGTTATTTAGATAAAAATATTTGAGAGATGATTGTTTAATAAGAAGATATAAATGTCAGAAAAATGTATCAATTTGACGTTACCTACGACGGTCTTGCCCGTGAAAGAGACCATTGAGCTCGCTGGGATTGGCTCCAGGATATCTATAGTTAAACACTGTACGGTAGTCGTTTCTATATCATACGTGAATAATTTGGTCGTGAAGTTCTGCAACAAGAAACAAAACAACAGTATTGGTTTACGTTGACGTTGCATGCGATTAAATGAGAAAAATACAGTGAAGCTTGAAACTCCTTTTCAAAACGCTAAGTATATAAAATCCTTTCACTCATTCATCCATGAAGACACATTTGAACTACAAACGTTTGAGTACTGCCTCATCATGGTAATTTGTCATTGCCGTTATATACAAAACACGGTCAGAGACAGGGAATGCACCAGTAAATATACACAGATAAATGTGTTTTTCTTTTGTGACATAATGAATAAAATACAATGTATGTAAATGAAATTATGATATATACATTGTAAACTAAGGTCAAGAATTGTGTTCCTGCCTTCTGTCATATTTTAAGGATATTGAGGAAAAACATTGATTAAAACAACGAGTCAGGACGCGATGAGGATTATTTTGAGGTAATAAGTTTGCTCACTGATATCAAAATATAGTCCTTTACCCAATTTTTCTTCATAAATGCTTAAAACTTTTTGAAACTGTTTGTTGGACCTAAAATTTGTCTAGCCTGATGTCCAATCCAATTGACATATATAAAGTCGATAAAATCTGTTGAAATTGAAATTGAAACTGCTTGTTTTCAATCAAGTTTGAACATTCGTAAAGCTGACAACGCATATGATTATAGCGTCCATTCTGGCACTATTTCACGGAATAATGTCTGCACTGGCGCAGCACGACGTCAAGCGGTGCATAGCTGCAAACATTCTCGTTCTTCAGTTCCGGCTTTTAACCAATCGAAGTGAGAGAGCGGGTTTATCAAAAGATTGATTTAACATTTATGCATTACTTACACCGTTTAATGGAAAGCCAAGGGCTATTTTGGTAGAATGGTATTGTTGAAAAATTCCTTCATGTATGAATAATCGTGAGCTAACTCGCTTCATAGAACACACGGGTTTGCTACGGTATTTAATATAAATGTACATGAAAACATTTGCATGTATAAATTGGAGCAAAACATAGTTCAATCCAAAACAGGGTTTGCTTTTCGGTTATGTTTCGCAAGGGACATATTTTCGAGTAAAGTAGTCCGGATAACCGATCGAAGTTTCCCTTTTCGAATTCATTCTTATTAAAAAAAAAGATTATTCTATAAATCGTTTTGCATTTAATGAATTGAGTTACTCGCGAATGTTTCGATGAATGCACTGTTAAACCAGTACGACTAGTTCCGGCTTTTAACCAATAGAAGTGAGAGAGCGGGTTTATCAAAAGATTGATTTACCATTTATGCATTACTAACACCGTTTAATGGAAAGCCAAGGGCTATTTTGGTAGAATGGTATTGTTGAAAAATTCCTACATGTATGAATAATCGTGAGCTAACTCGCTTCATAGAACACACGGGTTTGCTACGGTATTTAATATAAATGTACATGAAACCGCTTGCATGTATAAATTGGAGCAAAACATAGTTCAATCCAAAACAGGGTGTGCTTTTCGGTTATGTTTCGCAAGGGACATATTTTCGAGTAAAGTAGTCCGGATAACCGATCGAAGTTTCCTTTTTCGAATTCATTCTAGAAATCGTTTTGCATTTAATGAATTGAGTTACTCGCAAATGTTTCGATGAATGCACAATTAAACCAGTACGACTTTGGGTAAATTAGATTTAGAGGCAGTTAATGTAGTGGTCCTTTGCGCACCTATCATCCGAGGTGCATTTATCAGAATTCCCTCTGTTTAGTAAAATAAAAAATAAAAAAATAAAAAAAGGAAACATGAAAAAATACATAAAAATAAAATAAAACAAACAAACAAAAATGTATCTTCGGTATAAGTCATATTATATACTTAACCTCCACTGGGACTAGACCAACAATACTTCAACAGATATAAAATTACACATAAATACTGAGTATTCACTTAATGATTTCCCACCATCCGACAATGTTGTATGCATTGCTTATATTTTTCCAATGCATCTGATGCATATTTTTTTTAAACGAAGTCAGAAATTGCAAAGGAACGAGATCTAAGTAACAAGTAAGACCCTGCTAGGAGTTACGTACCATGGTCTGTCCCGTCTCGTCCAGGTAGGGGGCGCCCCAGTCAGTAGAACATGGCCACATGCCGAAGTATATATTGTACAGTAGACTGGACATGGAAAAACCTTTGGTTACTTTTACAACCTGGCGTGTGAGGAAGATGTAGCTATTTCCTGTGTCTGAATAGGACGACAAATCTACCTGCAAAACAAAAAGAGGACAATGTCGACCCCGAGTTGTCGTTCTTGTTCCAGACAATGATAGAACAAATCTACGACGTTTAATATGCATTGACATGTGTTTATTTATCTGTCGTGAAACTATGCTCAGTTTCCTATTGCCATTTTCTTAGATACAATTCTTGAGATAAAGTTTTAAAAGCTGATAAAGAATTTCATGACTAACCCAGAAAAAGCTAGGATATGATTTAAGTTCAGTTGGGTCAGGGTACTTCCTCTTACCAGATTACCTAAAATTCTTTAAAGCGACAGTATAATGATCTGAGGTCAACAGCTCTAATCCTGGTCTTGACTGATTCATATATTGAAACCGCCTACTGCAACCCAATAGGATGCTCCCTTAAGATATTTCAAAATTATTAGTACCTACACTTAGAACCCTTTTTTTAATCTTTCATATTAATGAAAACAAATGCCGGAAGATTTGATTATTACGTAATTTGTTCGTGAGAGTACCGTCATAAATCTTTGAGAAAACGACGTAATTTTCTCACACATACTAATGACGTAACAATCAATACCTGCTTACAAGAGCAGATAACTCTGCAATACGAAAAAACGGAATAGTCATGCCGGGAAAAGGTTTCAAATAATGTTGCGAAAGATTTTGGCAGTGCCAGTGGTGCGGGGATTTTTAAAAACGACGTATAGTTTACCTGAATCAATTGTTGTTCCGGTAAATACTCAGATAGATAGTCATCCCACCAGCTAGTCCCGGAACTAGCTGAAAACCAATGCTTACAGAAGTTAACAGACATCGATTATTTTTTATGCAGACTTATCTGTGTATTGTACTTGCTCGTAAAAAAAATCCGTCTTTGAACTTGCATGCATGGTATGGAGCATACTTCTGTTTTTTTCCATTATGGTTTGACAGATTCATAAATTGAAACCGCCTGCTGCAACCGAATAGGATGCTCCCTTCAGATATTTCAAAATTATTGGTACCTAAACTTGTCATGCATGGCAAATACTTAACTTGTCATTAGTTTTACACTATGCCCTAGTCGAGTTCAGTAAGATGAATGTGTGATTTTGTGGGAAAATGTTCATTTTTTTTAAGTTACTTTTAATGACATAAATGACCTGACTTTCCCACAAATACTTGATCAATATGATATTCGCGAGTATTTTGGTAAAGATTGGTTCTGTGAATATGAGTAATTTCAACGTGTCGTTACCTGAAGACGAGCTAGAACCAAAGGAAACGTGAAATCAAGATTCGGTCTGGCAGTCAAATCATACAGGAATTTGTAAATTTAAAAGAAAGCAAAAATATATCAAACAATATCAAATCAACCATTATGGACCATGGTACAACATTGAACCTGGAAAAATACACATGTAGGCTGTGGTGTACAATAAGGCGTGGTGTAGAATGTTAGAAGATGTGTTCTTACAAAATGGATACAACCCTTCGTAATACATCAGCAGACAAAGATGAAAGACATTCATGATATAAGGTTAAATTATGTTCATATGGAGAGAGAGAGAGAGAGAGAGAGAGAGAGAGAGAGAGAGAGAGAGAGAGAGATTCAAAGAAAACGAATGCACTTACACTGTGATAGAGGTTTACAGATTACCATGACTCAAAATGATCGGATATTAAAAGAAAACAATAGTTCATACAGGGCGTTGGAAGGAGCAGCATTACTTACGTGGAAACATGTCTTGTGTTGACGTATTGTTTCTCGTCAAGAAGAACTTTGGACGGACCTGATCACTTTGATCAACGTAGAACCATGATATGTTCCGGTCGGATTCCAATGCAAACAGCATCTTAGTGTCCGGGATCCTTCGCAAAATCAAAATGAAAAATAAACACCCGAATAAGACAAAAACCAGCAATACGGTCGCAACGCCCTTTTTACGGTTATGCTAAAGTAAATGCACTGGGTCTCACCGGCCTGTAAAGATATGTCCGATAATGTATGTAGATTCACAAAATTACCAGCCTAAATAAGTTTAGGGTGATCGCTCGAGAATGATGTCAAAGTCATAAATATGTTAATTGTTTTTATTTAACGTCCTATTAACGGCTTATGTGATTAAAGGACGTGCCCCCTAGTGTGTAATGTATGCGTTCCTTTGTGTATGTGTGCTAGAGGCAGGGTATGTTGATGTATTTGCCTTCATGTTATATCACGGATCTGTTGTCGGCTTGAATGGTACCTCACTTAAATATAATGCCGAGGGCAGCCAGCACAGTAGTCCAATTGGTCACATTATGCTGACAACGATTAGAAAAGAAAATGTTGCGATAACTCTAATTTCTGAATGTTAAGCAGGGAACAATAACTACCAGTTTCAAGGTATTTGGTATGTCCCCGCCAGGGGTAGAACCCATTGACTACCAGATTTGGGCGAACTCTCAACACCAAAGACAAACGAGAGGTATTGCCAAGCAAGGCACCAGTAAATTAAACATGTTTCAGGAAATAAAGTGAAAATATAAAGATCCCAAATGTTGGAATGGAGGCAGCGGATCAATCGAAGTTTTTTCAATGTCCCCTTAACAGAAGACACGTAAGAGAACCCCCGATTCTGCATGGGTGCACATTAGTCGTCTTTACGACACGTAGATGGATACAGTAAGCCTATTCCTTCCCCTAACCTGCAGGAGAATCATGAACATGCGAAAAGTGGCTCTATGACTGCAAAATAACATTGAAAGACCGAAATCAAATGGCGTGTACTTTCGGAGGAAACAGAGGTCATGTCTGCGGATGGAATATACATTTCGCGTGCATGTAGAAGGTTTCTAGAAGAAAAAGCAGGCGGGGTGTTCTCACTTCTACCACGTTAAAAAACGAAAAGTGTTGATATTGGAAGACAAAGACAAATCGAGTATAGCAAGCTCCACACTGTCGTCACAAAAACACAGCTAAGTTAATTTACCTGTTTGGTTTGTAGCATTTCTGTGCATGTGATATATTTAGGTCATTTTGGTTAAAATATATCAAATTATAAGCTAAATAGATCAATGAATTGTATTAATCAATAGCAGCACTAAAATACAAGACTGTTATATGTACATATGTATTGCCAATACTACCCAAACACAGACTAAAATTCTTCTAACAACATTCCTCTCCCCATGTTTTCTTTAAAAGTTCAGAGAATCGAAAACGAGCCGAAATATCACCATCTTTACAACGGTACCAAGCATGTTTGGAATAAGAAATGGGATTTTTGATGCGAGAAAGTTAGGTGAGGTTGACTTTTCCGACATCGAGAGCGTTCCATCCAATTCCCATTTACTGTATACCGGGAATTTTTCGCCCTGTCAACCTTTCGCCCTATGTCGATGAAATCAAAATTTTGTCCTGTGTTAATTTAGCCCTTTACATTTAATTACTATGTTTATTTTTCTGTGTACCTCAATTCGCTGTAACGATAAATTCGTTTTCATTACGTACATGTAGGGCGAAAAGGTGAAAATTAAACTGCAGTGAAAAATTTCCCGGTATACAGTATACCTTCATTGGGGTGTCATTTTTACCGAGGGCTGATTAAAAACTCTGAAATCTCCAGGGTCGTCAGGAAAATCAAGGGAAGGTCGGGTAACCTGAATCACACATTGTTTTGTTTGGCCTTAGCCGTACGATGTTAAAGTAACTTTAGATGGGCGTGGTTTAAAGGATCTTACAAGATATGACTATATAATAAATATGGACATGTACATGTAGCTAATGATTATATACAATGCAAATAAGGAAAATCGTAAGACATATACATGATTGCTGCACCTTCAGAATTTGGTAATAAATACAGTGTGCCAAAAAAATAATTACAATTCATCATAAAGCTGTTTCGCCCTTCTAGGACTCACAAATGATGCTAGGGACAAACAATCTGATTATATTTATTCCGTCTTTGCGTATTGCAGAGTTATCTTCTCTTGGGAGCAGGTATTGATTGTTACGTCATTGGTTTGTGTGAGAAAATTACGTCGTTTTCCCAAAAATTGATGACGTTACTCTCACAAACAAGTGACGTAACAATCAAGACCTGCTCCCAAGAGAAGATAACTGTGCAATACGCAAAGACGGAATTGGCCGATAAGCAAATGTGAATAATTCATGAATAGATCGTACAATATTTTACCTATAAGTGTTAGCAAAACGTTTGATGGTGCTATCCTGCTTGAAAGTTTGAACAATGTTGTTAAAGATTGCATGTTGAAGTGAGCTAGAAAATAAAACACCCATTTCAACTGCTCAAAATAAATGTGTTACAATGTAGATGTATCTAGCGATTGATGTCAAGATAAAATATAACATTATGACATTTGTCGAGTATGAACATTTTAAATGTTAAAGAATACAATAACAGAAGTTGATAGCACACCTATGTACATCCTACACCACAGGTTATTTCCATATTGGGCGAGTTTTATTGTTAGAGAAATAGATAAATAGAAACCATTGTAGAAGCTTAAATATCACTTTCCTAGTTTAAAATTTAAATGAAGACTTTTTATTGTAAATGGTTTTCACTTATGGAACGAGTTATGAGTGGATATTAGAAATTCTGGAAATATACGACAATAATTTCAAAATAGCTGTCATAGATATTTTATTATATGCTGTCAAAGCTGTACTTTATCAAATATATCTACCTATAATAATTATGTAAATTTATTTTAATAAAGATTCACAACCTCTGTCGAAATACGTTTCAAGGTCATTCATGGCAAGTCATATATTGAACAAATTTGATAAAACTTTTTAAATAAATTTTGTTTAGAAATCCCTGAACACACCCTATTTTACCTTAAATGGATTTTTGTTTTGTTTTCCCACAACTCTTATTGGTGTGTTCTACCTTTGTATGAAATAAAACAAAATCTTCTATGCATGTAGAACATTTTGAAAAGACCACCTGCCTTTTAACTCTGCCTCGTGTACCCTATTTAGATAATAAAAATATATAGATCGAAGATGTTGTCCACTTAAGCAAGTATACCATTTGAATTAGCATTATCTTTATAAACACATGCTAATGTAATATAACGGTAGAGTTGATATGCAGGTGTGCTGTTCAGCCATTCAAATAACGTGCCATGTTTTGTACGCAATAGACGTGGATTTTTGTCGATTTCGATTTAAATACAAGCATAAAATCGATGGGATCACATGACGTGAAACACGATTTTCCACTACAGTATACCTCCACACATGACCGCTCCCATCCCATACCTGTCATCTATGTGAACTCTTGTGTTGTCTACCGATCATCATTACTGTTTACCTGTGCACTAGATTGTACCAAAACAGTAATATTTTTCCAGGAATATTACCAGTATTCCTGTATTATAAATTAAATGTTGTCAAGTTGCGTCCATTTAAGTCGCCTTTGATTCAAGTTAAGAAATGCTTACGTAGCTATCGACACGTTACTAACGAACCGTTCTGATGTCTATCAATAAACATTAATGTTTACCTTGTACAATAGATTACACCAGAACAGTAATCTTTTACACGGGATATGACCGGTAAACTTGCATTATAAGTTAGTTTTGTCCATGTCGGCCGCTTTGATTAAATATGAAAAAAGAACCTCCGTGACTTTCGGCACATTAAATGTTAAGAGGTTTACCAATAAACATTACTGTTTACCTGGTACAATAAATTATACCAAAAATAGAAAACGAAGCACAGAGTATGACGCATATACTTTAAATTATTTCTTTGTCTAGCCGTTTCTGATCCAATACAACCATTGCATTCGGCAGAATACGCACAATCAATTCGTTTGCATATTTAGGGTTTTTTCATCGTCACAGGATCGGTAATTCATTAGGTAAGTGCTTAATAATTTAACCTGTAAAACTGACGATGTTATTTTGGATATTAGTAAGAATATGTAATTGAATTTCTGAGTCGACTATTCATTAACTAGATAGGGCACAGTTCTGGTGGTTGTCAATTGTACTTTACAACGTATCAACTACAACCAAAAACACCGAGGTGGGGTCAAAACCGCAATTCAAACTCAAACTGGCCGAAACTAGTCCAGAATATGAACCAAAGAGGAATTCAAATGGAGACTTTAAAAACATTTAAGGATTATTTTAACCAGGAGTTCCGGAAGGGTAAGCGACTTCTGCTTCATGGACAACCGCCATGTTGATCTTGGTCAACTCTAAGTAATGTCATATCCTCAAAGCGAGGTCCGGGGTAGTAACAGCGAAACCACAAGACACATTTTGGGGCGAATTAATAGAAGTAATAACAGCATACCTTCAAAGCTAATGATGAAATAGATTATTTCCATATTAGACAAAAGTAAACGAAAACATCAGTACCGATTGCGTTTGAAATATAGAAGCATGTTGTCTATGTATCTATGTAGACAACTGCCAAATAACTTGGAATCGTCATTTAAGTGACTTTTAAGGATTTTAGTTTTTTTATGAGCGATAATTTTGATTTTGTTTGGTTTGTTTGTGTTTAACGTCCTATTAACAGCTATGTCGTTTAAGGACGTGGCAGGATTTTATAGTAGAGGAAAGTCGGAGTTATATCGAATTACGGCCAGTGCCTTGCGACTGCCCACGTAGGTCTCGAACCCACGACCCAGTGGTTAAGTGACAATAGCAATTTTCACAGTATCTCACATACACGACCAAATTGAACTGAACTAGGGTTTGGAAACCTGGACATAAAACACAACACACTGAATGCAACTGAGATAATAATAAAAAACAATCAACAAAAATATCACGCTTTGTCATAACCTCATGAATGTTAAAAATCGTATAAGCAATTAAAATATTCTTTAAATTTAATTCTCAGAATGCTTCTTATTCCATATGGCATTACGCGATTTTATGCACACGCCAATAAATATATAATAAAAAGGGATTCAATGACAATGTCCATGTGAAGTAAGTAAATATAGAAAAAATAAGATCTAACGACCGACTTAAAAACGAGCTGCTTTCACCCTTCACAGGGCTCTTCAGGTTTATTTAAAAAGGACAGCAACGTGACGTCACAACTACATGTCATCACAATACAAAAGTAGTAAAACATTTTTAGTAAACATGCTATTTTACATAGTAAACCTAGGAACTTGAAACGTATATTGACATGCTTTAAGTTTGATAATTCTTGTGTAACACCAAAAGTATCCAAGTGTAAGACACCAAGATGTGGTACATGACCCATGATGATCGAATGTAATACTTTTATTTTCAAGAATGGTTTGAAATTTACTGTGAAGGTTTAATAGGAATTGTAAATGAAAAAATGTGATGATTTCTACCTTGGTCAAACCGGCAATGAGCTCAGAACTCACATGACTGTACATAGACAACAAACTAGAACTGAATCTTTACGAAATCTACATGTTAACAAACATATTCATGAATGTGCCGGAGATAAATTTAATGCATGACCTTTGTATTCTAAGAGAAAAAAGAAAGATCAATTAATCAAAATATTAAAACCTAGTCTCAACATGCCACAGTAAAATTCTGTGCTAGTCCATCCACCAATCTTGTGTACTTTGCGACGTTACGGTTCTATTGTAGTTGTGATGACATGTAATTGTGACGTCCTGATGCTGTCTTTTTTAAATAAACCTGAAGAGCCATGTTAAGGATAAAAACAGCTTGTTTCTAGTCGGTCGTTAGATATTATTTTTTCTATATTTACTTACTCCACATGGTCATTTAATCCTTTTTTATTATATATATATATAATCCACTCACAACAAAAATCTTTTATTATAGACCCTTTTCCATGATTTTGCTTTTAATTTAATGGTGTTAGGTTGACCTGGAGGGCACGCAGACGACTTGTCATCTTTGTGTAATGAGCAATGCTTACCAAATAATGAATCTTTCTTACCCGTGGTATATCTGTCTATCCGAGGTTGCTATCATGTCGTGTGAAGACGAAGAGAGCATACGCGAGGGTTGCATCCATGATAAAAGATCTTTCTCTGTTCCAAGTGTTGAAAACGTGACCCACCAGAGTATGTCCCCATAGGTATTCACTGCTTCTACGGACACCTAGACAACGCCAAGTCATGTTTTTATTACACGTTTTGATTATTCATACTTACCTTGGGATTAACCGTGATGTTAATATCTTTTTATTGGAATGCATTGATTCCCCTAACATGTCTATCGCATAAAAAATTAATCGTTGTGGAACTTGGGATGTCAGAATTCAGAAAAACCGTAAACAAAGCCTTCTTATACATTTTGGAATCATATAATCCTCTATTTTACATCTTACCAGTATTCATTTCCTTAGCGAAGAAAGGAACCAGGTATCAATTCCATTACAAAAAGTTGTCCTTGTTGCCATTGTTACGAAGATAAGGAACCAATGTCCTTTCAATTAAAATACCCACAAGGATGTTTTGGTGTCGTTTTTCTGACAAACATTTTGCCTTTTTACCAGGGTCATTGATCCCCGGAGTCAGTCCCCTTACAAACAGTTGTCCTTAGTTCAGGGTTAGTGAGTCCCAGGGCCAGTCCCCTTACAAACGCTTGTCCTTATTATATGAGTTAGGAAGCCCTAGAGTACGTCCCTCTAACGATCAGTTTAACGCATTGCATTGGTTAGGGAGCCCTTGAGCTAGTCCCCTTACAATTATTTGCCCATTTGTAAGGGTTAGGAAGCCCCTGATCCCGTTTCCTTATAGTCAGTCGCCCTCATTGCAAGGGTTAAGAAGCACCGAATCCAGTCACTTTAGAGTTAGGTTTCCACAATGCAAGAATTAGAGAGCCCTGGAGGCAGTCCCCTTGAAAACAGTTGACCCGATTGTAAGGATCACTGTGCCCCGGAACCAGTCACCTTACAATCAGTTGATTTTAAATTCCAAAGTTAAGGTGCATCGTATCCAGTCCCCTTACAATCAGTTTTCCTAAATGCAAAATTTGGGAGTCAGTCCCCTTGCAAACGGTTGTCCTCGTTGCAAGGGTTAGGAAGCCCCGGTCAGTCTTATTTCAGAGATCATCAACATTATTGAAATAACATACATGAAGATGGTAGATGATAGGTATATCTCACATATTTTATCATACAAACAGTTGTTTTGAATGGAAGGCAATTATTGAATTTAATATTTGATTGAAGAATATTAAAAGCAGCGATCCTGTGCTGTGCATTCAAACATGGCGATGATTTGGCATAGGAGTAAACAAAGGAAGCACTAGTATATAATAAACACTGCGCTGACCTCTTCTGGGTTTCCATACGGCCACATGTCCACCACACTGCTTCGGAACATCCCGTAGGACACGAGATCTCGCACTGGCCAGTCAACCATGTCAGCAGATGTCTCATTTACGCCACCTTCCGTATGCCATAGGCTGTTGACCTCACTTCCATCTCCCCTTTTCGCCACCATCAATACTGAAATATTTTAATAAGAGCATTTACTTCCATTGATTTTTTTACTCCCCAAAATTTCATTTATGTTACGAAACGAAAGAACGAATAATTCTACTGAACAGTTTACAGTAATATATTGTCGCCTATAGTCTATATCTGATCCGAGATGCTACCTTATATTGTCTTCCATTTTTCCTTAAAGTTTCGGCCCAATCGCGTGGTTTAGACACCATTAAGTTTTTACGATTAATGCAAATTAACATTGTTTGTTCCAGTTGGACATGGAGACATATGTCAACCTATAAAGGAAAAGTCCTAAGAGAAAGATGAAATTTTGAACGTAAATAAAAGAAATGAAATGCATCATTTTATAATGACGATGGTATACAACTCAATAAAACATGGAGTAAACTCTGACAATTTTGTATTTCTTTTCATGCTCGATACATGAAACGTATGTATTAGTAAGAGCGATATAACTACTTAAACGTGAATCTGTCAGCGCTGACGTCATTTTATATGACACAGCAAGTTCCGCATACAATCGTCTTGCGTAAGGCTTTGAAGCAGATACATACACTAATGAGCATGTGTTGTGTCGTCAGTATAGTTTCATGGGTGGGATCAGTTATTCGCAGAACATAGCAGTAATGATTATAATGCGTTTAATGACACGACTGATGACAACAGTTTAGAATGGATACGGATAAAACAGTATTTTTATTATTATAATCCTGACGGGATCTGTGGCTTTTATAGTTGTCAACCACGATAATAAATATGTAGTCATTAGCCTCAATGTGACGCACTTATTTATCTGGCCATTGCATACTTTTTAACCACAATATAACATTGTTTAACTCTATACTGCATACTTATTTACCAGGTTGTACACCGTTTACCAGGCTATTACACGCTTGTTTAAAGACTAATTTACTACGATATTTAAACATATTTACAACGTTAACACATACTTATTTGCAATTCTTTGCACACTTCTTTACATACACATACTTACTTGCCGCACTTTTACTTGACTATTTACCGCTCAATTACATACATACTTATTCAAATGTCTAACAGCGCTACAGCATATTTTTATACCACACTTCTACAAACCTGTTTTCCACGCTATACTTTACTTATTCACCACGCTATCACATACTTATTTACATGTATATTAACAACGCTACTGCATACTTTTATACCACTTTTACATACTTGCTTTCCATGCTATAACTTACTTAATCTCCACGCTATTTCATACTTATTTGTCAAGGATTATTTCATACTTATTTACCATACTGTTATGTATTTATACATGTATATCACTATATTCTATTCTATTATCCACGCGGTGGCCAAGTGGTTAAGGCATCTGTCAACGATATGTACTTACACTTATACATATTTGTTTACTCTGAAGCTTTACCGAAGTGTAGGTAATGCATTAAAGTTCAATTAAGCTTCGCTAGACAGTGTGGGAGGAAACCGGAGTACCTGGAGAAAACCCACGTGACCCCAACCTTTTCACGTCTGATCGGGGAATCGAACCCCGGCCGCCTTGGTGAAAGCCAAGTGCGCTATCCACTGCACCACCCGTCCAGTCAATATCTTTCTCAATTCCTTGGACGCTCAATGTTAGCAATTCTACAATTCTAGCACAGCCAGCCCACGTACTCATTTACAGCTGAGTAAACTAGAACAAGCGGAGTAGCGTATCTTGCTCAAAGATAAAACACAATGCCGTGCCATGACTCGAATCCGCAACCCTTCGGTCACGAGCCCGGCGTCCTACCACTAGACCACCGTACCTCAATAGGTTCAGTAAACAATACTGCAGGTGTCATAAGGTTGAACTAATGTGCGTTTTTCCAAAGATCGGTGGCTTCCTCTGCCTCTCAGAAGGCATAGAAGAGACCAGAATTGATCTGCTGCCTCCGTTGCAACCCTTTAAGTTACAAAACAAACCATGGTTCGAACTGGGGCAAAATTTGAACAAAAGAACTATGAAGACCCTTGAAAAAGTTCAAGGAGAACTAGACCAGGTGTCCAAGCGTATTTTTGCTTCATCGGTGATACCCGCAAAGTAATTCTTAAAATCATTTATACCGCAGTGATTATGACCATAGATAAACATATATACCGAAATCTTTGAATACGATTCAAATATTGCAGATAACAAAATCTCTCTTAGATAAGAAAATCCAATCCATTTGGCTTTGCACAACACAGAGCGTCTTATGTATAACAGAAATTTTGAAAGCGTTTTAGACTGTTCCCATCCAATTGATTATCGTATTACTTGCAACACATTGTTTAATTTGGTATCTATTTTGTACGTACATTTTTAAGATTTTATTTTTAGAAAACCCAATTATAGAAACCACTTACCTTTGGTGTCTGTGACAGCAAACGATATCCCAGTGGTAAGGAAAACGAAACCGACACCTAATGGTACCCCCAACATCTCTAGTCCGTACCCCGGTTACGAATATACTCCAGTCATTAGATCTCTAGTATTTGATTCTGTCTGAAGGCTGTATTGATCCAGGCATGTCACGCGTGCGTACCTTGGCTGTCAGGTAGATTTCTGTATACTCTATTTTCATAACTCATACATATAAAAAATATGCAATATAATGTAATTTAAAGTAGTTAACACGGCCATCATTACATATTTGGTTTGTTGTTCAAAATGTAAAAAAAAAAGGAAATATATTTTATATGTACACATTTCAGTGATTGCAATGGTATACACATCAATACTTATCACAAATATCAAATATCTCTGTCAGATCAAAGTAAAGGAGTTAGTTGTTTGAAATGAAATTTGATAATCCATTTAGAACTTGTTAGTTGCACATTGACAAACGTTTCAGTTTATTTCCGTTTGGATTTGTAAGATTGCTTTTAGGAATGTATTTTTTTGTGAACTTGTTTTGTTCACAATTTTACCATCGTCGAATTTCTAGGAGTTACGTTCTGTACGCCCCTGCAATATATCATGACAATCATGAAGGTTCTGTCTGCGCTGGCATCAGAATGATACAATCAGACTAGTTTGATCCTTTTAAGTTCATCAGAAGAATCGTGCGGCGACATAACGGTAAAATTGACATGCTTTTAATTGAGGTATCGCTCATTTGTAATCTACAAAGGACAGGTAACAGCCTAGCGTTTGGTCAGTTGTTTTATACTTGAAAACAATCAAATCGCTAGCTTCTCACCTTAAGTTTTGTCGTGACATGGTCCAGGGGTGCAGAGAAGGTCATTGAGCGTAACACCCGGAAGTTTGAATATGGAATTACTAGAAAATAGACAATGCTACTCTTATCATAAACACATGTTATATACTTTATTATATATCTTACGTTTTGACACCTCACAAGGTTTTTTTTAGATATCGTAAATTAAAAGTTTTAATAAAAAAATAAAAAAAAATTGCCGACATATAATTTACGAACAGTCTTCTACAGAGATATAGTCGTGCAGTTGCTGATTCAAAGGCAGCGTTTGGTGAAGCTTCACATGAAAGAAGTTAACAATTAAATGATACATCAATAGACCGGGCTATTGTTTCGTATTCTTTCATATCTTGTATCGTCATTTTCTCATTATGTCGCATCTTTTCCAAACTGGGGTTCTGATATTCCCAATTTTTGAGGTAAAAATAGCAAACAAATTCATCCATACCCCAGACCAAAAATCTGTGAAAATAAGGTCTCGTAAAAATGACCGTTTTAGCAATCCGTGAAAATTGGAACTGCGAAAAGGAATGCTTTTACAGCATTGCAGAGCATTCAACACCTATTGATCTAGCTAATGGCTATATTCGTGTGCATTTATGGATCCAGACCTAATTTTTTCTCTCGCATATTCAGGAACGAATTCATTCCCTATTCAATTTTAAAATGTTTGCTATGAAAAGAGGCATGGTGAAGCGATTGATTTAATGTAAAATATATCTTTTAAGATATGGTCGCCTCGCATTGTTCGGCTTTTATAATCATATAGATACATAGTTATTATTCTGTGTCCATTTATACGCAATTGATGTGCAAACATATTCCATAGATAAGTTAATCAATATAAAGGTTCCAATGCTTACAAATAACAACATTTTATACTCTTACAAAAATAAACTACATCGTGTTTTTCTTCTTTTGTCAATATCCATTGTTTGGGCGACATTTTTAAAAGTGTTTTTTTTTTTTTTTTTTTTTTTTTACTGGAAATGAATATGTGCATCGACAGGAAATTATTAGAACCATGTTGTATAATTATTACATCAACGCTAAACCGTTTCCTTCCCATAAACCATTAGCCACCATGAATGATGTCATCATCACGCGCACCGTGGTAGAAACAGCACATCCAGTATAGATAAATGTCATTTGAATGCATGAATATGTATTAATGGTCATGTTAAAAAACACGTTTTTACTTTCAGTATTGCCGGAAAGGAAACAAACACATAGACGGGACACACACTCTGACATCAATAATGATTTAATTAAATATTGATTATAGACGCGAGTTGTTTAGGTGAGTGATTCCGCTTTTTACACCTTATTGTCTGACTTGGATTTGGACCAAGGTCCGACCTCCGACAGTCACAATGTTCAAAGAAAACAGAAAGGGTCGGTATAAGTTATTTTCACCGATACAGATTTGAGAACAAAAATGCAAAGGTCGAGGAATTTTGAGACAATCAGCGTTGAATGGAATTGTATACAATCTTGCAATACTTATTTTAGCAAGCATTTAACGGTCGAGCATCGCTGATACAGAAACAGTGTTGATTGGATTAATACTCAAAATCGTGTTCGAACATATATGATGTAGAGTTTGATTATACCAAGCTCAGCCGCCAGAGCTCACTGTGATCAATAGACTATAATAAGTAAAAATGTTTATGATATTATATCGTGCGACAACAACCAGGGCAAAGACAGACGCTTATTTTACAGTGTTTTTAACACGCCATATTTTATAAACCGCTGTCGCTGGTTGTTTTTCTTCTATCCACAAATGTTTAACTCGGCATAAATGCAGATGTTTTAATACAACACGCTCTGTTAACCTATTATCCAATCCTCCGTGTCCGAATGACCACAGATGGAAACCCCGCTGCCAATTTTTAGCCGATGAGTTAAGGTTGAAATTCGGAACACCTTTTGACTGACCTAACAAAGATGATAAACGCAGGTGAGTCCCGATTTAAACATCCGACGGTGCTCATTCGGTTACGGGCAGTTAGAGATATAGGTAAGGATTAGGTCTCAGCTATCAAAACGTTTTGCAGATACAAATTGTACATGTAATAGGAGACACATGAAGCTAATTTTTATATTGTATCATCAAGCTATTTACAATTTAAGGTACTGCAAAGAAGTCCTTTTTGTTGGTTTTTCATGTTGGCGCAGAGTGATGTTATGTGGTTTGGCTCGTTAGCTCTCTATTTCACGGAGTAAAGATGTTGTAGAAAAAAAACGTTTCCGCCAAATTCGCGAAAATGTTAACCTCACCAAAAAAACTTGAACCTATACCATAAGAATAAACTAAAGGCATGTGTTCACAATATTTGATTTTGATTTTGGATAGAGCGCTGTTTGCTTGTAGTTTAAGAAGATGGTGCATTTGGGTATAGAGACTAGTAACCATGCAGATGAATAAGGATTTGTATTTTTGCTTACAGAGACATTTTGTTCTCAATTATAGCCTTTGAGATTGTGTCATCTGATGGCTGTCACATCCTGCCGTGACTTGCAATAGACATTAGACATTTTGAATTAACTTAAATTGATTAACGTCACGACAAACGCTCATTAAGAACATCACCTTTATAGGAAAATGTAAATGTACGGTTTAGACCGTCAACAACAGAATTTGACATAACCTTGTTAGCTGAGGTGAATGACATGTTGCTATGCTTGGATAGGTTCAGATGAAATTATCTTCACATGGTCTATGAGATAGTAAGATAGGCCGTTTTGGATAAAGCGCTGTTTGCTTGTAGTTTTAGAAGATGGTGCATTTGTGATATATAGACTGGTAACCATGTAGATGAATAAGGATTTGTAGTTTTGCTTACATGGGAAATTTTGTTTTCAGTTATAACCTTTGAGATTGAGCGGATGGAGTTTGTTTGAGAATACACAAACAGAGTTGGAAGCATTCCAAAATTACTATTTAAAGATAAAAAATAAAGAAAAATATAATCCATATATAATGTGACGAAAAGATTTGGAGCATCGTATTGTGTGAAGTCATGCTACTGCAAAATCACCGGAAATAATGGACTTAGAACATAAAATGTATAGCACATCTTTCGCATTTTCAAATTTTACTACAGTAAAATATGTATATTGTGATACAATTTTACGTTTTGGTATTGTGACAGCATAAAATGCGAGGTACTAATGAGAATAATGATTGAACGGCATTTTTTTCAATATCATACCGGTATGAACATTGAAAAAATACCGTTGAATCCTTTTGTTTACATTTTAAAGTTTTTGTTATTACTGACCTAAACAAAAAAAAATCCCTTATGCTTTTTGTATTGAAGTGTCGTCAGTGCAAACAAGATTGCTGTAACAGCCTAACGTCACCAAAATGTTTGCTCCTAACGGTTGCCTCATGGTAATCCAGGCGGGAGGAGAACCTTCAACATGACGCTGATCCAATTGCGTCCATAGCCCTATGAACACAATTTCTTAGGGAAATGCTTTTCGAGAATTATCAATGGACAATGGAAATGTATGAATATAAAGAACAATTGTGGACGCATTTGTATATAATGAAAGCAATGGCATAGTAAAAGACGTTGTCTCTCCGGAAATGTGTCTGAGATGTCACACAAACTAATACAGTTAATTTTCCCTTATATGCTTTAACGGTACAGCGCCTTTTGCGTCTTTAATAGATTGAAATATAATCAAGATCAGATCAATATTGGATAAGGCTGGAGACAATACTCGCTAAAGGGTATGTTTATATCAAGCTTTAAATCGTTCTTTGATGATGGGTTTATGATGGGTTTCAGATATAGGAGTTTATACACTGATACAAACACTTCCTCTAATCTATGTGATGGCTTTGATCAAGTTGGAAAGCATGATGAATAACAGCCAAAACCGATGAAAACATTACGCTGTGGGACCCCAGATATCTATTGTACATTCGTTATTTGTTTTTCATCTAATTAGGTTGTTATTGTGTGTCCAATGACATGCAAAATGATGTAAAATGTGTTTACGGTAGACAACAAATAACATGTTTATTCCACAGGGATCAATTTTTGTACAGCACTACGTCATTACGACAGAACATGATAAACTACGACATAATCGATTATTATTTATAATTTAATGTTTTCCATTTTTTCCCCGGTGTCCTCCTATACATGCTATATTTAACAGAACCTTGATTAACTATGACAACAGAATCGATTCTTATTCATATACCTACT